AGGTCCAACTGATTTGCATATCCGTATGTAAGTGTTTAATAATTAACTTAGAACTAAAGAGACTGTGCTATCGTTCAGGCGCAGATCACTTGATCATCAGCTTTCATATCTCAGGCAAACTTAGTTGCATTTGGTATCGCCAGGTAGGCCGCTTTAATATCAACTGTTTGTCAAAAGTATTCGTGTATCAGTTGCAAAGAGAGACTATCGCAGTTTTACCTTTCTTTATCATCATGTACAGTCACTTTAAGATTGTTGTTTCAGCTCAAACCTAATGTAAACTCCTTTTGTTTATGATTGCACTTTGAATTAGCTTTCGAAGAGAGTTAGATTTGAATTACCTCAAGCAACACTTTAAGAATAAAAGCTATTTAATTTTCGAAATGTAGCGAAGTGTCAAAGAAAAATTATTTCCAAAATTCTAGCATTTAACTCTGGAAGAATGATGGGTTTACTTCAGATCTCAAAACTGGTTGTTGTCCTTACATTTGAAAAATCTAAATATATAAAGAATAAAGGCGGAAGGACAGATTTACAAGCGTATCGAAAAATCGCCAATACTTTGTGTTCGAAGGAGCCATTGTTTGTCAAATCATGATTTCCAACTGCAGAATTTTTTACCTTTTCATATACCATTTTAGGTTGTTATTATGCAAACAAGTTCTTGTCCAAGTCTCCAGTAATTTACCTGGCCATGTCGGTTTTTCTACACTTGTCCAAGCCAGCACCCTTTCCTTCTGTTGCTTCTTTCTAATTTTTGTTGGAACTTTATTCATATTTTAAAACAGAATTTTTATTTGGTTTTTGGTTAATCTTTCCAAACAGGTCTTCTTTGTAAACTTTATTCATGTTTTGAAACTAAGATTGTATTTGTTTGTTAGTTAATTTTTCCAAAAAGATATTTGTGTTAACTTTACTCACATTTAAAAAATGTGCAACGGGATTGGATAACTTACCGTCATGCTACCTGGAAGACATTGCATATGTTCTAGCAAAACCGCTGATACATTTTATCAACCTATCGCTTCAATCGGGGACTTTTTCAACAGACCCAAATAAAGCGAGGGTTACCCCCACATACAAATCCGGTGCCCAAAATATTTTCGATAATTACAGACCAATAAGTGTTCTACCAGTGATTTCCAAAGTCTTTGAAAAATGCGTACACGCCCAAATTACGAACCATCTAGAAAGCAACAAATTACTGTCGGAAAACCAATTTGGATTTCGCAAATACCCACCGACTGAAATCGCTACAGCTTACTTCATTGATCAAATCCGAAAGGCAATGGACAACGGCCATTACACAGGTGCTGTTTACATATACCTAAATAAAGCTTTTGATACCATCAACCATTCTATCCTGGTCAACACTCTCCCTGAATATGGCATCTCAGGGAAGGTTCAGGATTGGTTGTACGATTACCTGTCCTCAAGATCACAACAGGTCTCGTTTCAAGGAAAACTGTCATCTGCGGAACTGCGGAACCAATATTTTGTGGCGTCCCTCAAGGGTCAATACTCGGACCGCTCCTGTTTATCTTGTATTTCAACAGTGCAATCAAAACACTATCACACTGCAAAATGCTGATGTATGCCGATGATACAGTCTTGTTTTGTTCTGGAAAAGATGTTGGCGAAATCCAAAAACAGTTAAATGCAGACTTCAATCATTTGCCTGCTGGCTTGACAAAAATGAGCTTGTCATAAACACCAAGAAAGGCAAAACAGATGTTATGGTGTTTGGTACTAGCCAAAAACTCAACAAACTTGAAATCATCGGCCAACAAGTTCAGAGAAATGAAATAATCACAATGAAACGAATATGTACATATGTGCACAAATGCCTCCACTCTAATAGCGTAGGCGCTATCTTTGACAGCTATTTTACAATGAAAAACTCCAATGTAAATGCCAGAAACATTGGCACAATGATTAACATCCCGAGGATTAATCTGGAAATAGCAAGAGCATCCTTTTACTACCAAGGTGCCTCATTATTCAACAAACTTCCGAAAGAAATTTGAACAGAACATAATTTTATTTCTCTCCAAAATAAATTGAAGAGCTTTTATACTTTAACTTAGACTCTCAACCTTATACCTCTCTTTTATACAATTCTACTTCATCCCCCTTGTCCGGATTTGTTTTCCGCTTTCAAATTATATTTTATAAATGCTGATTGTATATTGGCATATCACTACTGAAGTATTATCCTGTATTCGAGAATATCATTAATAATAATAATAATTTCGAAACTGAATTTTTATTTGTTTGCTGGTTAGCCTTTCCAAACAGGTCTTCTTTGTAAACTTTATTCACATTTATGACTGAATTTTAATTTGTTTGCTAAGTATCTTTCCAGACTGACCTTCTGTGTAAACTTTATTCGTATTTTGAAACTGAATTTTATTTGTTTGTTAGATAATCTTTCCATAGAGACCTTTTTGGAACTATATTCAGGTTTCGAAACTGAAGTTTAAAATTACAAGTATGTTGCTGTAATTACATGTAGCTGAATTATATACAGCCTTCATTGTGCAGATAGGCTTTTTAATTACTTTATTTATATATTTAAACTTCGAATAGTGGTGTATTATTCCCTCTATATAAACTCTTTTGTTAACTGTAAACAAATTGTCTTTTAAATTATTATCATTGCTGTTGAATTTTTTCTAATATTCAGCATTGTCAAAACCGAATTATAGAAATGGTCGATTTGTGCTTTTAAAATCCAGTCTGACAGTATGGTTCGTTTTTAATTTTTTAACTATGTTCTTATTTTCTCAAATAATGGTTTTAAGAGAAGAGAATATTCATTCACCCCACTATATCTGTTCAACGTATCATTTTCATTTTTTTTCTTACTGTACCACCACGAAACGTAATATTTGCACCGAGCCAGTACTAAATTCTTGTGCATGAATTCAAAAATTTTTGAATTGGATTTACCCTATAGGGTTAAAAAATTGTTTAAAATTCTCTTGCAACATCATGCGTGCCAAAACGTCAGTTAAGGCAGAGTGGAATTGAGGTAGGGTGCAACTTACTTGACTTTATGCAAACCCCTTAAGAGGGATGACTTTTGACGATGGATCTACACAATTTTCTATTTGTTACAAATGCTCTTTTTTTGATTCGCTCATACAAAGATCTTTCTTGATGACATCACTGTACTTAACCATCGGTCTTCCTCGTTTCCTTTTCTCATGTTACGTGTATCAGAGTATAAGCTTTGACGCTACTTCTTCTTCATGTCTTAACAGATGACCTACAAACATTCCTCTTCCTTCCTCGATCTTGACGCTTACTTCCTTTTCCTTTCCATACAAGTCTTCATTTCTTATATGCTTGCTAATTGGAGTTAAAGATGGGACCTAAGATGGTATTTTTGACAAGTTCTGACAAGATAGAATGTTGCCTGAAATTTTCTAGCAAATTGATGTCGAGGATGCTTCAGTTTCAAAAGTAATCAGAAGGGGCTTGAAAATCTTTGAATCTAAATTTTCTGGTAGGCTGAATGCTGCATGCATTTTTTAGTGGATCTCGGCACGCAGTCTCGTTCGTGCTAGATTTTCATTCGATATCCGATTAGAGGCTCAGTTCCCGAATATCAATAGAACCAACTTATCGTCCCACCTTCTACCATAAAATTATACTGTGAATTAATTGGAATATCCCTGCGTCTCCAAATCTATAAAAGATTAGTTGATTCGATAAAGCTGTTAATTTGATTTCTCTTTAATATTTTTATATGGCGACAACGAACATTTGATGTTAATCGCAGCTTTTATAAAATAATATTGCTGGTTTATATTTCGAGTGAGACATAACTATCCCCGAAAGTCATCTTTTTTGTCGGATACCCGGATTCCTACTTGTCTAGCCACAAGAAAGATCGCTGGTATTACCGACGATCTCAACATTAGAAACGTGACAAACATCACAAAAGAGCGGAGATTACTTGAAGATATCAGCACGGATCACTCATTCATTTTGCATAACCTCTTTAATATCGTTCATGCACGTGAATTGAAAGCGTTTTCTTTCTAAATTTCCATTTTTGTAGGTTGATACCAAATAGAAGGCTCGGTTGAATGAGGTGACTATCGAGGGCTAGCCCAAATTGGCTGTTCTTTAATTGGGGATTTGTTGCGCACGCTTAGTAGGGTCTAATTTCTTTAAAGGATGTGACCTCTAGAAAATATCGGTTTTACTCGTTGCATTGATGGTTAATGGTTTTTACAAAATCCTTGTCTTCAAGTTATAGTTTTTTGCTGTTGATATTTGAAGCAGCAAAGATATTTCAACAGTTTTCTTCGCAGAGTGTCATTTATGAGGGCAAAGTGTCGCGTGAATCTGGAATCCCTTTCCTTTATCAAAATTTATAATTCAGTTTGATATACAAGTATATATATTTATCTTCTATTGAAATATTATCTAATTGTCGTTTTGCTGTCTTTGCAATTGTCCCTTTTTGTTGATGTTGTCCCTTTTTCTTATGGTATAATTTTATCAGATATTGCGTAAACACTTTCAAACATTTCTTATTTTCGATGAAATTTGTTTGTTTAAATAAAACCACCTTTCAATTTCAAAAATTGTGATAAAAGGTATTTTGCAAGTGAATTTGCCCAAATCGTAGTCACTGGTGCCATTAACCTAGTTACTGCCTTTGTTGAAAAAAACTGGCGATGATAAGGCGATGAAAGTTACCTAATAAGTTCAACTGCAGCACCTGTTTCACGTATCATTTAACTAAGCTTGGTATCTTTATGCTGTATCTTGTGGTGTACTGTTTTATTGTGTATCAATGCATCAACCTTTGCCCTTCTCTCCGCAACCCAACAACTACGTTTAACCTCGCAACCACATATTCCGGTTGGTGACTTTTTAAAGAACTAAACCAGTTAGTACTAGATCAACATTAGCATCTTGAATAAAATTTCGTCATTTTATCGACGCATAGTCAATAACGTATCAATTTTCCATGTTTGCAGGAGTAACTACATTTATCAAGAAAGGAGGACGTTGGTTCTATGGATGCCTCATCTAATTTGTATATGCTGATATAGAAAGATAAGGTAAGCATGCTAATTGATTACAATGGCTGCAAATACTCTGTTAGAATCTAAACTGACTACATTGGCCTGTAAAGGCCTGTACTGTATCAGCTATTTTGTTATCTTTGTTTTTTGTATTTATTAGCACTTTACTCACCACAGTGCACATATGATTCATAAAGGCTTATGCGCAACCGGCATACGTTGGGACTGTATTTTCAAAACCGGCCTAATATCGTACTGCCAGGGCCATTTCTTCCCGTGTAAGAAAACAGCTACCGCAAAGCTTACCGGTCGCTCAGAAGCCTTAAAATTAATACTGTTATGTAACTGTATTTTCGTCTTGGAACAGCCTATTTCTGTATCAAATACTAGCCTTCAATTCTTGATTTCAGTTTGAAAGACAAACCGTTTATGAAATGAAAAAAGTGAGCTTTAATTAACTACGAATACGCTACCTGTTAGCAGCCTACTGTAAATAGATTTATAATGATGATAAAAGATAATGGTCTTGAGAAGAATATATATTTTTCATCAATAAAACGAAACAAATTCCCATTAAGTTTCAGCATGTTAAGAAACAACCAACATTAATTCTTCTTATACTTGCGAGCAGTTAAAAAATCAATCATGGTTGAATTCGATAACCTTACTCTACACCTGGCCAGGCTTTTTGTTCAAAAGGATACCTGTATTCGTTCAGCTAGAATCTAAGACAAGTTATTTCACCCATACTACTTCTTGGCTACTTGGCCAAACTGTTTTTTGTTAGGCTTGATACCTTTCTATTAATATGAACGTTTTAACGAGTGAGACAATAATTTTCATGCTTTTATCATATAAGCAACGCAGGTTTTCCTTCGTAAGGTATCTTTGTATTCTCAACCATGTGGTCGTAAGATGCGATAATCTTTTACAGGTTAAATCCTGCTGCGATTATCATTATTTAACTGTAGATATCACAAGCTTTGGTCTAAATTATCTTCGCTGATAGGCATTGAAGTGTGCATATTCAATCTTCTCTCTTTGTGGATGCTTCGAATCGCTTCGAAGGAAACTTCCCAGTGCAGCGTTTCTTTACCTTCACGATTTTCTTTACTTTCTTTATCTTCAACTTCTGTCAAAAAGTTTCCTTCCTTCGACCAAATTGCTACCCTTTCATTCGATGTTTGTTGCCATTGCTTTACACAAAGATCAGCTACTGAGGATTTGTTGTAATGATTGAAAACAAATCTCCCATTCAGTTCTCAAGTTTTCCTTCCTGTGTTCGGAGACTTTCTTTATTCCTGAATGTTCTTTGGATAATTCAAGTCCTCTGAATATTAAGCACACCTCCAAGTATCCTTATGTAAAATATGAAACGTATTTAAACAATGTCGGGATGCAAATACTGACGGGAGACTTTAAATCAAATGAAATATTTTTCATCATTACAGAAGGCAGACAGACATCCCAACTGACAAGATCACTGTTGTAGATCATGTAACAAAAAGATTATTGTTGTAAACATTAGAAAGACTATCGGTTACAGCAATACAAGATTTCCGTTGCAATACGTATTACAGAATCATTTTAGTAAGGATTCTCTCCGTATTCCTCGAGGGAAGCTAGCATATGAGAAGAGAGTTCTGGCAAGCGCTACTTATAAAGATCTTTTACTAGATTGGTTCATAAATCAGTCAATTTGCCCCTCGTCGCATTTGTCAAATTATTGTACATACGATGCTTATGTTTATAATGGCATAAATATTTTTCATTTTCTTGTATCAATTTTATAAAGTTCTCTATTGTCCAAGTGATTTTGCGAGCGATTCGAATTGTCAGTTCGAGTTTGAATGAATGTTGCTGAATGTTCAATCAAGTTGGTCATATTCAGTTTCGTAACTTTGCTTAATAAATCCATTTTTGGTTGCACAAAGGTTCCATATCAGGTGTCAAGGATGATATCTTAGTTTGCATAGGCTGATCGCCCGTGCTTGTTTTGCCCTTTATACCATTCATTCTCTTTGCATAACCAGTCGAGGGGCAAATCACTCTATGGAAATCTTTGGTAGAAATCCTATTTTTAGTCGAAAAATCCGTAGAATCCTTTTGTTTTTGTTGAAATCTTGCACCCTTTTTCCAAGAGAAATCTTGCGCATCGCAACCAGTGCTACTGTCGTGTCCACACTGGGAACTAGTGTCCGTAAAAACGTCTACATGAAAAGAGTCGTGTAGTCAATTGGACAAAGGACCAATTTGGGAGCTGGATTATTTCTCTACCGTTAACCGAGGAAGGCTCTAAATATTTGGCACCTTGGCAAGCCAAGCTAGGATGCCTGTTATCTGTGTGCTTGCAAAGCGTAAAGCGTCCTTACAAAGCCTCTTTTCACTCCTCATTTTGCTTGACACAAAATAGCATTACAGAGTATAATTTTTTGAATTCCGGGATTTCTGCTATTTCTTGACTGAATTTCTCGAATTCTTTGTTGAAATCTCGAGATAAACTGTTAGCGTAGACATAACCACTTCTAATGAAAAGCTTAGGGATAACAACTTATCATTTACATTGTTATCCAAAAATGCCATAGGTTAGGCAAAGCCTGGCTTTAGCCCTTGTCGTCACGTTAAGTCTGTCTGTGGCTTGCCAGGATATTGTGATGATTATACAAGGAACTGAGCTGATCCGAACAATCTCCAACAATTTTTATAAGTATTTGTTGAATTAAATCAGACATATGAATAGCTCGTCCTTTACTCCACATCATATGGCAGTCTCCCCTACCCACATACTTCAGTAATGTGCTCTGCCAAATAAACTGTATAGCATGAGTATGAATATTTTAAATTTTTAAATCTTATATTAAAAAATACTAAAATCTTCAGAGACCCCGGGCTAGAAACTAATGGTTTTGCTAGATTTTATCCTCATTTTCATCAAAGGTGTTTTGATAAAACGTTATGAACCTGATGTTACAGGTTTCCTTTTCTTGTTTATCCTCTTCTTTGAGTAATGCTTTTCATTTAGATGCTTATAAGTGACATTCACTACTGACTCCAATATTCTGATTCTAGGCCGCCCTCTTTTTCTCTTTCCATTCATTCTTCTGTCTTTGGCATCTTTTAGTAAGTTCTTGCTCTACAAAACAATATTTTAGAAAATTTGGCTTCCATGAATCAATGCAGGATTTGTAATCGCTCTACCAAAGTATTCTCAGCTCCGAGTTATCGATTTTGCATTTAGACCTGTCTAATGTCTACAGACCTTTCTTAAAAATGGACCCCAGGCTTGAAATCATGAAGACTTCATGTCCTTTGGATTGTTCGATTGAATTTAATACGTTTTTGAATATTTAGATATTTCTAACGATTTCTTCCTAATTTGCTATTGCAGCAAAAAAACTCCGGTGAAACTTACAGGGAAGGCTGAATTTAAAAACGGCCTGTCTTTCCAAACAACGTAAAATTTTCAGACAGTCAAATTTCAACATGCCAATTCGATGAAGAATTTGGCAAATGAAAAGATAAAAAATCGATAAAACTAACTCAGAACCGAAATTATAACTTCCTTTTTTGTGACCCAACAAATTGTTAACGAACGCTACTGATTCAATTTGGTGCTACGCCCCTTATTCACCTGGAACTTTGAACCTGTGACGTCATTAGCAGGTCAGATTTTTGGCAAATCATTGTTGCTCTCATACTGTTGTTAGGTGTTTAGATGCATGTCGATCGGTCGATTGGCTCTTTTATTTGAAATGTCTGAATTGGATTGGTTTCCTTGCCACCCATTCGTAAATTTCATCTGTTCGATGCCAATGGCCGTATTTCAATCTCACAACTGTCGTCCGGCCTCGGTCAAATTAGAATTTGAATACAGGGCTTCTGGTGATCCTTTGTTTTTGTTCTCTCTGTGTACAAAAGAATGGCTTTCTTTTCATGGAAACTTGATCTTCGCTGAGCTTTATCAACAAAGCTGAAAGAGGGATTCACCATTGCATTGTTTCATCGCAGACAGCATTTGCAGTTATCGGAGGGAAAGAAGCTTTTTAAGAATATTAAATTGCCAATCCAAAAGAAACTTGCTAAATAGGTGATAGTTAATATTTAATCGGATTTTGCCAAGTTTCCAGCAAATTGCGATTGGGGATATTTTTCCACAAACTTGCAGTTCGTCGTCGTGATAAATGGTGGTCATTTTGCTGGTTGAGTGTTGTTATGCTTGCTTGTTGTAGCACCTTACTAGTTTTAATGGTAAGTTTCATATTGTTGCTTTCAGAAATCTCACAATGTTTTCCAGGCTGTCATGATATCATTACAATTTTTTAAACTGCATTGTAACGTGTAATTTCTTACGACAGTTTTTCGAATTCAGTCAGAGAATCTGCTTTTTAAAACGCTTTCAGCAACATGAATTCTTCTAACAAAAGTGGCTAGCATTGATGATCGAAAAACCTTAAAAGAACCTCGAATGAAGGGATTATCTGATTTCTTCCTCTATTAAAAACTTTTGTCTCAATGAGATTTTGAGAGAAACGTTCATACTTCATACCCCCTTACACACTCGTAGCCTTGTTGAAGTGGCCTTTTATGCTCGAAAGTGTTCTCGAGTAAGATTATTTTAACGTTAGACCCCATCTACGCCAGGTTTTGGATTGTATTTTCGTACAGTGTCTGATAGGAAAGGTAATGAAAGTTTCGTTTCTCTTTTCGGAAGCTACCTACAGATAAAGTTAATAAAATTGATGACTTTTTTATTAACAACAAATTGAAGAGTGCCCTTAACTAGCCTCTATCACGTAAGGATTGCTATGTGCCTAGCAAACTGGGACCGAGGATCATCTTGCGCTTTTTAAGTATAATGAACAATCTTACGACCCCATTCCCAATCAATCGGTAATATGCCTAACGGTTCCCGTCCCCATTTAGAAGTGGCCTTTTTCAGTTTGATACCCAATCTCTTGCTAAAACTCCATCTTTTTTCTGCCTCGACTACGTTACCTGTCCGCCTGTAACTGTAGTCTGTAGTCACTTTACATCTTTCAGAATCTATTTGATGGACTATTACAGGACCCAAGCCGAAAATTACAGAGTATTGGGGCAATTGGAGTCTAGATAAAAAAAGACAAGACTTGCTGGGTCATCCAACGTGCTTCAACATCTGCTGTTTATCCATTTTCCGTCGTATTTTAGAATTTGTTGCCAGAAAAGTGAGGGAGGGGAATGGTTCCTTATGGCAGGACTGTTTTTTTGGTAGGAGTGTCAATCTTGTTGTATTTAGGAAGCTTGGTTGGAGAGCGAACAGGAGGGCAAATTAGCTTGTCTTATGCTCCACACCGAAGATCTCCCTAAATCAGCCCTTTGACGCGCTGTTGAATTCAGTCTGGGTGTATTTAGACCCACAAAGTTCTAGTTAAGGTTAAATTTAATACAGAATGTTGCACATTAACAATTTGAATACAAGGATAAGAATAGCTATAGGAATCAGGATCATATCCTGATTCTAGAACATGTATAGGGTTTTGAGACGATACCTAAGGATATAGATACATCTGCCATTAAATTTTCACTGCAAAACAATTACAACATCGCTGTGCGTAGCAAACCTCAGCACTCCCTAAGTTTCCTATAGAGTTATTCCCCAGACCCCAATCTGGTTTGTCGTTTTCGTTGAAATGAACGGGCCTATCTGCCACAGTAATATTGAGGGATTGCATGAAAATGAGTGAAGGTTGATTGTGGTTCATGGATTTGTTGCTTCAGCTGCGATTCAGATGTTTTGAACTTCAAACTTCCTTAGTCAACCTATCATTTCTCAATGCTGTTTACGCAATGTCAAACCAGAGGCCTAAAAAGACCTTTTGGCCTTTGAAATTGTGATTACAAATTTGAAATTGCAATTAACACCGTACTTTGTTAGGCATCTTTGTCACTCACAAAACCTTTTGTTGAGAAACTGATTGGAAAATGAAATTATGTTTTTCTTTATGATACAGTTTTAAAGAGTAGCGAAAAAAACCGAGTGCTTTTTCAAGCTTATGAGCTTATATTTTATTTTGTGGTTTTCGTAGCGGTATGAACCAACTGAGGGCACCAGATTGATTTGCTTGTTTGTAGCGACGGCTCTTGTGTAATTCAAATACAAATATTTCGAATTTGTGTCTTATTTTTAAGCTTTGGGCTTAAATCATATCAAATCCTATCTTTACAAATAATGCAGTAACACTGAAAAAAAACTAATTGGATTGTGGAATGTTTTGACAAAATGCAGTGTTTGAGACATTCTTGTTTTTTAGCCTGGACATTTGTCTCATTCGTCGCTTCCATGCTGCCAGGTCTGCTAAAACCCAACGATTCTTTGTTCATTAACTTTAAGAACCATATTTTAAACAATCTACCAATGGCATTGTGGTTTCAAAAAGATTCAGTCTTCAGTTTTCGAAATCTGTAGTTATTAAGATTAAATTTGATGTCTTTTGATAACTAAATGCATGAAAGGCCATATTCTGCTCTCTTTTGTGTACCTGTGGTTTCTGAAATCGAGACTTTCTCATATTTTATAAGCCTGATTGCTAACCATTACAAGAGTTTCAGATCTTTCAAGATAACTTCAAGGTACGACGATAGCATTTTCATAGTAACAACTCATTTGCTAGCTGCATTTCTTCCTGAAAGTGCCCAATGTTTGCGCTTCGTGTGCGCTGTTTTCTCGGCAGACATCGCACGCTGTATTATTTTGATTCTGCTCAGTGTTCGAATTAACAATTTTTTCCAAACGTAGGTGTGTTGCATTTTTACTAAATTCCTCGCTACAGATGATTGGTATTCTTTTGGGGTCTAGTTTTCAGTCTTATCGAGCTGTTAGCTCCATGTCTTACTTCTCATACAGGCAATACACTCAAATGACACCCCGTACAGTCTCCTGTTGCTGGATCCCTGGCAACGTAGAAGTATACATTCATCTAATCCCTTATCTGAAGCTGATTTATCTTTTACCTACAGCATTTTTAAAACTCACTCGCTAACGTTTACTCGCTAGACTTGTTATCGATCCATTTAGTGTAGGGATGTCGTCACTTCACTACGTACGTTAATACTCTTCGTGCAAAGTCCTATCGTAAGGTTATTTGCCAATAATATTTTGTGCTTATTTTCTAGACTCAACTGCAGTGAAGATCTAGACAATACAAGATGAATGCCAGCAAGCCATTGATCACTACCCAAAGACCATTGCAAATTTCCTCATTGAATGAAACGATGCAAGTACTGAACAGCACTTTGGCAGCTGTTGCCAATTTCACACTGATGCCTGTGATAAGCAGTGGCAGTGATAATGCATCATCCTCGCTCGCACCGCTAACATCCTCACCCTCCACCGCTTCAGATAAATGCAAAGCGTTTGCATATAATTTTCACGAAAATATTCCCATTTCTGCTGTTTGTGGGTTGTGCTTTATTATTGGCCTTATTCTGGTACTTGTAGGTGCGTACTATGTATTTATTCCCTTCTCGAATAAAATAATGATGTTAATTTTGATGTTGATGTTGATATGAGAGAGATTTCGGTTTTCGAAGCTCGTCTTAAATTTTCAAAAATAGTGTAATAGGCCTAGTATAATGTGTACACATTTTTGTTTGATATCGAATTTACTAAAACAAGATCAAAGCATACTAGATACCATTATTTTTAATGAAAACCTAGCTGATAACAGTCCTTATCTTCTTTTCGTTGCTCGAACACTTGATTTTAAGGTGGTTTTGGCAATATCTTAGTATCTTATATTAGCCCGTAATCAGAGTTCTCTGTACCCTGTTTTCCTTTTGGATTCATTAAGTATTATTCTGATTAATTATATCTTTAGTCTCGTATCTGCTCGTAACATGAAATGACAACTAATCTTTTTAAAATGTGGTCTGTTTCATTAATTTTGCCAATCCCGTACTCTTGCGAGATATTTGTACAGAAAGAATTATTTTCTCAGATCTTTTATTCCCCTAATCCAAACAGATTGAAATAAAGAGAATGTTAGTAATTGCATCACAGCCTTTTGTTCTTATACATTGCTTATTTTTCTCTTCAAGGTTACCGGGCATTTAGATTTTCGATGTTCATTATGGGCCTATCTCTTGCCAGTGTCCTGACATATCTTGTCCTAATAAATAAGACAAAACTCGGATTAACTTGGACATCGCCAATTGCTGCTGGAGCTGGCCTCTTTCTCGGACTCTTTGCTGCCTCGATTCCAGTTCTCGGTCTTATAATCGCAAGTATTATACAAGGACTGTTTTTCACAGTTATCGTTTTGTTCATCATCACTCTGTTCTTCACGGATCACGTTATATGGATTTGCGTCGGAAGTCTCGGTGGCCTAAGCATCATATTTACCATTTTTATGTTCCTGAAACAAAGACAGGCCGCAATTGTTTACATCACCAGCTATGGAGCCATCCTGATCATGATTGCGGCTGACTACTTTCTGGACTTGTTCCTTATAGCGAACTATGCATATAGTTTGATCTTGCAGGTGGAGGGCCGCAAGCCTTGCTGGTTTTCATGGACACTGTTCGCAATGTGGCCGTTCCTTTTGATACTTGGTTGCTGTGTGCAGATTGTGAAAACTGCCCGCGGATATTATCACAGTCCTGGTAATTCAGATTTATCTTTTCTTTGAAAAGAATAAAGATAACGTCCTCACTTAGATTGTTGTCCAGCTCGTCAACATTCGACAGTTTTTGAAAATCTTGTATTTGATATTGTTTTCAATCATCTAAGATAAGCTTTTCATTGCCTCATTTCAATTTTGATAAAATAATAATTCGCTTTAATACCTTAAAATTATGAAAAATGAAATCAATAAAAAAGTTTCCTTCTCAGGCCTTTTCTGCTTCTATTTACGATATTAGAATTAATCGATTTGTTATTGCTATCCACAGCTCTGCAGAAGAAAGCACAGGAAAACAAGTACAAAACTGACAGTACGGGGAGGTCAAGACGTCTTTATGACAATGGAGATGTGATTGCCCAGGTAAGAGTTTGATATTGTATTCAAATTTCTGACGTATTTCAGGGGGGGAACCATGGTATTTTCGGTTGTCCGTTTGAAAAGGTTAGGTGTGTTTATTTAGGTGGTTTATATTTTTTTAAAAAAATCTTCTTTAATAAAACCTCATTGTTAAGCTCTCTGTTGTTCGTCTCAGAAGTATCCAGAAAAGAACAGACCCATATCTATCCTTGGGTTAAATAAACAATTAGGTTTTTTGAATACCGTTTTCGTATTACGAACTACAACCGTTTAACTTATGTTGATGATTCGGTAATGCTGAAGTCAATTTCTGCCTGTTTCTTTGAATATTTCTTATCCCCACAATCGATGCCTTAAAAAACGAGTTGAAAATGCAACAATGTAATTGAAAGTATTGTAGAATGTTTATGAAAAAGTACTTATAGTCTTAAGGTAAAAAATGCAAACAGAGTGTTGGATTTTCTTTGTGGAAGCAAACAAAATGTGAAGTCATATTGATATGAATATAGGCCTTGTTGTATAAAGCAGGGGTTTTAAGTATAATATAGTTTTAAGGCAACTATATATAACTTTAAGAAAAAATACTATTTATAACACACAGATGGTTGCTCAGTATATGGTAAAATGTAACAGCCAGTCGAGAGCAAGTGCAATGGCTATCCGTTTCATTTGTCTATACAGCCACACGGAAACCACTGGAGGGTTGTGTCACGGCTACAGCAATGATGACCCCTATTTCGTTTTTAAAGACTTCTCATGAAGAGCATTCATTTCCATATTTCTGCCGAATGCACTTTCAAATTAAGAAATACTAAAATCATCATTGAAAATAAAATCATTGAAAATTTAGAGTAATGTCAATAATGCTCGTCTGCTCAGTGATAACATGCCTACAATAAATCGAAATGATTTCGTGTTTTATATAAGCTATTTTAAATTGACCTCTTAAGTTTGCCGCTGCTTTTTCAGGCTTGGATTCAAACGACTGATGATACTCTGGACAAGAGGCGAAGTTTTACACCTGTACACGAATACGATTCCGCTGACGACAAAGAAAGTACAACATTGGTATAAAACTGATTGCTTACCTGAAACATTTGTTGAGTAGTTTTCAAGATGATTTTCGCTCAGACACCTTTGTTGAGAATTCGTCAAACAACTTACTGTAAAGCATATTTAAAGGACAGCCTCTCTTGCATTTTTGTGGATGAAAATATTCACTGTGGAGGAGTAGCGATGGCCCTCAGTTATCAAATCTTTATTCTAATCTTTATTGAAATAAGATTTTTCTGTTCATGTTTATTGACTGAATTAGTTTTATTACAAAGTTCTGTGAATTATAATACAGGATGAGAACATCAAGAAACAATTTTTAATTTTATTCTTATTTGCCAAGCCTCCTATATTGATTTATTTATACTTGAAGCAAAATGTATTGGCAAACCGTTTGTTTTAAAATTTTATTTTTTCCCTAGCCCTTATCAATAAGGTCACTTTGATCTAAATTCTAACGACTTCTGACATCATAGCCAACTATTAACTGGCTTCCCAACTATTTCAGCACATTTTGTGAGTTTTATGGCATATGCTCAGCCCCCCATCCTCCCCCCCAATTTTTAAAAGGCTCTCGGCTGCAGTCACGAAAAACAGTGCAACCTAAGAATGGTAATATGAATATTTCAAGAGAATCAACAAAAATATTGCCGTTTACAATGTTAAAAATCTAACGTTTTCATGTCGTTTATCATACAAAGATAAATTATTTGCCAGAAACCGAATCCCTCGGGTCGTTAAAAGTTTTCGTTCTAAGCTTAAGTTCAATCATGAATGTTTGTTCTGGTTTATTTAGCTCAAATCTGTAAGTTGGTCAGTCTAGTATGTTCAGAATTTTCGTAAATAAGGTCCTAGGATTTTTACCCAGTTGCATGTGCTTCAAAAGGTGGAACAACTGTAAAGAAAAACGTTTCTTTTATTTGAAGCCTTACTACCGTCTAAAAGGGGTTACGAATTCTGGCCTTTTGACCACGCTAGGACCTGGCTGTCCTGTCTTGTAAATTGTCAACAGATCCATTTTGCTTTCATCTCAGTAATGTCTTAAAATTTCATTTCCGTTTAGCAGTAAGTAAGTATTTAGCCCTGTATATTTAGATGTTTTTATTCGTTAGTTTCCTTAACAGTAAATTTGTTCGAAACTAATGTTGTTTAAAGTTGTGAACTAGTTTTGCATCTTCCTTTTTCCTTACCTATAAGAATTCTTTTTAAAAGAGAAAAAAGGAACTAGTATTTTGGAAGGTTTATGATTGCTTATGAATCAAGTTCTATTTGTTTAGATTATTTGTCAATATTATGAGTAGTTTTACATTCTGCGATATTAATGAGTAACTTCAAAAATAAAACGTTCCTCTCTTTCAAACTGTACATTATTAGCATTAATTCGTTTTAGGCTAGAAATATTTGTGTTGTATAGAAATGGAAGGTTGAGCTGTTGCTCTGTAAAATTCTTTGTTTATTAAATATCAATTTGTAGTGTTTGTGTGTATCAGAAATGACACAATGCCTTCGAAGATTTCTGACCCTGGCCCCCTGCTACTTTGGCTAAAAATTTTATCAGTTTACCTTTATGTGAAATATCTTTGCTGCAGGGCAAATGTATAACGACAACTTTGATTGCAATATAATGGCCTATAGGCGTCAATAAAATACTAGCAATAAGTAACTGCTGATGACTTTGCTAAATGAAAAAAGAATCACGACAGAGCAGTGTTTAATTGATATATTCGATGATGATAAAATGCACAGATGTAAAACACTAGAAGCACGTTGCATGAAAATTTTCCACGAGAACCGCTCATTGTTATCTGTTCAGATCTGACCTTTAGCACCAGAGATACATTTGAAATTACTTTTCTCATAACAGTTGTGACAACAAGAAATTTTTATAGATTTTTATGAATTATGAGTTTTGTTCTTTCATGCATATGACAATCAATCGAATTGGTCGTAACAAAAGTAAAGTCAAGTTGTTTCTTCACTTAATAATAGTAGTGGAAACGACACTAAAACGCAAGAACATTTTTCAGCCTCTAAGCGAATAAATTTTTAAGATTCTTTTGTATTTTCTTGACTCAAATAAAATCATTTGTGAGGATAACTGAATTTAAACTTGACGATGAAAAAACGGACTTTTGATTGCAAAGCTGATTAGGCACCGAGAAAAGAAGTTTAAAATATTAAAACAAAAAGAGCTAGGAACCAATACTTGTTTAATGATATGACAATCGTGGTATTTTCCTTGGATTTAACACGAATTAAAAAGTGACAAGCTTTATTCGGACAGTTGACAAGTGAAAAAAGGAAAAGTCTTGTTCCATGCTGTTGAATTATAATTGACAAAAATGAGCTCTTTACAGGGATTGACCGATTTATAATGTACTCGCAATGAACTTAAAACATCTTACAATTTGCTAGATCATCTTCAAAAAGAAAAATTGAAAACATATGCTAAGAACAAGAAGAGTGGAATGGAATCACAGTCATATTGCATATAATTAAATAAGCCGGCACACACAGGAAAAAATGTTCACGATAAATACAACAGAGACCGGATTGAGGCAGGATCTTTTGAACAAAAAAACGACACATATTTGGCTATATATACTAAGCATCAATAATATGATGCAGAAAGCATACAAGAATAAGCAAAAAGGCAATTTATTCTGGGAAATTATTTTTGATGCCACAAACCAAAACACCATACATAGGTATATCTGCCTTTGCCTTACACTACAAGCAAAAACATGAGGTAATTAACGAAATTTTCAGAAAAAAATTAGATTAATCCCATTACTCTTATTCTTACCCATCTTACCCTTTTCTCTAGAGGAATAACGAAGCACCCTAGGCATGTTCTAATTATTGAGAATCTTTTATTGAGAAAATGTTAGAGATATTGTAGTAAATCAAGACGATATCTTGATTGGTTTAATGATCGCTACTGGATTAATCAGTTAATATTAAAAGCTTCCCTTCCATAATATTTTCTAAATATGCAAAACTTTGAATTTGCATAATTATGGAGGCAAATAAAACATATCGAGTTGGGAGATGAGGCTGCCATTTATAGTACTAAAACTAAGACAAAGATGATTCTGATCTAGCCTGCCAGTATATCAGATAAATGAGGAAAATAACGGAAATAGCTACAATTTACATAAATAAACCCTCATACAAGTCATATTTCTGTACATCTAATTTGATAATGAGCTCAGAATAGCAGTTATCTCCTCTGCGACAGCAGCAAGGCAGAATTCAAATTGAGCCTGATAGGAAAAGAGAAAGCATTGAAAGTATTTTACTTTTAATGAAGAGTAAAAAGAAAACTTGACTACTTGTATCAGGAATATTTCTTAACTTTTGACATTACCCTAAAACTACCCGTTAGAAATATTCATCGTCTGCCAAATAACAGTACCTTCTTTACAGTACAAAATGGCTGGTGTTGGTCATGGCCCTTAGCTTTTACTTGTATAGTTTTCTGGTATACGGTGTTATTTTAAAGCAATGGCTGTATTTATCTCTTATGTCTGAATGTCTGAAAAATGAGTAATGGAGCAACATGAACCTGACGCCTTCTAGATCGTTGCATTGAACTACCTATATGCGGCAGAAATTTGTTTGTAGAACAAACCAAAGTCAAAATATACTCGTTCGTACCTTTGTCTTCACCATGTCCGGCCGCTGGTCTCGTATGTGCTCTAGAGTTGCTGCTATATCAATTTCTTTCGTTCCTTTTTTAAGAATCAAGAAACGATAAGGAAATAATTTTTGTCATCTTTTTTAAATTTCAACTACACTTCTTAAACACTTCTTGTACACACAAATCTTAAAAACGATTTTCAGTAAATCTGTGTTATTATTATTATCATTATCATTACTATTGAAAATTACTTTTTACCGGTCTATCATAAAGTACTCGATGCCGTGCCTGATGATCGCATCAAGCGTGAAACTCAGAGACGCAACTTAGGACCGGCCTGTTCTACACACGAAATAGCATATTCATCATCCTATATATTGTCCAAAAGTTTTGGAAATATTCGAAACAGTTTCACACATCGCTGCTGAATGTGGTCTGGATACAAAGTGTATAATTTGATCAAAAATCGAGGCAAAAAGAAGTAGTAAGATCGTCACGTTGAATGGTTTACCAACAAACAAGAACTCACCTTTGATCATTTTTTTAAGAACCATATCAATAAGAACATAAGTGCCAGTCCTTCCGACCCCGTTATTGCAATGAACAACTATCGGACAGGCCTGCCCTCGGTAGCATTTGTTCACTTTCCTGCAAAGAAGGGTGTCAGACACTGAAAAAATCTTCACACAGCTGGACCCGGAAAAGAACATCAAAAATATATCTTATCAAAGATTACATCCATGGTACCGGTATCGGAAATTCAAAGCATGCAGATCCATCTATGACCGGACTCTAAATTAGCCGGGTTCTGATGGATACCTGGTCTAGTACGTTTATCATGCATTGAATATCTTGGTACGGGCGCATTGCAGCAAGGGCTAAGAAACGTACCGGCATCTTGCTCTTCAAAATATTCAAACAATATTTCTGACGAAAAATAGAGGAGGGTTATAAATGTTACCATTTATCATAATAATAAATCTATATGTATGTATCTGTATAAATTTCAATATTCCCTAGGAAATTAACAACAAATTATGCATATAGCGTTTTCTGGTCATTCAATATGAGTTAGTACAAGAAATTGAAGACCTGTTCCTATACACTAGATGTCTTTAATGAAAACACTAGCGCTCGCTGCTCAGATCTAAAGTTCACACCAGCTTGCATAGTGAAGTAAAGAATTTCACTGGTGGGCCCAACTATAACTTTAATGTTCTTTGGCCTTTCATTACCAGAGAAGTTACTCAAAATCCAATGATGTCACAACAAAGGGAATTACTCTAGGGCAGTGTAACAGCAGTTGTAATTCTATTACTTTGCAATGTAGCAAACTAAACATACCTCCTAAACTCCAACAGCGGCTTTGCACTCTCTGGAATTGACAAATCTGGCCAGGTCAGAAAATGAAACTGTGTTATTGTCCGTGTTTCTTGAGTCTAAAAATTGGAGTTAAAACATAAAAAATCAGCAGTTTTGAATTGGAATGATGAAAACAAAACTGCACTCGTAACTATTTTAACTCATAAAAGAATTAAATATGTTAAAATAACTTACCACTAAATGCTTTAGATAAAAACTTCTGACAATATAGTCGTCACACCAAATATGCTCTGATATAAGATGCACCTATGACATAGAAGAAAGTAGTTAAATTGACCTCTGACATCTATAATGTTTCGCTAGAATCGTAACAGACTGGAGAAAAAAATTCAATGAACACATCATACCAAATAATAGAAATCCCATTACAGAAAAGAAGACATTGGTTACCCAAATCATACAGAGTGACGTAATTGCAAAAAAATAATAGCTGTCAAATATCTGCAATGGTTAAAAATTATCAAAATACTATTTGGAATAATTTAATTGTAGTGTTCCGTCAGTTTTAAGCATCCTCTTAAGAGACAAACAAAGTACCTGATAAATATTGTACACTTCGCTCCCTTCTTCTGGCCAATATCTGTGGCATTGTGGCTACAACAAAAAGGGAAAAAACATTTATAATCTGAGGATACAGATTGGTAATCAGTGAGTGCAGTAATGGGTACATTACACTACAATGCAGTACAGACAGAGTGGAAACAATGTCATTTATCGAGACTTACCAGGCCCATGTCTGACAGTCGAGTTAAATTGACAATCACAACCACACCCTGCTCCCAGATCATCTAAAATGCAAGTAACATTTGTATGAGTACCAAGACATAAACAAAATTTGAAATTGATAGTTAAAGGAATCTCCTCAGGAAAGAATTGGAATGCATTTATAATATACTGAAAACAAGGAAGGAGCAAGATGAAATATGCAATGTATTCATAATGTATGTACAGGACGTGTCATTCGTTACAGGAAAACGATGACATGGTGTCTATTGCCAATCTGGACGAGACAACCAAAAATTCATGCTTAGTTTATCATTTAAATATATCGTTGTGTATCTTTAACGAGTAAACTGAAAGAGAATGGCATTTGTAATGTTCTCCCTCACCTGCCAAAAATCTGCCACCGTGTTGTCAAGGGGTCCTTGCGTAGCTATGTACGATGGGTTGCGCGGATCTGTGTCAGTCTGGTAAAACAGAGGTTGCAAGTTTGACAAAAACAGTAACAGTGTTGCGAGTTTCACACACATTTTCAGAAAAATTAATAAACTCTTGAATAATAGATAAAAACCAAATAAATAGAAAAATAACCAAAAAATCTTGCTTCAGTACCTATTTCTAACTATTAGCAAATATACTAATATTGTATTTAAGTAATGAAACCAAAAGCATTTTCAATTCAGTTTATCATTCTTGCCACTTTGCTGGATTGAGAGGACACTTTGCTACAAATCTAACTTCACTCACGATGAAGTTGGCGTTGATGTAATCCGAATGGAAAACGTTGGATGTTTCTCTTAACTTTACCCTCGTGTGATCATCTGTGGAATGAAAAGTGAACATCATTTTACTAGGAAGCTAATATGGATAAGATACATAGAAAGGAATGGGTGTTCCAAGATACACATTGCACAAATATAATAATGAAAGACAGTCGATTGATTCGCTCATAAGAGAAACAATTTTCATTTATGTTATTTGAGATTATAAAAGGTTGGCGGTGTGGCTATTCACGAACACTAATTCTACAGACAGAGGAAGTCCACAGGTAGTATTAAATCATAATACTACTAAAAGAAAAATAAACTTAAAGTCAAGACTAATAAACGCACATGGTAGCACGTTGCTGTATCTATTCTTTCCAGTGTTTTTGCTATCTTTACCAGCAGTTGTTTCTTCTTGATCTGCTTTATAGTTACAGAGTGCCTGGATCAGATGAAAACAAAATGCTCTAATGAAATAATGTACGGTTTATAAAAATACTAAGAAAACAAGCAAGAACTAGGTGAAATTTTCTTATTGGAGCTCTGTACTCGGGCCTGGTAGATCACCAAAAGATGTGAACAACTTCAGCTCCTTGAGTAGTTCTAAGCTATAAATATAAATTAGGAGTTCAAACTGATATAGCTCCTTAAATTCGGCAAATAAGGTTCGGTTGCGTTTTCCAGAAATTCGGACAAAGAAACTTTTGGGCAAAATCTTTTGCCATGATAACAATATATAGGCAAGAATCAGTCATAGGTAACTAAATCTTACTATATAGGTGTAATAGAAAAGGTTGGGGAAACTAGCAGCGCAACTTTAGTTTAAAGCTGCATCACAGATCTTTCACATAGCGTGGAAAAAGAGGGAACATGAGATGGAAAATATTTTATAATCTAGTTGGAATATATCTTTAAACTTTAATTTCTTTCAATAGTTGCCCAAATTTTTTGCATTTTGTGTATGACGAAGCGCTCAAACACCGAATCGGGGATTGATAAAATCGTTGATAAAGATGAGAAAATGCAAAAGTTGGATAATCAGTCGTTGCTAGTTTGAAGTCGTTGCAAAGTTTTTAGAGCACATGGTTGGCATAAAGGCATTTCTGGTATCAAACATAATCTTAAACAACAACTACAAAAACTCTTCAGCTCGATGAAATGGAACCAGTAATAAATTCACCCACCTCCCATTCCTGGCTAAGTTTATCCTCATTTTTCAAATGGTCCTCCATGTATGCCTAGGAGACAAATTTACTCACAACGTAAGAAAAACATAATGAGCAGAGAATCTTGTATCCATTATAAGAATGCCAAAAAAGGCAAAAACTTTGAATTGTAGAGCAGAATACAACGTGCACAGGAGTGCATTAAACTGTACGATCAGAGAAAATAAGGCATTTAAGGCAATGAAAGGGCATGGTCCTAAATAAAGCCAAAATTCGCCTAAAATGCAAGCACTTACCAGGATAACATGCCCAGTTGAAATATCCATGTTGAAACCGAATGGTTCTTCTCTCCTAAGAGAACAAAGCGAGATAACTACCTTGAGAGGTACACATCTACTGACGTCATAAGGACAGACAATTCCAGACGAGTAACAAACGAATTTCAATGCAGCTGTTGAGAACCCAAATTTGCTCTGTATACTTTGGCTGCATGTTTTCCTTTACAAACTCAGCTGCTTCAATGGCCAAATATGTTTCGTTTTCAATACCAGCATTAATCAAAAGATACACAGACTTTTACCTAACAAATGATCATATATGAATTTTGTTTTTTCTAGGGGAGGTCGAATGCGAAACGAATAGTGCTATTCGCAGTCAATGTCCAACTATACTTGTTGTCTATACATCACGTAATTTGCCAAAGAAGGATAAGGAAAGCCGAATCTTTGCATGCTACTATGGAAAAGTTGATTTTATCTTTGAAATCTAGATGATGTTTTGAGTTTCGCATATTACTGAGATTATGAATAAGTTAAGAAAACAGAAGTACCACCTACCATGTTTTCTTTGTATATTTTCCTTGGCCGTCAACAAGCCCATGCCTTTGCCTGTCTGCATTTATAGCTTTGGTTGTTCTTGGGGAAGTCTCATTTACTGCCATTTGGGTTCTACAGAGTTCCTGCAAAAGTTTAAAGTTGAAATATTGTTACTGTAGATATTTTACAGCGTGTCCTTATTTACAAAATGATTGATTCTGATTTTGAAAAAAAGGTTTAGAAAGCGTGATTTTAGTACTGCATTTTCATAACACAAATGTATCAGACTTTCCTCCAAGGAGTCGACTTCCAATGAATACAGTTGATTTTCAACTTGAGTTAACAGTTTATTCATGAATGTGAAATTTAAAAATGTCGGCATTCCGAAAGCGTGTAAATTCTGAGTGTACATAACCCTGTAAAGACTGGAGATCGAAACGCCTTCCTTTGAACCTGCTTTGAGAGTTTTGCCTTCAGCCTGATAATAAACCAGCCTATCGAACATTCATGAATATTATTGAATTGGCATCAAAACTATGCATTGTACCAAATTAAACAAATACCTCGTAATCCTTCAGAGCCTCTTTCTTCTGCAGTTCTATTGGAAGCTTGCCACTAAACCGCCTAGAGAAAGATACTTTTCAGTTCAACAGAGGCTGGAGTAATAGAGTAATAATACTGTCTTATAGCAGATGCTTTTTGAATCATGAAAATCTATTTATCATTCCTGACACGTTGTTTATTGGAAAAGAATAACCGACTACATGTTGTAATAGTTTCATCCCTGGTTGTGAATTTCACAATATTGGGGACACGTATAAAGATAATTTGACGCATAATGCACCGAAACGGCCCATTTTAAACCTGTTAAATGAAATTATTTGAAATGAAAGTAACCTTTACATTAATTTTGGCTCTCTTAATTATATGATCTTCAATCAACGCACTGTGTTGACATGCTATCTAGAGGACATATTTAAACCTACATATTAAAGTACTTACCATAAAATAATGTCCAAGCTTTTTTGAGATTCTTTTGTCATTATTTCGATTTGATTAAACAACTTTCGACCTTGTGATATAAGAATCCCAGTTTGCTTGTCGAAACCGACTAATCAGAAGGTCTAAAGAAAATTGCAAAGAATCATTGCCAAGAGGCCCCTACTACGATAAGAAGCGACAAAAACTCATTACCTTTTAAGTGAGCAAATGAGAACTGATGCAACAATCAAACCCAGAGTACAGCCGCCAACGATCGCTGTGATTATTGCGAATTCGTCCCAATTTTTGTCCTTTGGTAGCCTAATTGCATTAACTCTCTATAACAAAACAAAAGTTTGATCTAAGAAAACACTGACAGGAATGGAAAGTCATTCATAGACTGGGTGCAAACTTGTAATCAGCCGAAATACCGTCTGGCCAAAACTCAGATTGGCAAAAACACAGACTGGCAAAAACACTGATTGGCCGTACCGGACCCAGAAAGACATGCATGAAACAGCTGTTACATAATACAGAAAAATGACCAATAATAATCTATGATAATTGTATCTATTAGATATGGATTCTATGAGTGCAGAACTTGAACATGGTAAGCATTCATATTCTTGATTATATCATACAAATTAATCTTTGGAGCTCTAGCTCTTTAATACTAACCGGTCAATACAGACCGGTTATTTCGAATAAATCAACCACTCTTCAAAAACTTATCCTAAGCTAATTTATTCTATCAAATGATTAAAATTTAAATAGGCTTGCAATATTTAAATAGACCGTATTGCCTACACTCTCTGGGAGAGCTTATATGATAAATTTTCAATACTAGTAACTCTAATGAACAAATTTTGCATTGACATATTGGAAAACAGTCAAAACAAAAAAGACATCTCAAAAAAAACTTACAGAACTCTTGGCTTGAACTAAGGTCAGACCAGTAGCCTTTGAAATGTTGCTTCTTAGAGACGCGTCTGTAATTAAACAAATATTAAGAACACGAAGAACAACGGACTTTTGCATTGTCTACATGCTAACTATATTATAAGAAGTTATGTTAATGTAATACATCTCTTTAATAGTTACGTCTTTGACATTGAGAAACCATCAAGAATATAGTCAAATGACCTCATGAATTAACAAACAGGCAGTTGCAATATCAGGTTATTAGAATTAGTCAAACCAAGGGCTGCTATAGGTTGGAGTGGTTGCAAAGGATAAGAGGTCTGCCTCTTGTTGCCAGAAAATAGTACAAGCTTCAAATAGGTGTCCACACTTCTTCACCTTAAACACGATAAAGAGCTAAGCACGGCCGTTGAAATCTTAGTTTTACTAGGAAGGGGGCTTCATTAGAAATGTGCGGAAAATATGGCCGTATTAACTTTTCAAGCTATAGCGGCACATGTAAAAACTTATTGCACTTACTAGGTATCAGGTTTTTTTGTTATAGCGAAATTTTTGTTTGTCGGCAGTTCCACGGGGGTGTGATGCCCGACGCCCCCATATTGCCATGGGCAAGATAACAATGTCAACAAGCCAAAAAAGAAACTAGCGCTCTGCTGTTCCTTAAAAACAGATCTGGAAGTATCCTAAAATTACTCTGTTTACGGTTTTGTATCATGCTGATTTTGTGTTGTGTTTGTTTTTCAAAAAATATACCCAAAGGTAAAGTTACCCCTACTGAGTGAGTGGTACAATTGAATAGATTTTAAGGAGATAGATTAAAGTTCGGCAGTTTTCGCTACAGAAGAGAGCTTTCAAGTTTACAAAATAATCAAAAAAGATATTGTAAATAAGCAACGATGATTCGACTAAAGATATCGTTTCCAAGCTTGATAAGCTAAGTAGAAGAAGAAGATTCTTAGAATAAAGAATTCTACTGCTTAGCTCGCTTTCTAGTATTCTAAATTGTAAAACTGCTACATCGCTCTTTTACATCCTTAGCAAAAGGCCTAAACTTATAAAATACTTTGACTCTGTTTAACCAATGTTGAGTTGTATGAGATCAAATTCTGTGCTTACCTGTGTTAATTTTGTGAGCTACGATGCTTGGATCAAACCCTGAGTTAGAACTGCCCTGCGGTGTTTGTACACGAAAATGAACCTTTTTGTGATCGTCTGGATCAATCCTGCAGAAAAGTGTTATTTGAGTCAGAGCTGGGCAATGACAAAAAAGCAGAGAACAATTTCTAAGTCTTTTGAAGCCTTTTCATGACCTGTAGAATAAGCCACGCACAGTCGATTTTGACTGGCTTCAGCTCACAAAACGAACTTTGCCAGTTTAACTGAGCGTAAAAGTGGAATATAATGCAGAATTTCTGAACTGAATAACAATTGAGTCTTCATAGCACGGTTGCATATGTCGTGGCAACTGTTCTCAAATGTAGAAAAGTATGACATCATCCAACTTCCGTATCGTACTTTAGTTTGCACTGTAGGTGGAAATAGGAGCTTGCATTCTTTGCCTTAAAATCAAAACAACCGAAATATTGCACTTACTTTGCTCTAGTCAAGATTCTTTGCTGACTTGAATTCGCTCCCCATAAGACCTTTTGCACTTGGTTGCCAACTGTTTTTAGATTTTCCGGTTTAACACTGAAAAAAAGCAAAAAGGGATTAAAATGAAATCAACACATTTTCAGATTATTTACCACCCTATAAAATAATGAAGAGCAGTTAAATTCATATTTGTTGGAATTAAAAGTAGAACATTATATTACAAAAACAAAATTATTTCAACCCTAATCTAATGAAAGAAAGACTTACAGTAGCCAAACAAAGAAAAACTCTCAAAAAATAGAGAAAAAGAAAACAACCATACACTTGGGCAAATATTTTTAGAACTTTGTAAAGCCAACGTTATTTAAATGCCCATTCAACTTTAGCAAAGCGAAAGTATAAATTTCGATGCTATATAGGATTTAAAACTTGCAGTACGTCTTCAAAGTGTACTTAAGATTTAGAATATACTATTAACATACCGCGATGATAAAATAAACACAAAAAAGAGTTGCATGATCATCTCAATTACGTCTGAATCAAGCCACAGCAAATCAGAATATTAATTCAATGAGTTTTGGGAGCACATGCTTTTCTATAATCAATAAAAGCCCGCATGTCGTAAGTGAGAGAATCGTCACATTAAACCCGTGACTACTAAGATCAACAGTCTGTTGAACCAGGCATAGTACTCTCACTAACACCTCTGCATCGTTGCCTAGGTAACGATTGCGCAGATCGCAAAATCGATAGCCACCTTAACAGCTCCTAAAAACCTTTAAGGTGGGTCACAGCATTTAAAAATTACTCAGGAACATTTTTCTTAGAGGGGCAGGATAAAAGTTTCATTATTCATGTGGCTATAGAGAGCTGTCAAATAAACTAGCTTGAAAGAGCCTTTGAGAAGAGGAAACGCAAAATTTACAAAGACTGTGTCTCTTTGATGTCACTAAGGGCAAAAAAACATGTTAAAACTTAAAAAAATGAAAAACGCTTGAAGCGATAAAATATTTACTGTACATAGCTTTGGTAAGGGTATTTAAACTTGAAAACTGAGAAATTGTAAGCTACAAAAAGTTTTGCGGGCTCCGGGTCTTGATTAGAATAAATATTTCACAGCTATCCTAAGTTCTGTAGTATTCCCTTAATCACAAAAAATCTCTTTGGAGCTATGCTGCTTATGAACTTAGAATCCATGCCCAAAATATGACCAATGATTGCAGGCGGGAAGTCTTGTATTGTCAACTGCATTGTTCAAAAGAATAACAGTCAATTGTTTATAAACAAAATAACACTTACGTTCTTTGAATAGGAATAATGCTTTGTCTCGCAAGCTTATCTCATTAACAACTTCTAAAATTTATTGTTTGATACTTTCTCGATTTTAAAACACAAAATAATCGTTAATTGATATTGATGTGGGAAGGCCAGAACTTTAAATCTAAGCATGGGCTAAGAGGAGCAGGCCCGTTTCTAAAATCCGGCAATGAAGTGGGCTTACATCTTTTCTTAAACGTAAAGAGAAATTGATCTTCGTGGTTGCAATTAAACGATCAAAATGCTTGTTTTGGAAAGAGCACATTAAAGGATTGCAGCCTTCTGCTACAATATGGTCAGATTTGAAATGAATAATGTAGAAGTAAACAAAGATTGTCATGGTTAGCGCAGAGCTGTTTGGAGGTTAAATAATTCTTTTCGTTCCAGAACACACCAATCATAGAGAAAACAATCGCTTGTTTTGGATGGATAAATAGTCATCAAGATAAAAAAGGAGTGTAAGGCCTCTTTGGGTCATAATTTTTTAATGAAGTCTTTGACAAAAATTCAATTAGACACCAAACATAATTTCGAATCTACAAAACAAAGACATTTTTATTCGACAGCAAAATTATCGGTCGAGAACAAGGAAGCTTTCATACTGCAATTGCAAGAAACGAATGCCAGATCATTTAAAACAAAAATATTGTTAACAGCAACAAAACATATTAATATCATTATGAGCATGGCACAGACACAATAACTTACCGTTCAGTAAACTGCAATGTCAACGTTTGCTTCACTGGCTTCGAATCTAAAAATTAATTACATACGTTAGCTGAAACATTTAGACAGTAATGGTTTAATAGAATAGACTTGAGTTCGGAGAGATGGCAGAATAGATAAATTTCTATACATTTGCAGTCAATTAACGATTGGTTGTTTCACACTTGACAGCCGAAACTGACTGGATTATAGTGACAAAAATTGCTCAAAAAGTTAACAATTTGCATAGATCTATATTTGAATTCCACATGAATTCGAACAGTAGAAGAAAAACTTCGATCTGATTAACTATATATCATTAAGTCAAAGACAAATAAACGTGATACTGTGAAAGATGTCTCGAAACAAACCATGGTCTGTGCCATGGGCCGGAAAAGGTGCAATAAAAGTGTCGGCTGTTCTGATAATTAAATATGCGTAGTGGAGCTTCAAACACCACATAAATAACAATGCATCTTTCTGGAACTGTTGAGGCCAGACATGTCTGACAGCAGCAGATGTCAACAATGTTTACAGTCTTCGTTGTCAATAAAAGTTAACAATTCCTACCTGCAGACAGATTTTGATCGAGATCGCGGTCGTCCTTTAGAACTGATTGGAAGAAGTGCTTTTTTTCGTTGTCTCGCTCTCGCCTCTGCGTTTCCTCCTTATTTGCTTGGCCTCGATCTTGGAGTACCTGTGATCTCGCATCAGGAGATTCCTTATCATTTTCTGTATGCAGCTGTGCTTGTGAATCAGCTGCGAGGTGAATCTCTGAGAATCCCAGATGCTCTTTGTTTTGATCTTTGAATTCTTTTGAATGCACAGCTTCTTTTCTGATCACAGGTTGTGTTTCCTCGTTCTTCTTAGGCAGTTTTCCTTCAGGCAGATGTTCTTCCGGTGATGCAGATGATAAACCAGCCTCGACATGACTAGATTCTCTATTTGCTTTTCGAGGCTGATCAGAAACTTTAGCAAACGCCTTCTTGGGAACATCAGGATGCGCGGCAGTCTCCTCCCGCTCTTTGCTATCATCATTTTCATCATTATCTCTCTTCAGCAGCTCTCTTGCACGCTCAACAACACCAAGAATGTATTGCAAATGCTCATCATTCTGCAAAGTTTTCAAACGATATATGTCGTAATCCTTCTTGTTGGAAATTGTATTTTGAGATGAGCTATGTGCATGCCATTCATCTTCTTCGTTCCCATCGTGATCTTTACCTGCTTTAGTAAAATCTTGTGATTTATTCTCATCGTCCGCATCCTCCGGTTTACCGTTGACGTCAAAGTCTTTCAACAGACGCCGAACTCTTTCTAAACTGACATCATCATCGTTCGCATATTCTTCTTCATCGACAATATATTCTCTAGCAGCTTCGCTTTCATCTTTGCGTCTGTTGCTTTCCACGTGATCATTTCTGTCGCTTTTATGCCTTTCTCGATCGATTGAGCCCTTTGTAGACTGCGATAAAAATGGCCATTGATCAACTAACGAAATCGGCGGCACCGAATCCTTCTGTCCATCTTCTACCAGCAAATGGCTCTTTTTGGCACGGTTTGACTGCCTGTGATACGGGTTAAGCGCTTCTGGGAAAAACAGCCAAACCTTTACCAATGACATTGGCGGTAGCGCGTCCCCTGAAAGCAGAAGAGAAGAGACGCTACTTATATAATAATATCAGAAGGAGGCGATTTGGCATCAAAACTATCGCAAAAAAAAATGCGAATCAAACGTAAGTGTGACGATGATTGCATGATATCTGAATGGGCGGACATGCGTTCCGGTCTCTGAAATTTATCAGTAATATCCACTCGCAAAGCACTTTTAAACATGAATCTTGACAATGACAACTGATTCATATGACTGCAAGCAAAACTATGATGACCAGAGAAGACTGGGCTTAAGAATGCGCTTAGAAATTGACAGTGTGTACAGGATACCCAGGACACTGTCAATAAAATACTTATTGTGACAATCGTAAATAACAATGAGGGACTTAAAAATTTAAAAGAGTTGGTGTATCTCGGAGCACTGATCACCAATAATTATGATGTTTGAAAAAAAATCCGTAGAAGCTTAGGTATAGCAAGAAAGACAAGGTTTAATTAACAAACATATGGAAATACAAAACTATTACTATCACAACAAAGAAAAGTCCCTTCATTCATCAGTGTTTAACATAACCAGTTATGGTTATGAATATTTGGTACAAAAAGATATAGACAGGAAAAAGATTGAAGCATTGAAAATAAGGTTCTACCGACGTTTAATGCCCAAAGAGATTACTAGAATAATAATAATAATAATAATAACAATGCACTTATAGAGCGCTAAAATCTATATACGTATATTCTTAAGCGCTGAACAGTGTTAAAAAACCTTAATTTACAGAAAGTAAAGCTAGAAATGTCATTCTCATGTTAAAATGATTATGAAATAAATACGTTTTTAATCCTGTTTTGAAAGTTTCCAGACAACAGTCCAGCACGACAGAGTCCAGCAAAACAAATGATCTAAAACATGAACGGTAAACCAATGCCTACATGCAACCAATGTCTAATATAACAGATTAAGACATATCCGTAGAGAGTTTGAATCCGTAAAAAAGGTTGCACACATTAGCTGGGGGACTACATCTTACTCATAAGTCAGTCACAACTTCCCAAGGACCGCAGAGAGTTCTACGGATAAAGGGGACTAAAAGATTTTTAGGAGGGGGTGGGCTAAACATGCTAAACAGTAAGTATTGATCGTTACTGCCTTTTCTACCAAATTGTTTGCTTTTAAAGTAAAATTATGTACAATACAGCATTTTATTATCAGCTAATCGATCGAATCGAAGAACTTCTTCATACCATACAGCTTCATTTTTGCAACCGCATTTCAGAATTTAATCTTGAAAGCGAGACAGCCACGGGAAGCATTTTCGCTCAATGTACCTGGTACCTGATATTTTGTTGTTGGTTACAACTGTGATTAGTTGGGGGTGGGTATCAGAGTTAGGGTGAGAAAAATGAGTAACTTTACCAACACATAATTACTGGTTGGACAACCCTTCCAACATCAGTTTGCTAATCGCTTTACATGAATCAATAGCCTAGGAAATTCACAACAAAGGGGAATGAACTGAAATCTGATAGAGGAGTACGCCAAGGATGCTCGCTGCCGTTATTGCTGATTGAATTTTGCAAATGACGCATGTATGGATTTGGAAGCTGATGCCGAAGACTGTTAATGATTAAGTAGAAGCAAAACATAGGATGAAGAATAACATAGGACAACGAACCAAAGACGTGGAAAATGAGACAAATGGTTGTAATAAGGACAGTCAGATAAATGGGGAAAAAGTTAAAGCATGTAGCGGTATTCGGATACCGTAGTCAGCATTCTGAGGAAGGAACAAAGATGTACAAAAAAATATAATCACGAACAGCAATCGGATCATAGAACAAAATAATTTACTTCATGGGCAAAATTGCATTTGAGAATTACTGGGGGGGGGGAAGCTCCCGCAGTCTCCCCTAACGGTTTCCATAGTCCTTGCAAATACAAAAACTTTCTAAAAAATCTTTGAGAATTTAGGCCTTGCTAGGATCAGCTTCGACAAGAAATCAGGGCTATAACAGCTTCCTTTGCCCGTTATATTTATTCAGAAAATACGTCACTAGTGAATTTATCAAATCTTAAGTAATCCTGCCTTGATTGGCAAAGCTATACAGCGGAGAATGATGCGCTTTAAAAGTGGCATCAATTAAAAAGGGCGTAAATTGCCTAAGAAGAAGTAAGAGTTCCATGCAGGTGCAAGACCCACGCAAGGCGGGAAAAAACGAGGAGCTGGTGAAAATGTCAACACGTTGATTTAAAGCAGATGGCTTGCTCGCAAATGGCCAATTCATTTTCAATAGAATATCGGCTGCATGCATAAAATCTTTAGCGCTATCGAATTCACTTCATAAATTATGCAAGAGAAAGAAAAATTTTCAGAATAATAATTGCAAGGATTGCGTAAAATGAGAACACGTGTTTCCTGCAGTAGAGGCTGTCTTGTCACTAGGATGAACTAAATTTCAAATTGAAAATGCAAACATTTACTTTTGGTATTAGTTCTCTTTGCTGGTGAAATGCAATACGAAATGCGAAAAGCACTTGATAGCCGCTATATATGACGAAACAAAGACAGCGGAAAACGCCTTGTTCTTTGTTTCTTCAAAGGGGGCCATTATAGGGGTTGAAGCCGCAAACCGTGTAACTTGAGCCAAAAAACTGCAATCCGTAATCAATAAAATCATAAACCCGAGGAAACAGTAGTTTGACTTCACAAACATTTTCTAGCCGATTTCTTCTTCACTCCAACCTCTATTTATCCTAAGAAGCCGTAGCCGCACCATCGAAACCACGAATCGTTTAAGCTTTCAACAGAAAGATCTAAGCAACGTCCATCAAAGACTACGAGGCTGAAATATACCGAACAAATCACAAAGCAAGCACCGCAGTCAAAAATATTGCCGAGACAAAGATACCACAAACTTCAATAGTGATATAGGAACATAGGCCATTTTCAAAGTTAATTGTCCAATCTTGATAGGTCTAATTGCTTACAAAGCATTCTCGTTTAAAAATGAATACTATCATGAAAATGAATTTTACAACAAATCTGAACTTCTTTTCAGTCAAAAATCTAAGAAAGGAATTTTTTAAAATTTGACTGAAGACTTTTGGTACAAAAACCAGTTTTGCTTACAATTTGTTAAGAACTTAAAGGTTATGTGGGGTGCAATGAAGGACTGAGACCTGTTGACAAACTTATTTGCACAGCCCGTACAAAAAATGTATGGCAAAAACAACAATCTATGACTAACATAGGGTTCAGAAACAATTAGGGGATGGAACCTCCAGTAGCTCACGTGATATTGCTGAGACCTTTAGTTGTGGCATAGTGGATAACACTGTTGCCTCTCGCCACAGTGGGCAAACATGTACCAGTTTGAGCCTGCTGCCTATACCTCACAACACTAAGAAAATGAAATTGAAATCTGGTTAGGGGTCAGGAAGGCTTAGGTATTTGGAAACATTTAAGCTATTGGTAAGACAATTTTCCATTCAACTTAGAAAAGTTCTTTTGAGACTGAGTAGTTGAATAATGGATTTGTAAAAAGGAAAACATTTTGAAACATGTTACTAAAGCTTTTCAGCTGTCAATCTTCAGAAAATAAAACTTCCATCTACATAATGACGACATTTTTTAGATTATTGACTAATCGCTCCATCCAGCAGTTTTGAAATTCATCTACAAAAACATGAGAAAGCCACTACTGAGTAGACAGAAGGAGTTAATTTTTACCTAAGGACTCCATCGGTAACATTTTCAATAGGCAAGCAGCACTGATATGGCAACCTCAATAGTCATGTGCTTGTGTTTCTGATTGGCCTATTTTGATCAGTTTGACCAGGTCTAGCATAATATTATGCTTTAAGCAAAATATTGGCCACATATCTTTGTTTTATCACAATATCTAGTATAATTTGGAATCTAACATAACTCTGTCACAATTTAGATATTTTCTAAAAAAATAATTGTTTTCATTGATCTGTTGTCTATCATTATAGAATGCAAACACGTTACACCAGCATGGGTTGCAATAATTTTGGGAGAAAAATTGTGACTTTCCACTTTCAGTGTAATCAAAATTTACTTTGTGATCACAAAAGTTTTCACTTGCCTTTTTCTTAAATTGTCTGTTATCTTTTACTATGTCTCCTGTTTTGTTATTGGCAATTTTGACATTATTTCAAAAAATTTTGAATATTATCTGTGCAAAAAGGTTTGTTTCCTTTACATCTCTGTGGCTTTTCTTGCAACATGTGAACAGAATTTAGCCAACTTTTGCTTCTTCTGCCAAATCAATTTATGACGGCCATGGGGTTATAAAAAGCAGCCAAAATGGAGGAAGTTGGCCGTCAAGACCGTTGATCTAAGTTGAATTTTGAGTACGAATAATGAGTGCATTGTGTTTTAGACATAGAGATGAGTGGAATGGCAACTGTTGCTCTTCTGCACAAGCACTAGCCTCTTTCTCTAACAGAATTGCTTTGATTTGAAATTTTGCATAATTTTTGCATATTAATATGTTATACTCTGAAGAACATCAAATAAATAGCTTTAGTATCATGTTTCAAAGTGTTTGCTTTTATCAAAGCCATTTTTTAAATTCTGTACCACAAAAATTTTAACCAATTGAACATTAAAACCTTACTTGTTTAAAATACATAACTATCATAAGAGATTCCCTTTGTGCTAATGATTTTGGTAGAAGTGTCTGAAAATATGCTTTGGTTCATTTGATTGTTTTTAACATTTTTTCTCAACTCCTGCGACATCATTCAAGCATCTGTTAATGATGCAGATTTTTCAAATGACTAAACATTGCAGCTCCTAGACACTAGCACTTAGAATCTTAGATAAAATAATGGGAAACTCAAGCAAGCACAGTTCTTTGTCTTCCTAGCCTTTTTTCTTCTATTGTTTATACCAATTTATCAAAATTTGAGGTTATTTTCCAAGCAGTATCAACTTTTTTATACCATCCCAAAAACCCCCCACTTCACCATTCTATCACAACTAGAATCCAAATAAACAAACTTTTCATCTACTGTTTTACAAACAGAAATGTTCAAAATCAATCAAAAAGAGAAAGTTTAGTACTAATAAAACTATCTGCTGATCATTATTTGAAAATCAAAATTGTCAATCATAATGCTAGCAGCCAGCCCTTGATGGTCTAACCTAAAAACCAGTATGTTAAATCAATATATGGTCCTGTATTTTACCATTACTCTACGAACTGGGTAATTTTCATCTTCACATTTGGCAAAAATGCATCATAGAATTGGAATCTTCATGTTGAAATTAGTCTGTGCTGAAAATTTCAAGTTGTTTGGGTCGTAAGGCTGCGAATTAACCCAATCTCAAGATTTAGCTTTTCCTATAAATTTTAAAGAAGTCTGTTGCTGTAGTAGAAATTGTTCACTGCAGCAGCAAACTCCAGTCACATCTAAGAAAATATCTAAATATTCAAAACAAAGTAACTCGTGACCAAACGGTCCAAACAACATTAATTTCTTAATATAAACTAAGATTTCAGTTCTGGAGTCCATTTTTGAGAAAGTTAAATAGACTGCAAGATGCAAAATCAATGATGTCAACCCGGAACGGAGAATAGTCCCAAAATATTTGAGTTGCTCATTGTTCTTTGCAGATATATATAAATATGGATTCTTGATCAAATGATTCAAAAAGTGTTGTGGTAATTCTTGGATTGGTTGTGATTGATCACACAATATTTTCATGGAATTGAGGTCATAATCCTAAAATAATCTATCTAAACCTAATGGAGGAAACTTCCTTGTGAAAGCTTATGAAAATGGACTCAAAAAAAATTGTTTGACTCAAAAGAAATTATGATCCAAAACATATTAAGAAAGAGCTGATAACAAAATAATGCTAATTTTAGATCACAATAAATCAAGAACAAAGAGAAAAACTTTCCATTGCTAAAGCTGAGCCAGTGATAGCAAAACAGTTTCAAAATTTAGGATATGATCAGTTCAGATTTGAATCATCAAACTGCTGACAGCCACAATACTAACCTTCCTCATTTTGAATTTCATTTCCTTTCATATATTTTCCACATTCCTTATAAACCACTAGAAAGGATAGAATGAAAAAATACTTGAGTACCATTACAAGTTTTTAGCATTTTCAACTTACATAATATTTAATGAAAAAAGGAAAATACTAATTAAGCTTTATAATGCTTCATCTACTAATCAAGGAAATTTACATTATAGCATTACAAAATTCAAAACACAGGATAAAAAGCAGAAAACAATCGAGACAATCTAAATATAATGTGCTTTTTAAGAGGTTGTCAAAACTCTGTAGGCCTACACTCAAGCATTTTTTTCTATAAGGAACAAAGGTTGATGTTGAGTACTCCAGTTTCTTAATGTTCTGGAAATTTCAATACTCATTTTTACTTAAAAGTTTCTTGATGATGATGTCATGAAAGATGTTATGAAATGTTTGTGACCTTTTTATCACATCAAGAGATTCTCTTCCATTCTGATGCTGTATTTAAATGTGAAAAGTATATTTTTATCCCTTGAGTCTTAAATTCTAGACCAATCATGTTCTTGGATTTTACAAAATTTTGTTGTTCTCAGTTTTATCACGAGTTAATAGTTTCTTAATTTTTTTGCTTCGAGTACTGGAGTTTCTTAATTTTTTCTGACTGTCCAGTACTCGTTTCTTATAGCCAGTTTTTTATAAAAAAATGAGTGTATTATTTCAAAGCTGTTACAATATCTATTATGTCAAGTTTGACCTACAAAAGAACTATAAAAGAATAATTTCTTTTAAAAAACTATTTGTAACATGATCCTATAATATTCTAAGGAAACCAGAATCCTAACACGTTGCTTTTAAAAATCTGAATAAAAGGCATTGATTGTATCGCAAAAAGGACAAATCTAAACAAAGATACAGAATTAACTTTGTTGATATGAAGCCTAGCTTGGCACTAACGACATTCTGCCTAGCCGGCCAAATAACATATATTTTTCTTTAATGCTATTCATACACGATAAGGACTATCGAGGGTATTCTACTATTTTTCGAAAATTATACAAGTAAAAGAAAAAGCACTAACCTTCTAAATTACACTGAAGACGATGCCGACATATTTCCCTCAGTTTGTTACAACCTTGAGAACAGTTTAGGGCGATCAGAGACATGAAAAACACTCTTTTTTTGTTAATTTCATAAGAATAGCACAAGAAGAGGAAATTGAAAATTTCGCAACATGCTTTCGGCTTATATAACTTTTATTACTTTTAGTTAGATGCGACGTCTGTCTATTTAAAGGCCTACGCAAGGAGAAGTGTTTACGGAGCAGGTAATCAAAGTGAGATTTGTACGCACATATATTGAACCCAGCTCTATCCCTGAGATCAAGGTACCGTGATCTTATAACAAGGATCAATGTTTATTCCTTTGGTATTCGATGAAAATAGAAAATACTATGATTGGTATTTCTCATTGCTCTAACTGTTCTTCAAAAACTATCATCGATACTTACCGGCAACGTCGAGGCCATAACTGTGCGACCAATTTAGAAAAAAAACCAGAGCGAACAGAAACAAGCTTGTCCATTTTAATGACTTCATAACATTATAATTCGTCAATAAATCTCACTCTCTTTTGGGAAAATACGTATTTTTCTTCAGATCGGGCATTCTTGTCACAAAATTGACCAGAAAGCTACCAGAAAGCGGAAGATTTCGTGCTGATCATAGCAATACAAATCTCGCTCGTTGAATTGTCAAGAGAATTTTCGGTATTCGAGGCTGCGGCGGCGGACAGAGGCTGGTGGCTAATATTCCGACGGTAGCAGCAACTTTGACGGTAGCAGCAACTTTGACGTTAGCAGCAACTTTGACGGTAGCGGAGCGGCAACTTTCACTATCTCGTTCCAAATCTGACGTTAGCAGGAACGTAACTACATACTACTGGCAGTGACGGCGCCAAGGGGGAGTATGGGGGGGGGGGGTAGTTACCTCCTCCCAACCTATTTAAAAACATAATCCACATGTTTCTTCTAGAATTTATTAAAAAGCGCTAGGTAGTAGCGATAGTTTTTATTTCGCCTTAGGATAATTTACCTGGTACAAAGCACTGAAATGAGGCATAAAGAGCGTAGTCTCACTGACCTCGCCTATAACTCTCCTCCTCTGTAGTAGCAGGCGCCACCACAGAACACTGGAACAATAGGTTTAAATCATTATTAAATTGCATGCAATTAATTCATTTAAAAAAACCCTGTACTACACTTACTTCTGACAAGGTTGGATTAAGGCTCTGAGGTGCCCTACGCCAAAATATTCAGTAGGGCCCTAAAAGTGGCAAATTTATGACGTCATAAAATTTCTTTTTAGATGAACCTCATTAACAACTTCAAAATTTGCAAAGTCAGCTAGATCTGTTACGAGTTCTGGCTACAAGAGTAAAGGCATTCCCTTACCAAACTACTGTACTCAGTCAACTTTGTGGTCAATGTTCCAAAAAGTCTTTTCTTTCCCCGTCGCTTCATCTAATTCTTACTTTTATTCACTGCTTGTGCATGCAACAAATTAAACCAAAAGCAAATTCCTATGCAAGATCCCCTACAACCCAACAGCGTCATAGACAGCTCGTAGTTCAAACAAGTTGAGTGAAGTTTAGTGAAAAGTTTAGTCGTTTTGCCACATTTTTTAGCGTTGTTTAGTCGTGTTGAGTGTTGTTAAGCAAATTTTGATCCTGGTCAAAAATGTTAAGCGTTGTTTAGCGTTGTTTAGCAAATGTTTAGTCGTTTTGCCACCAATTGAACATCTGTTGTGATCGTGCAAGCGCACTAGTTGTGGAAATTCAAAGGTTTTCATATGTTTTCGCTGATTTTCCTGTCTCTACGTGACCCAAAAAGCCTTTATGAGACATCTGCATATCTCGTTGTACGCTAATGTGTCTTCTTCAACAGTTGACTTTGTTGTCAATGTGCCAAAAAGTCTCTTTCTTTCCCTGTCGCTTCATCGAATTCTGATTTTAATCCACTGCTTGTGCATGCAACAAAATAAACCAAATGCAAATTCCTAGCAAGATCCCCTACAACACAACAGCGTCATAGACAGCTCGCAGTTCAAACAAGTTGAGTGAAGTTTAGTGAAAAGTTGAGTCACGTTTTGCTACCCTCGCTAAACTTCGCTCAACTCAACTTCACTAAACAAAAGTCGAGTGAAATGTTTAGTGAAATGTTTGATTAGTGAAAAGACGGCACGCTATTCTCTGTCTATATTGTATAGCAAGGTCTAATGTTTTACTTTGTGTAGCTTCGCAAGAGCCAGTTTTTACAACTTTGGCAGCTTTTGCTGAATGATCTTTGAGTAGGATTTTCCTTAATTTGCAAAGTATGTTATTCCAAATCTATAAGCTTGAAAGACAAAAGGTTTTTGCGGTAGTTCGTTAGGCAAGGTCATGGGCAAAGCTATTGCTTTGGTGCTTTTTTAAAGAAATTACATAGGACCGGTAGACAGTTGCTTTTGTTTGTGTCATATGTCAATTTTGGACATTCCATTTATGACAATCGTGGAAGTTCTGAAGAAGGGACCTGAATCAGCTTTGAGATCGTTGAGCCAAGCCAAATTAGCAGTAATTCTTCAGCAAATGGCCACATCGCGTAATAAATACAACAAACATTTTATCGTGCTTTTGATTTCATAATTAAAAGATTTGAAAAAATCTTTATGTTGTCATTATAAGGCGATGTCGAGGGCAGCTGCTACAAACAAATTCAATCTTCCTAATTGGATAGTCAAGACTATTTAAAAATGAATTCAATAGATAATTTGTTAATAATAGAAGAAACATGATTGATGTTATCAAGCTTAATTGACATCAGGATATCTTTGAAAATAGAAACACAAGCTCACTCCTCAATCTCCTTAACTGTCTGAGCCTGATTTGAAAAACGGTTTAAAACACTTACAATCGAAAATGTACAAATTATTGAAGGCAGTGCCAAGACATTTCCTCAGATATCAGTCACTTACTCTTTCCTTTCTCTAAACAACTATTCGAAAATCTCTAGAGAAATTTCAAGCTACGGGGAGCCAGCGTTAACATTTTAAATGGAAAGAAATGTTACAGGTAACGTCACTCATGTCCTGGGTACCAGAGCCGCAGAATTCGAACCCGGAAATAGAAGATAAGAGCGGGAAAGCGGGGTAGCGCATTTATGGACGTTTTGCGCTTCCCCGCATCTCCATTCCGCTTCCCAACTATCGGTATTGAGGCTCTGGTGTCAGGTGTACGTCCCTCAACTTGTTTTTTATCTAGAAAAGTTGCTTTCTATCATTATACATAGCATCTATTAAGCATTCAAAAAGAACTTTAAAAAAATTGTTAATGATAAAAGAAGCATGCTTTTGAAGATAGAAAAACAAGCTCCCTTTTCGACGCAACTTCTGCTTGGCTAGCCTGTGTACATCGTTTTAATCTATCTTCCATTATTTCTTTGTGTTTCATTGCTGGACAAACAAATGCCTATGCAATGTGAGTAATATTTATCAATTAAATGACGACTTTGTAAATTTGAAAGTTGAATATTATTGCAACGTTTCGAGCATAACACTTCATCAGGAATTTGTCACATTCGAATGTTTCTTCCATTTTAATTTATCTAAAAAAAGTTGTTTGGACTGATTATGATATCAACAATTAAAAAAATTAAGCAAAATATGTCAATCTTTTTATAGTTACAATATTGTTATTGCATCGCCCTACTTACAATATTTTTTAAACATTGCAAGTAAATATTGTTTGTGTAGGCCTGATGGCGTTGCTTCAATAAAATGTTAACAGGAAATACCGAAATATAATACGAGTAGCGTATAGCAGGGTGCCGAGGGTGGGCAGTTAAACCTGAGACTCCTGCGCAGCGTCTTTATACATAGCTCCACCGCAGCATGTGACTACCGCCTGTCTGCGCGCGATTACTATGTTCCTGTGAAGTGTTAGAAATGATTTTCATTTGAATGGGTAAACTGTTACTGTTATAAATGTTTAGTTTTTATTGGTAAAAAGAGTATAAGTAATATAGATAAAATCGATATGTTAGTGGTAACAATTGAAGCTATATTAGGTAGAAGCAAAAGAGACGAAGAAATTGAGGAAGATCTAGACTTGCTAGAGGAAACTGTACAAGGGAACGATCAGACATTACCCGAATAGATATATCCATTATTAGCAAAGCGAAGAGAACGAATGCCGGAAATGTTGCGTTTGGTAACTCCAATATCAAAATATGTTGACGCGCGAAAAAAAAGCTTGTATTGAGAAAAATATAGAATTCTTACATGAACAAGACGCATATCAAAGTACTGCTTTGCATAGGATTATATATTATATAGATGAAGTTAATGTTGGACCTTAGAAAGAGCATCGATTTATGCTGGGTTATATGATAAAAAAGGTGCAAACGTCAATTCTACAAATACAAATGGTGAAACTCCACTAATGATTGCTACAAGATTACAGAAAACGAGAGCAATGCATTTTTTAATAGGTCATGGCACCGATTTAAATGTATTAGAAATTATTTTCATGTGAATGGTTAAAGTGTTACTGTTATAAGTTATTTTCAAAAAGAATATAAATAAAAAAGATAAAATCGATATGTTAGTTGTAATAATGGGAGGTTTATTAGGTAGAAGCAAAAGAGACGAAGAAATTAAGGAGGATATGGATTGCTAGAGGAAACTGTAGCACCAAGTCAGCAAGCATAATTAGTGCAGTTACAACCACTATTAAAATTTCGAAGAGATAAGTTACCAGAAATAATACAATTGGCAACTCTTATATCTAAAATGTTAGATTTGATGAAAATTAGAGATTATATTGAAAAATATGCTGAAGTTTAACTTCAAAAAGATGCATACCAAAGTACTGCTTTAGATAGGATAATGATTTATATAGACGATTTAGATTTCGGGAATTCGTTAGAACATAGATGGCTATTAGATTATATGATAAAAAACGGTGCAAACGTAAATGCTGTAAACATAAGTTGTGAAACTCCACTGATGATTGCAACAAGATTAGGGAAAACGAGATGATGCAGTTTCTGATAGACAAAAGAAGTGATTTAAATATTCATAATTTCCAAAGTGATACCGTATTACATATAGCAGTAAAAAAAATTCATGTTAAAATCTGTTGCACTTTTGCATAGTTATGCAGATATTCTTGATGAGAGTAAAAGGAATAATCATGGTTTCACTGCTTTTGATTTGGTAGAAAAAAAATTGGTGAAAATTTGGATCTGCAAAAGAGTTGATAATATATGTATTAAAAATACCTGTTAAAGAGTTTATTGAGCAAGGAAAAGATAAAACATTTATAGGTTGTTAATATTATTATATTATTGTTTATGAAAAGTAAGTTAAAAGCAAAAGAAAAGAAAAAGAAAAGGTTGGCTTATAAAAAGACTGGCTGAAGAAAAACGTTGTCCTGTTTGTCTTGTTGATTACATTTTTGTTCATGAGCAAGAAAGAGTATTTCTCTTAAATTGCGGACATATTATATGTATTCACTGCTTATACAGTGTGATGATCGACATGTTTAGTGATGATTTGGATAACTGCTTATAGCACGATATAATTACAGGGTTTTTAACAAACAGGTCTCTGAAATGTCCAATTTGCAGAGTTGTTCTGTATTTTCCAGAAGAGGTAACTTGCTCAATAACCAAATTAATAAAATTTGTTGCTTTGACGGATGAAAGACACAATGACAAAGAAATTAGAATATTAAAAGGAGAGGTGAAAAATTTAAGAAAGCAACTGAAAGATGAAGTAAAGATGAAAGAGGAATTTAAAGATAAATATAACAATTTACGACATCACATGATGACATCTGATAAAGCAGCGATTGAAAACATGTTTAATGCATAGGGAGACTACAACAAGACAATTGATAACTTAATAATTGGATTCAACGTACTCCAAGTATCAAATTCGCGTCTTGTTGATTCACTAATTGGACAGGAAGAAATATGTAAAGTCTATAAACATATGTTGGACATAATCATGAAGCCATAGTAAAGCCAAGCTCTGACGTATCTGCTTTAATGGGAAAAATTTACAAAATGATAATACAACTAGCTAAACGCTTACTTCCATATTTCTTACTAGAAGCAGAGGTAAGGTCAGAAAATGAAAGTCTTGAAGAATATAAAACAAAATCTGGAGAAATTAAAGCAGCGTTTGCTGAAGAAAGAGAGCAATTTCGAGCTGAAAGATTGGAAGCTATTAATCAAAGAGATATAGCGTACTGTGAAATGGAGCGTTACAATGTTTCTTTGAAAATTACGCAACGACTACTTGATCATCAAAAAATTAACAATTATCGTATGAAAAACATTATCAGAACATTCATGCGTAATGACAATCGAAAGAAAAAAACAATGACAAAGAAAGCAAAATGAATATGCGCTTTTTCAAAGTAGAAAAAATATAATTCTAAATAAATGTATAATAATTGGTTAAGAAAATATGTTACGTAAATGGAAAGAAAAAGTGTTCATTAAAATTCTTTGCATTAAATTATCGCTTCTAATATACCATTAATTTCTATTTTCTAGCGGACATGATTCTTTATCTTTTTTGGTTTTAAAATAAAAAAATTTATTAATAAAAAATCTATAAGCGTCAACGGCAGGGTATCTTACTTTTAGTGATAAATTATGCAAGAAATAGGTGCTATATTCCCCACATACATTAGTATCATCGTCTTGAGTTTGATGGTCAAAGTATCGAGTAGTTTTATCTGTTTTAAATATTTTAGCATCCATCCTTGCTTGTTTCAAGTTTTCTGGATTCATATATTTAACTGCAGCTCTAATATTGAAATCGTAAATCATAATCTTAAATCATATTTCATATAACGACATTTCGCATTGAAAAGGCGAATAGAATATTTCTTTGCTTCGTCTTCTTCACTTGCAGTGTCGCAAATTATATAAAATTCTTTAGCATTACATCACAGTATGATTTGTAATATGTCGAAATTTCCTCCGGTTGGATTGAGTAAGTAATTATTTACACACCAACTGTTCTCTCTTTCCACAACCACCATTAATCCATCCAATGTGCTCGTTACGTAGCCGTCCGTAACAGCATCTAGGAGATATATAACTATGCAATTAGAACAGTGTAGGGGGAGAAATCGTCAAAAACATACATATAGAAGTTATTCTCTTAACAATTATTATCATGCTTCTATATAGGCGTTTATGTGAAAGAATATTTCAAAGTGCATGAGGCAATTCCTGAAAATGATGAGACCGAGCAATGATAGACTTTAAAGTTTCCATTAGATTACTGTTGTTGGGCTTTGTTCATAGAGTTTTGATAAAATACCAAGTAACAATGCAAAAATACGAAAATTCTAAAAATATTTTTTCTGGTCTAATGAACTCCATCAACAGCTTTTTGGAGCAAATCATAATTTATAACTCGCATGATTTTCACCAAAATCACTCCGTAGTAATAAAAGTAGAATGGCAAAAACACAGGTCGTAAGGAGAAATTTGAGCCTAGCTAAAATGTTGTTAAAAGAGACAAGATGTAAGTAGAATGTAATGGCAAAACAACTAGGATCAGCCAGTCATAGGGTAAGAAAATAAGAGCAGCGTTCAGTACAGTGGCGGAGTAACCAATACAATGGCCGGGGTCTAAGATGTTTTAGGGCCAACTTCTGCCAATAAAATAAATATTCTATTATAACAAAGCATCAACGTCATTAACCTATAATGCAAAAACTTGAAGGAAAAGTTTAGATGTGCGAAAACTACAAATCAAGATAAAGTTACAGAAATGTTAAACAGTAAGTTTGCGCCAGAACATGCCTTATATTGACCCAATCGAGTCGGACCCCAATCGAGTCGGACCCCAATCGTGTCGGACCCCAATCGAGTCGGACCCCAATCGAGTCGGACCCTAATCGTGTCGGACCCCAATCGAGTCAGACCCCAATCGAGTCGGATTTCAATCGAGTCGGACCCCAAGCGAGTCGGACTCCAATCGAGTCGGACCCCAATCGAGTCGGACCTATACTTGATCGCAAGTAGCTCTTTATGCGTTTCATAACACCTAAAGACCTCTCAATGCTGCATATCGTCATCATTAGAGACAGAAGTTGGCATAGAATTCGAAAGTATGATTTGATACATAGTTTTTTCGATACATTTCTGGCTTACTAAGCCATGCAAAATCCTAGAACTTAGGCGGGTGTTTTTCTGGACAGTTCTTCTGGTCATTAGAAGTGACCAGGGCACGGTAAATGATGACATATTCGTGTTTGCAAATCGCATAAAGATCTGTAACTATGCTGATGATACCACAATCTTTGCGTGCCATCCGGATCTTGATACTATTACCAAACAATTAGAAGAAGACAGCTCTGTGATAGTTAAATGGTTTTCTGAAAACTTTTTAATACTGAATGATGACAAATGCCACCTAATGATATTTGGAGAGAAAAAACTGAAGCAACAGTCACAATTGGAAATTCAAAAATTAATGAAAGTGATTACAAAAAACTGTTAGGTGTGGCTTTTGATGAAAAATTAAGTTTCAAAAAAACATGTTGAAGATTTGTTAAAAAGGCCAACCAAAAGCTTCATGCGCTTGTTCGCTTGTCTAATGACATTGATCCTATCAAATCAGAAATTTTAATGAATTCTTTCATCAGGTCGCGGATGTTTCACGATAGAGCAACTAATGCAAAGTTAAATCGCATTCACGAAAGAGCACTGCGACTGGTATGCAAATATAGTAAATCAGAGCTAGCCGAGTTGAAGAAACAATTTGGAACTATTCATCAGCGCAATCTGCAACTGGTAATGATTGAAATATTAAAAACAAAAAACAATCTGAATTCAACATTTATGAAAAACATTTTTACTGAGAGAGATATTCAATACAATCTGAGAAGTGAAAATCATTTGCAGTTGCCAAAGGTGAAGACAACATCATACGGGATAAAGAATATTCAGTACAGAGGTCACCATTTTTGGTCCTCATTACCAAAAAAAATTAAAGATTCCAACACACTAGTCGAGTTTAAACGAAAAATGAAAATTATGGCATGGATATTATCTTAGTGCGTGGCCTTTGACTGAGAATACCAAAAAAATTATAGCTTCAGAATTAAAGGGCCGGTTTGGTCCGGGCAGGAGACTTAGGCCAACCATGTACTTTCAATGGGACAGAAACACCCCGATTTCATATAATTTCGATGCAACCTCCGTTCAACAGTGTTATTGTTCAAATACAAATAATTACTAGACATGACCTTTTTTGTCCATTCATCTTGTTCCAACTAATCGAACTTTTATCTAGTTTTACAAGAATAGGCTTGCCCATTGTTAGATATGAGTTGGAAGTAGTTACCCGAAACAACCCCTCCCGGACCACCACTGGTGGGTAACGCCAAATTTACGAAAGCCCATTGTGAAACAGGACCAAACAAAGGGTATCATGCTTATGAGCAGGTCCAAAGTACAGGCTTGTCGTAGTAAAGGACAGGACCTCGAGATTAGTACGGGATCCCTGTATCAGCTAGCGACGGGAACTGTTTGTCAAATAGAATTTGAAACTTCCTTTTTGCAAAGAAGGAATATTTTATTGTTTCCAGGAAATCTTATCTTTGGAAAATCTTGGCTTCGCCACTGTCAGCTAACAGCTTACCTAAACAGAAATTCTACCACTGACAACATTCGAAAGAAAGAACCAATTGCTCGTTTCTCTGTAGATTCGTTGGAGCATATATTGGGCCTTTTGTCGTAGGTGACCAATCAAGATCTCTTAAAATGAAGTTGAAATATTTGAGGCTAAATATTGATAGAAACAATGAAATGAAAAAAATATTGGAATAATATTTGCGAACATCATGATTACATTATGAACAACTGCATTTCAGAGCCTGGTAGTGAATTATTGGTTTGGTTCTTGATAACAACGATTATTTGTTTGCCTATTATTGTTGTTAATGCAGAACTCAATTTCATTGATTTAAACCTGAATTCTTGCTTTAGAAATCACACAATCCTCACACTTTTCTCTTGACTTACCTACTAAAATTGTTTTTTGGGTCATAGAAAGTGTGATTTTTAGGGTAGTTATAGCCATTTCTATCCACCAATTTTGCATTGAGTTAGCGCGTAATGCAATTAAGTTAACTCAGGGCATTGCCCAAACCTCACCGAATTGTACAGCAGTCGGTAACTCTTTCTGGATTCAACCATTATCAATAAGTACCGTAAGTTCTCGAGCTAGCCTCTTTTGGGATTCATTTAGGTAGTGTTGTAAATAGACAGTCAATTTGAGTGGCGTTTTAAAAATATCGCATAAATTGAGAAAAGAGGAAGGAGATCGAGTGTTGAGGCCGGTTTCCACTTGAGCAAAAGCTTCAGCGAACGCTCGGCGAATTCGCTGAAGAATTCGCTGAAGTGGAAAGCGGCCTTTGGAAATGGAAGTTGTTCAGGAAACGAAACATTCAGTCCTTTGTTTTGGAAGCAATGCCATCTTAGGCAATCAGTGTCACGGGGTCATGGCACATGCGCATTATTAACAGCATTCGCAAAGCTGTTCTGTCTATGACCACACAACTCTTTAACTTCCTGCCAGGGCTTCCAGTGATAATGCGCATGTGCAATGACCCTGAAACGGGGGCCAGATGGTCTGGAACGCGGGAATGGTTCATGTCTGGACCAAATGATCCTTGTAGACATTTGATACGAGTGATCCTACAAGGGAAGAAGTCCTTCCGTCTACAGAAAAGATTAAGAAAGGGCGAATAGTTATCTTATTTGGTAAATTTTATCAAGCATTTCTCTCTATGTAACACTTCTTTGAATGGAATGGCAAACGTAGAGCCAAAGTAACAGAATTGTCTTTGCAGAACGTAAACGTTATGGCGAACTCAGAAAACGGAGGAATTATCGCATCAAACGAAAGCGTGCTACTGGACGTTCTGAAGAGAAAGGACACCAATGGACAGTTTGAGGTATCTTATTACTTCACCAAAATGATTTCACCAATACGACGCCTTGTTGTGATATGTATAAAGCATTTCCTCTTCAGGGTACCAGAAATGAAGGAAGAAGAACGCAATAGGGCCAGGGCCAGATTAGGGCTACTAGGGGCCCCATGCCAAACATATTTAGCGGGGCCTCAAGGAGTGGCTGATCCGGCCCTGAATATGGCCTATACAAACAGTTTGAGACAAAAACCCAAGTGCATTATCAGTCAAGCAGCAAGTTTCCTAGGCTCAGGCACGTAAGTAGTATCTTAAGCATGTGGGGGAGGGGTACAAAACTTTGAAAGTACTTTTTCACAAGAAAGGCGCTTGATGGAAGAAAGTTTACTTTTGAAACTGGACTCCTTTAGTGTAAAAGAATAAAAGGGCACTTTCTAGGGCGCATTTTAATTTTCTGCATTATAATGGGACACGTGTCCCCATCTCCCCCGTTTCCGACGGGCCTGCCCTGAGTAGCAGAGTTTATATTATTTAGTCACAGAAATATAGTTCGAAACTACCATTGTCAACGCAGCTGTCTACAATATTATATTCCTGGATTCATGAGGCTCTGAAACGTTTACTTCCTCATATCCTATTTTATCCAAGCATAACTACAGAAATTTGCCTACAACTCAACATGTAAATACTATTATGTTGCTGTGTTCTTAGAACTTTGTTAAAGATCCTGTATTCGATACACCCTATCAAATTTCAACATAGTCTCCCTTTTGTTACCTTTGTTTCTGCCTGTTGAAGCCGAAGTTCAATCGCTTTTCAGGCACTTGGATTCAGGACCGTCTTAAGCGGGAGGGCTAAAGGAGGGGGGGGGGGCAGTAAATATCAAGCTGTACTAAATTTTCTTTATAACAGTGTACTGAATGGTAAGCAATACAATGGGCAACCCCCTCCCAATATGAATTTCGTTCCGGTGGCACTGAGATTGAATATGCGCCAATGTCCCGTGTACATTTCCCCGTTTATGGTATTCTCTCTAATGAACGCCGCCCACTGATAAACGCCTCATTTTTTAACGCCGCTCTTTCAACCAAACATATGTAATAAAAGCCGTCCTCTTTTAAACGCCGCATATTGGAAAGCGTCGTTCATTAGAAAACAGACCAAACAAGAAATAATGAACTGTTTATATGCTTACTATTGGATGACTAAAAAAGTTTTTGTGTCATTGGGACGATGACTCTGACGGAGACAGTGACACTGACAATCCTTGTCATTTCCATCATACATTTTTCATACAATCTTTATTGCGTGTTATTTGGGAAAAGAAAGCATTGTTTAAAGTCTGATTTTACCTTACTTATCGCACTTTCTTATGATTTTCCATTGGAAACACAGTTTTCATTTTGTATTAAAGGCCACCCTCTGATAAACGCTGCATCAAAAGTCGGATTTTGTAATAAACGCCGCGGCGTTCTTTAATGCGGTATTCAATCTAAGCGGAATGGTAGTCGTGGTTGTGTGAACTAATTAGATGAATCTTTCCACAGGATATGGTACATCTTTCGGTGTTAATCATTAATTTCTCAATTTCTTAATCAATAAATATGAAGACACCAGTAAATAGTATCGTTATTTGTTAGAAAATATTGATTTTTGCAAATAAAAAAATTTTCTTTAGAATACTCAGATGGAGGAATGGTACCAACGTGCATTCTCTATGAAGCAGTGTGCATATTTCATTACCAAAGACGATTCGCAGAAGCAAAGGTATATATCTTGTCCTGTTTAATCAAGTCTCTGTTAAACTCGTTGTACTTTTAATCATGTAGCACCACTATATATTTACTCATTTTTTTTAATGTGATTTTTTAAGAGCTACCCATAAGTGATGGTCCGGGAGGGGTTGTTTCGGGTAACTACTTCCAATTTCTATCTAGCAATGGCCAACCCTTTTTTTTGTAAAACCAGATAAAAGTTCGATTAGTTGGAACAAGATGAATGGAAGAAAAAGGTCATGTCTAGTAATTATTTGTATTTGAACAATAACACTGTTGAACGGAGGTTGCATCGAAATTATATGAAATCGGGGTGTGTCTGTCCAATTGAAAGCACATGGTTGGCCTAAGTCTCCTGCCTGGATCAAACCGGCCCTTTAATTTTGAGGCTATAATTTTTTTTGGTATTCTCAGTCAAAGGCCACGCACTAAGGTAGCATCTATGTAATTTGCAAAAAAAGTCAGCAAAAAAATTTTCTTGCAAAAATTAATTCCCTTGAAACGTGCATAGGTGATAAACTCCAAAAAGAAGTAAACTTTATCCTTTATATCTATGATATATCAAATATGAAATTAAGTCTTTTTGCTCCATCCCCTTTTTTTGATAAAGTATGTTAAGGAAAGTGTCATTTCAATACACCAATTCGACTTACGACCTCGTTTTGGAAATTTCTCCAAACTTAATTATACGACTTTTTTAAGCGCAGATTTGGTTTTATCGCCATAATTTTAGGCGGGATACCTTTTTTCATATTGTTTCAGCTTGTATTTTAGATTTTACGGAGAAATGAAGTTTGAAAACTTGTAAGGGATTTGACCGCAAAAATCGTTCCGGGGGAAACTTTACCCCCCTAGTCGACAATCACGGTCAAATCCCTTATAAAGTTTTCATCTTTGTGTCGTCATAAAATCAATATCGTGAGCAATATGATAATGAAAACTTACAATAAGACTAAAATCATTGCTCTCAATCTGAATCTGAGGTCAAAAATTTTACACAAAAAAATTTTGAAGAATTTTTCAAAACGAGGCCGTAAGCCAAATTGGTGTATACGAATCAACTTTCTATAAAAATTTGAAGAAATCAGCTTTCAAGAAAATTGGGACGATAAAAACATTTCAATGCATCAGTTTTTAAACGGTCAAGTTGAACTTAAATGTTCTCTGTTTTAATCCCTACGATTTGGATTTTTGCGAATCGGTCCATTCATAGGAGCTATGGTCCATCAGAAAACTTAATGTCGTGTCAAGGCATCAAACATATTTTATCGGTAATGAAATGGTTGGTTGTATTCTTTTACTGTGCCCTGGTCACTTGTAATGACCAGAAGAACTGACCAGTAAAATACCCGCCTAAGTTCTAGGACTTTGCATGCCTTAGTAAGCCAGAAATGTATCGAAAAAACTTTGTATCAAATCATACTTTTGAATTCTATGCCAACTTCTGTCTCTAATGATGACGATATGCAGCATTGAGAGGTCTTTAGGTGTTATGTAACGCATAAAGAACTACTTGCGATCAAGTATAGGTTCGACTCGATTGGGGTCCGACTCGATTGGAGTCCGACTCGATTGGGGTCTGACTCGATTGGGGTCCGACTCGATTGGGGTCTGACTCGATTGGGGTCCGACTCGATTGGAGTCCGAATCGATTGAGGTCCGACTCGATTGTAGTCCGACTCGATTGGAGTCCGACTCGATTGGGGTCCGACACGATTGGTCCGACTCGATTGGGGTCCGACTCGATTGGGTCAATATAAGGCATGTTCTGGCGCAAACTTGCTGTTTTAAATTTCTGTAACTTTATTTTATCTTGATTTGTAATTTTCGCACATCTAAACTTGTTGCTTCAAGTTTTTGCATTATAGGTTTATGACGTCAATGCTTTGTTAAAATAGAATATTTATTTTATTGGCAGAAGTTGGCCCTAAAACATCTTAGACCCCGGCCATTGTATTGGTTACTCCGCCACTGTACTGAACACTGCTCTTATTTTCTTACCCTATGACTGGCTGATCCTAGTTGCTTTGCCATTACATTCTACTTACATTTTGTCTCTTTTAACAACATTTTAGCTAGGCTCAAAATTTCTCCTTACGACCTGTGTTTTTGCTATTCTACATTTATTACTACGGAGTGATTTTGGTGAAAATCATGCGAGTTATAAATTATGATTTGCTCCAAAAAGCTGTTGATGGAGTTCATTAGACCAGAAAAAATATTTTTGGAATTTTCGTATTTTTGCATTGTTACTAGGTATTTTTTCAAAACTCTATGAACAAAGCCCAACAACAGTAATCTAATGGAAACTTTAAAGTCTATCATTGCTCGGTCTCATCATTTTCAGGAATTGCCTCATGCACTTTGAAATATTCTTTCACATAAACGCCTATATAGAAGAATGACAATAATTGTTAAGAGAATAACTTCTATATGTATGTTTTTGACGATTTTTCCCCCTCCCCTGTTATAATTGCATAGCTATATATCTTTCAGATGCTGTTGCGGACGTCTACGTTACGAGCACAATGAATGGATCGATGGTGGTTTTGGAAATGAATGGTCTGCCATAAGACATGTGAAGGAAAGCCCAACTAATGCTTTTGGCCAGGTCAGCTTTAGTCCGAAGCAGCATAATGCTTCCCTTGGAGCAGAGGTGGGGCCTATTTTTCTTTAGATAAAACATGAAGTTTATATTAAGTATGATGCTTTACATACGATCAAGCCCGCCGCTACCTATTGTAATTCCTACGTCTTGAATTATAGAGAACTGGCGACTCTCCTCACTCTGGGGGGAAGTTTGGTCATGCCAGGGGCTCGAACCACTGACCCTTCGGTCTGTAGTCAGCGCCTCTAACAACTGAGCCATATTCGCACCAGCATATCAATACCAGCACATCAATACCAAACGTTGTTCATATACGTTTATTTCCAAACTTTTCATAAATATGATTTGTTTAAATTTTTGTCAATTCAGCTACTTTGTAAGCTGTTATGATTTATTACTGCAAATTTACAAAAAGATCAATGATATGTGTTCAATTTGTTTCAGGAAAATAAAAATTTGTAAAACAAAGTAATGACCACATGTATGATAACTCTTATCATGTTCTTATACATTTTATATTTATAAATGTTTGTTTGCAGTACGTTCGGTTATCCGATTCAACAAATGTTGAAGCTATATGGAATATGATGAAGAATTTTTGGTCATTGAAGGAACCTAAATTGATACTCTCAATTATCGGAGGAAATTCAAGTACTGACATTGACTTAGTCATCAAGCAGTCACTGGAAAATGGTCTTGCAAAGGTGACGAACTTCTGAATAAGGTCGATTTTAGTGAAGAATAGCTAGTTGCGATTTTAGTGAAGAAAGGTCGATTTTTTATCTGAAGTTGCGCTTAAAGTCGTCTTAAAGAATAGCTAGATGATTGGAAGAAGCGGGCTGTTCACTAGCGCCAGTTTAAATATCAAATTTCTGCCATTTCGAATTGAAACATTTCTCTAGAAGACAACTAGGTGTCAATAATATGTGCTTTTGAATCCCTTTGCGCATTAAAAAGTTAAATGCGGATGTAGGTCACCAGCCCTGTCGCTTAATTAACCAGAAATGCAACTAGCTTTAAACAGTCCCATTTTTGCCGCTTCGAATTGAATTAAAAAACTGCCTGATCAATGGATTTTACGAAGCCTCACTTTGTGCAAAGCCAGTATTTTTCTTGCCATTCTCAAAATCTGCGTATTCTTCAACAAAATCTTTGATACCGGAGTTGAGCAAAAGCTCCAAATTTGATTGTCTCAATTTGATGTTGAAAAATAACAAATGAGTTTCTGCTACATCGTATAGGAAATATGACGTTTCTGCTGTGGTTTTTGCCAGCAAAACAGCAGCTGTACATGTAGCCTCATGCGGTTACAGATGTAGCTCTGCAGGCGAAAATCTGTTCGTTGATTTTCTATATTATTTTTTCAAGCATCCCTCATTCTCTTGAAAATGTTTTTAACATTTTAAAACAGATAATTGCGATGACAGACATCTGGCTATTTACTTCTGCAACCAAAGCAGAAATTACGAAACTGGCAGGCAAAGTGTTTCAAGAAAACTATCGCAGAGATAGATCGACAAAAAATGCTTGCATAGGAATTGCTCCGTGGGGATGCATTGCAGAAAGAGAGCAACTGACTTCTGAAGATTTTATTGTAAGTTTACCAGGCAGTTTGTGTAAATGTAACGTTGATAACTTTGTTGTTTTGTTTTATCTTTTTTGTTATTTGCCTCGTTTTGATAGCAGCCTCGTTTGCCAGCTGCTTGATTATGTTGGTAAGCACGGGGGAGAATTGTATTGCACATGCACTAATAATCATAGGGTGCTAAGGTCTTTTTAAGCTGGCGATAAAGAAATACAGAAAAAAATTAGGCTGGCGAAAACTAGGCACTCTTTAACTTGAACCAAGACATTGAAATGTTGTAAAACTTCTGCATTTTTTATCTGTTATCATTTTTTGTTACAATAAGAAACCTTTGCGCTACAAGCCTTACGCAAATCAACTGATGTCAAATGAGCGATGAACAGCAAAGTCAGGTGACTCTGAGACAGTTCAAATGGACCAATAAAACAAAGTTATTTTTTACAAACCCGTTCTTTACACACATATTATTTCAATAAAGATAAATACAACGTATTTACTCTTAGTTGGGAAAAATATTTGCATGGAGATGCCACCGATCAATTATAAAATATGCACGACATATGGTAACATTTTAGATAATCTTAAACTTTCTTGCAAAGCAGACATATCATTGAGTGCAGAGCCATTAAGCCACACTATTTATTTACCGCTGCAAATTTTGCTAAAATCGATCGCTACGAGGATAAATTTACAAACCTCTATAATTTTGTTGCATTATTTACCAATAGCTATTGAAATTTCAACTGTTTGTGAACATTTAATGCAATTTTGGGCAATGACGCAAACCAGTTTTGATGCAAATCGGTTCGGGCGGTATGTTCGGGTGTTGATATCGTGAGAGCTCGTGTTGTTTTTTGTTTTTGACCGTGACAAATTTTTTGCGCTTCTTGCTTTTCATTTTTTTTGCATATTTTAAAAGCAGCAGTTTTTGTGCACCCAATGATATTGGCAACTTAATGATAGCTTTTTTCCTACATTGTGATAAAACATAATTTCTGGACGCTGTTCATTCGCTAATTTTTTTGTTACTATCTTGAGAAAAAACCCTTAAAAAGTTTTTGCACCTATAGAAAAACATTTTTAGAAAGAAACCACTTATACCAGTCGAAAGCCGAAGAAAAACTGTGCTTACCCTATTTCCCTATCCAATGTGGCCAAGCTTTATTTTTGAGATACAGCTCCTTGAAAAATTACTTTGTTTGTTGCATCATTGCATCGATATAGGCCAGAGATATTGCCTTTTCAGCTTGAAGCAATAAGTAGTTGAAGCTGTTAGTTTCCCAAACATATAATGACTGGTGTTAAAAAATTAATAGTTCTTGCTTCTGTTGATGCACTGAAGATTCTTTTTGTTTTGAACGTAAAGCAAGGCAATGCATTTTATTTGTAGATATAATCTTATATTTCTTATCTAGTCTCTACGCGTCGCAGCGCAGCAACACACTGCACGTGATAATTGACCGCCATTTTTGGTTATTACAATTCTCTCCCGTGCTATGATGGTAGCTTTGTTAATGTTCTGTACGATTATTAAATTATTATTTATAAATTATAAATTATTAAAGTCATTCATAAACTTAATTGAAGTCAATTTATACAAACTGTTTTATTCCTGTCCTCCTTGTTTCAATGTAAAGTTGAGCCATCTGCATATGCTTTTTAGCAAGATGTTCTTTATGCTCCTTCGAGTAACATGTTGGAGGAGAAAACAATTTTGGAAGAGCATCACACGCAGTTCTTGCTGGTTGACAATGGGACGATTAATCAATTTGGAACAGAACGGAAACTAAGAGCGAAACTAGAGCAGTTCCTCAACTGTCCTGGTATTATCAGATAAATATTATTTGACGTAAATATCCAACGCTCAAAGTTTGCCTTTAAGTTAATCTTTACAAGAGTGTTGGGTTATAAGCCTAGATTTGTCGAATCTTTCCTATTTACAAAATTATTCCAAACCATAATCTTTGATAAAGACTGTAGTTGTATAAATATTTGTCATTCTTTGACGTATCTAACTACTTAAAGATTTTATGACTGCTTTTAAAATCCCTACCGCTTCTACTGCTTCCACTGTTTGTTGATCTTGTTGACAAAATTATATGCGACGTTCTTGGAACTTCATTTCAACAAAAGTATATAGGCAGCAGCATTTGTGACACTTGAAATAAAGAAACAATTAACGCGATGTGCAATACATTAAAATCACGAACTGAATAAGACCCGGCAAAGATACGTGATAAGGAAATGTAAAAGTTTATAACTTGCAGAGTCAAAGCTTGGAGATACTTTAAAATTAAAGGGGAATCGTCCAGGCTTCTATATTCAGATTAAAAAGAAGATCGAATGTATAATATATCTTGCCTGTTTGCTTTAAAGCTGATTCGAAATCGATACCATATGTAAACTTACTCGTCCATGGTGGATACAATGCCTGTATGCAGATGAAAGAGAATCTTGCCCGCCATCCAGTGATACCGACCGTTATTTTAAAGTATAGTGGAGGCTTAGCAGATATTCTTGTTGATGCCTTAGATGCTCACAAAGAAGAAGGAAAAACCGGGTAATGTTTATAAAGGAAGTTATACAATCTGTTATTGTGAAAGCATTTACGGTTTTTGTTGCGATAAGTTTAAATTTTATCCCATGATTTAAATACATTTTGATGAAATCTGATATTTTCCTTTTTTATTAGCCACAAGCTCTTAAACCACATTGCTGCATCATCTGCAAATTCGTTTGCGCATGTCAGTCCTGAGAAGCTTCATACGCTCAGGGGAGTAATAAAAAAAATTGTTGAGGAGCACAACGCTCAGGTATGGGTTGGAAAGATTTTTACTTCAAGTTATTCTACAAACAATCAGGCAGTTCCTGACTAAATTCGCTTCGATTTGTTTTCAAGAACATTACGTTTCCACGGCTGTGAGCCAGAGACAGATTATCCAACTAGTAGTTTTAAGGATGGTCATTACACATCTTGGCATTAGTGTCTAAAAGGTGCTTGAAATTTATTTCTTACAAAGCGTAAAGACTGTATCACATCTACTTTAAACCCAAGAGCAGTTCCGCTCTGAAATACATTAATTCGGCTTATGGCCTCGTTTTGGAAATTTCTCCAAACGAATTCTTTAGGCTCAGATTTTTTAACATCATAAATTTAGGCTGGATACATTTTGCCATATTGTTTGTGCTTGCTCAACCCCTACTCTCCAATCACAGTCAAGTCCCTGATAAAATCTTTTTGTTCATATTGTCATTAAATCAATATCGTGAGCAATAGAATAATAAAAATTTCCAATTAGACTGAAATTCTTGCCCTCAATCCGAATCTGAGGTAAAAATTTTGTTCAAAAAAATTTGAAGAATTTTTCAAAATGAGGCCGTAAGTTGATTTGATGTGTTCTATAATATTGTTCTTAATAAATGCCGTATTATGATTTGTCTTAACGGCCTTTCTTTCTGTTTATTTTATGTTAACATAACTTTTAGGTCATTATATGTGATCCAAAAGGAGATCCATATGGACTTCATCATGCTATAGTCGAAGCTTGTAAAAGTAGGTTTAATTTTGTTTCATTTTTCAAAAACATAAGTCAGATATACCTGCTATACAAGATAGGGTTTTTTGTCTATAAATTGAAAAATTTAGATTTTATGTCGTCTTCAGAGTTTGCCCCTGTCGCTGATTTCCTGTCAGATTCATTGGTTGGACAATGTTCTTGCTAGTTTGTTTCATTTTTTTCAGTTAAGTTTCCACTTTTCTGTTTGTCTAATTGTAAGAATCATCATCATCATCATCATCATCAAAGGCGTAGGCCTAGTGGCCCTTGGCACCTCTCACAATGTCAGCCCATTTGAGGCGATCTTGAGCATGCCTTGAGCTTGATCATGGAAGTTGCTAGTGGAAGACCAGTGTCTTTTCTAACCTGGTCTTGCCATTGTAAGAATGGAGAAATAAATTTGTTGGCAAGCATTTTGTTTGCACGCAAATAAGAAATTTTTATCTTGATAGAACTTATTTTATCCTGAATATTGAGACGTATTTTGAAGCAGGTAATATTATTCAATAAATATCTTTCAAGGTTCGTCACCGGCTAGAGATATTGGATTTAAAAAGCTTCAGTTAGCCATTCAACTTGGAGAAATCGAGACGGCAATGCTCAATATACAATCAAGTGGAAAAGATGTAAGTCAGTAAAATTTTGTAGTTTTAAAGCTGTAGCCAAGGCTAAAATTGAGATGGACAAAATTCAAAAGACGAAGTAGTGTCAGTCAAATTACAAAGCCAATGACAAAGTAGCCAAGTCCGAAAACCAAAGTCAGATAGCTATGTTCAAAAGACGAAGTCACGGTTAAAATATACTTTATGCTGAATTATTTTAGCAGCTGTTCTATTCATTCAACTTGGCTTTACATTAAGTGAGTAGGCCACAAACAGTACACACGTAAAACCTCGCAGCTATAAAGTCCTTCGACGGGACATGGCCAACAAAACAGATAGAGCACTACGCAAATATATCGAGTAGCTCTTTATTCATGTAAAGCCAGGATTATGATTTTGATGGATGCTGTTTTCATGTTTTATAATGGTTAATTTGTAAATTTGATTTGTAGGCATGTATATAAGAAAACAGAGGCCTTTGAATTCTTTTGAAATTTGTATAGAGTCAGACTGTAAATGGGCCAAAATTATGACAGGGAATCATTGCTTCTTTAGTATAATTTCTTTGAAATTCCCCATTTTTTAGAAGTGACTGAAAGTTCTTATCCCTAGGCAGGTTATTTGGAGGGATTACTTTATAAGTCAATAAAGACGGGAAAAGGCACGTTTGTTGAATTTTTGCTAAATTATGGAGTGAGCTTGGAAAAATTCTTCAGCAATGAGAAAAAATATCTTCAGAAGTTATACAAAAAGGTATGCATTCAAATATCTAATTTCAAACAACGTAATTTTTTAAAACCTATTTTAAATCTGTTTAAATTATTAACTCTTTATCTACTCCTGGTTCATCAAAATATACCTATACAACATTTTATATATATCTACTTCTTAATAAGTTTTTATTCTTGTTTCTTTTTCATTTCAGAGATGCTTACACGGGGGTTTTTTGAGAACTTTGTTAAGCAATAATGAAATAAAACAGGTATTAATTTGTCAAACAGATACAAAAAACACAATAAATTCTTTCACAGCAAACTGTTATACTACTGACAAATCTTTTAAGCCTTGACATTTTTAATTACATTATAAGCATTTTAAAAGAATGAAATATCACTATTTATGAACTACGCTTGAAATGAATTTGAAATGAAAAAAACCTGGGACGATTTTTAATCGGCCCTTTTTAATTTCTGTTTACTTAAACGTATTGAATCTTTAGGATTCGAAATAGGTTCTGGAATCTACCTATTATGAAAACTATACTGTTCAAATCCTTTGCTTCTTGGCCGAGATTTGATTATAGCTTTTTCAATTTAATGCACTGTTGCTACTAGTATCATATCCTTGCCTGCTTTATGACATACCATGACAGGTATCATTAAAGAATCTGTTCTTCTTTTATTCGAAGAAAAGTTATTGTGCGATTCTTTTCTAAGACTGCACCCCAGTTAACAAAGTACAGTTACGTCTCTGTAGATGCTTCGTCGATCCTCTTTTTTGTTTGCTTTGGATAATGTTAGATTTAAAGCAAATCGAGCTCGATTTCATAATGATTTTCATCTTTTTAGGTAGAAAATTCAAGAAAATTTGATATGAGAATTCTTGATAAACTGTTGTACAAATTGATGCAAGGGGATTATACAAACTGCTTTATTGAGAGGGTAAGAAGAAATTCTTATTGTTTATTTACAAAGTATTCAAATTTAGCATATAGTGTGTTAATCTCACAGTTAGCGTTATGGTATATTAAGTTAAAGCTTCCAGTTGAAATCTTTTTTCAGCAATAGTTACTTACTTGATTTTATTTTAAACAAATTTTTCAGGTTTTTACCTGATTTTAATGTTTAGGTCAGTCTTGAAAATAAAGAAGAGGTGGGAATGTCACCCTCTCAACAGTTAATGATTTGGGCAGCATTGAACAAAATGCATGGGATGGTTGAATGCTTCTGGAAGTTCGAAACCGATAAGGCACTCGAAAATGCACTTGTGCTGTTTCGCATTTACAAGAGATTGGCAACAGAAGATTCTTTGGACGAGATTGACTGCGAGGAATTGAAAAAAATGTCAGAGTGAGTAGGCCATTTGCTTGCTGTTGTAATAAAGCTTGATGTAGAAACTAACGTATGAATTAAAGGAAATTAACGTGTGACAATGAATTTCAATTACATAAAACATAGTAAAATTTCTACTTGATGTGAAAGTGAAATGCCTAGTCAGTTCCAAAGAAACCTGTAGTAGTTATAATTTTGTCAGGAAATTAAGGTTCACTTTTCTTCTTCCATCAGCGGTCTGCATAACGTCTTCTTAAGCATTTAATATGCGAATCCTCACTAAGTTCTATGTCGATGAGAGTTTTGAGGGCCCTTTGTAACATAGAGACAACAAAATAATGTGCTGTTAACTTGTGCTCCAAAAAAGAAACTTTTCCCAGTGTAAATGAGAAATTCGGAAAGTGCATGTGCAGAACCCTTTTTGCTAGCATTGGTTTTGCATTTCACTTGAAATTGATCTTAGAGCTTCAAATAAAGCTTTAGAAAACATTTTTGTTCTTGTAGGACCTACGAAAAGAGAGCAGTCGAGTTGCTATCATTTTTCTACAAACAAAACTGCAAATCAACTTTAGATGTTGTGAAATCTCGCATTCCTCTATGGGGTTTTAATAATATGGTCACGCTTGCTGCAAATGGTGTTTCACGTAATTTTGTTGCTCATTTGTGCTGCCAAATCTATTTAGAAGACGTTTGGCTTGGAAAGGTGAGTTTATGGTTTGTTGTTTTTCCTAGCAAAATGTTGATTTGGTTAAACGTAGACATTTGACTTGGTTTGTTCCTTCTGGCAAGTTTGAGATGTTCCTCGTATCCAACAGCTTTAACAAATAATTTGTTGAGAATGATGCCTCTACCTTTTCTTTTCTTGCTGTTTCTTAGCAACTATTTGTGACTAACTTTAGAAAATAAACTTTTCAAATAAGAAAACATTTTTCAAACAATCTTGTGGTGGTACAAAACTTGAAAATGGCTTTGGAAAAAAGCAAACATTTGAGTAAACAAAAGCTTTTCGTCTGACACTCTTCAGACTTAAAACGTCAGAACATAGATAGAAAACTCTACGCTAGGAGATATATATTCCCAGTTGTGGTGAAATATATATATCCAAATATTTATCTAAATATTTTTTTCCTAGTCAGACTTTACTGAATCCACTATCTTTCTTCCGTTGATAATGTGATCTGTGCCCTGCCTTAAGACCATGTAAGAACTTTGCTTTGGATAAGAGCCTTTTAATAATGGTCTCAAAAGATCTTCTCCATTTTTGAAACAATGAAGTCTTGAACTGGAGACAGTGTCTATTCCACATAATCAGCAAAATAACACGTTGTAAAAGAAAAAATCATCGTGTCATGTTTTTGCATAGGGTAGGCGACCTTTCTCTTTGATTGAGGTTATGAAAGTTTCGATTATGCTTGAGGTTAATAAAAACAATGCCTCTCCTTCTAAAGAGTAGTAAATCATTTTTGACAATATGCATGTGAAAGTTCGTACCAAAATTGAAAAAAAGTTCACATCTCAGTCAGGTACTTTTCTATTCAACAAAATTTCAATCAATGCAGTGTGAAAGAAATACGGTTAAATCAACACTGGCTCAGTTGAAACTTCAAAGCAGGCATAGACCGGCCCAGTCACATGCTGGAGTGGCTGCAGATCGAGAGGAGAAGTATCGCCCTACAGATAACAAAGACGAAACTGATGAAGTCAAGATTCCAAGGCACAAACGTTGGGGACAAAATATAGTTGATTTCTTTCGTTTCTTTGTCTTCGTCCCCAAAGGCAAGCTTTTCCTCCACGAGGTATGTGTTTGAGAAATATGTTTATGAACAGTCTGAGTGATATTGCATTTAATCGCACAACAGACTGTTGATATTGAAGCAACTTTATGCCTACAAGAGAGGCTAATATGCATTCTCGTTTAAAGGCATTCTTCAAAAGACTTTCTTATTCAGCTCTTTTGACAGAGAAACGTTGCCGTAGATATATTGCTGGTCCAAATGTTCTATCGAGTTGTTTATTTGAATTGTTCATTATCACTTGTCCAAGCTTGATTTTAAAGAATTGTTGAGTATATAGGATCAAATATCGCATTCTTCATCACACGTTTTTTCTTGATTAACTGATTTAAAATTTTCTTCTTCTAGTTCATTTTTACACTCTTCCTTGTACTGTTTGCCTACAATGTTCTTGTGAAGAAAGGCCAATATCACAACCCATTTCGGTATATTGTCTTCACGATAGTAACGTCATTGGCAATCGACGAAATTCGTGAGGTAAGTCTGTCTAACACAGCAGATAAAGACAACACATGACCTAAATCGGCAGATATTCACAATTTTCAAGTTAAATTGTGTTTGAAGTGAAAGTATAATGATACTTTGCTTCTCATCATCCCACCCTATGACAGGTCTACAAATTGCTTCAAAACGTTAATTATTGTAACCCCAATTAAGTAGTATGATCGCTCTTTTCAGATTGCAGAGATGAGAAAAAGAAGCGTTTGGCTGAAACTACGAGATTGGTTTAAAAGCGTTTGGAATAAACTCGATGCTTTGGCAATAACACTGTTCTACGTGGGATTTGCATTTGGTTTCTATGATTTCAAAACTGCAGAAAGGACCATCATGGCAATTGATCTCGTTATTTGGGTCGTCAAGTTCGCTCAGTTTTATCGGATGTTCTACACTCTTGGACCATACCTCATCATGATTTACAGAATGGTATGACGCTGCTAACATTTAATTCAAACCAATACTGCTTTTTAATGAGTCTAAACAACTCATTCAAGCATTTGATGAAATAAAGTTGAACATTTAAGCATCATATTTCTTTCATTCTGAGCCGATACCTTATTTACAATTAATTTAATTTTTCCAATTGATATTTTCACCTTTTCCTCAGTTTTTAAGTTCGTTCTCAATCTTTTTTTCTCAATTCGAAGACATAAAATCATCACCCTCTCACGATTATAGATGTTTCACATGATCGGCTTTGTACTGGTGCTCGTGATTGCTGTCATTGCATACGGGATTTTCATGCACACACTACTGTTTCCTGAGGTTGACATTTCCTGGGAAATCCTATTTCAGCTCCTGTTTCGGCCATATCTACTGGTGTTTGGAGAACTCGGGATCAATAGTTATTCACGTGGGTAACACTTATATTCGCTTCACACCTAGGCAATCGACTTCTAAAAATTTTTTTTTCATTTTTGACACATTCATTGCTTATGTTCCTTGATCTATCAATGTTTCAATTATATTTCAATGTTTATTTTTGCAACTCATTGATCTAAGTTACTTTTCATTTTTTTCATTAACTCTAATTTGCTCAAGATTTTTGGTAATATAACATTTAGGCAATAGGTCTTGACATCTATGTTTTGGCTGGGTATTTTGATTTCTTCTGTTATCCTTTGCCTTCCGTGGGATCGTTTTTCATGTGACTCCACTTGTGTCCATTCCTTCTGGACTCTGTTCCGATTTGGATACCCTGTCTTCTGATAAGTGCATTGCATTTACAGTTTGCGTCAATCAAGTTAATCACCAATTTTAATTTTAATTTCTTTTGTACCCATAAGTATCAAACAATTCAACAGTGTACGGGACAAAGAAGATCAGCAAATCAACTGAAATCATCGTTGTTATTGGCATGTGTGTTTACTTGCTAATGGCCAATGTGCTGTTATTAAACATGCTCATAGCTGTTTTCAAGTAAGAAATGTTTTTAAACTTGCATTGTTTAATCTGATTGTTTAGTGGAGATTGCATATAATAACTATGTTACAGGTCATTTTAAAATATAATATTGTCTTTATGTTTATACTTTTTGAACGTCGTCCATTGTTAAAAGCTATTTCTTATTTGTATGCTCTCAACCTTTTTTATTATGAAAGGCCAACTCTATTCTGCCGTGCATGAAAGTTTTTTGTATTTGTTTATTACAGCAATATCTATGAAGATATTAAAGAGAACTCTGACAAAATATGGAAGTATGACAAATACGACATGATTATGGAGTTCAAGAACAAGCCAGCACTACCCATGCCATTATCGATATTTGCAAACATTCCAAGGATTCTCTTTCATTTGTGCAAAAATAAGGCCAACAGATCTTACGTACAGGAAGGCATAGGTTTTCAGAACATTACTTTATTAGCAAATAAATATCTACTCCTATTACATTTTATGTAGTTATAACTTTTACAAACAGAAAGGTTTTCTTGTCTATTATACTCTTCTTATGTGTCTTCACAGTTGCGAAGTAAAGAATTATTTTTAGAGTTTTATTAGACCCATCATCTTTTTTTTAACATGTTTTTCAAATTAATGTTGTTTAATTTTTTGCATGGTTCACTTTTCATTTTGGGTGAGATACAGACTGTTCTCCATTTCATTACACTAATTATTTATTCATTTTTAATTTATTTAGATCAAATTTTGGACATGAAAGATTTTCAAAATCGTTGCTCTAGAGGTTTTCTTAGAGAGCCGGAAAAAATTTCAGATCTTAGAGAAAGTATGACTTCGTTGTTTGAAAGGTAAATACATCAAAATTTAAGGCTTTTAATAAATTTTGAGTCGTATTTGACAGATTTTGTACGTTTTATAATTTCTTCTAAAGCTATATTGAAGAGGAGCTATTTTTTTGCAATTTTTTTATGAGTCATTTTTTCTTTTGTCATCTTCTTTAAAAAGTTTCCAATTATGGGCAATAATGATAGAAAAGCCAAAGAAAGAGGCCAGGAAAGCTATTGTAATATTCCATATAATATCAATTAACCTATGGTACGATAAATGTTTGCATCGATATTTAAAAACTGTTTGGAGCAAGTTTGACGAGAAAGGACGAAAACTGATTTAGAGAAAGTTTTATAAGAATAGCACCTAAATTTATTTTTTAGTTCAGCAGATATATTTGGTTTCTAATTTAGTTGATGTTCGTTTCTCAATTTGTTTCAGGATGGATAATCTTTCAAAAACTCTTGCAGAGCTTGACGAAAGAACAGAAAAGTCATTTTCTTTCATTACAAAAGCCCTGAAGAAAATCGCAGGCTGACCTTTTTCAAGCATGAACTGTCAACTTTTTAATGATTTTTATTAGATTAATATTTTGATACGGTCTAAAGGTTTATAAGGATATTCTAGCAGTTAGGTTGACATTATTAATCATTGTATTGAAATCGTCAAAATTTTGCCAATCAACTTAATATTTAGTCCATTAACATTAAAATTTATTTCCGAAAAGTTATTAATTTCATGAATGCGAACAGTCTGTCTGGTAAGCAAAAAAAGGAACTAAGGAAATGTTTAAGATCTGTGATTTTCCATTATTCTTTGTTGCACATAAGAAACTCAGGTACTCTAATTTTTCTAACCATTGAAACGCATAATATTTTGCTAGATTTTGAATAGTTGGATGAGAAAAGTGGGTGGCTTGATTTCAATCTCCAGAGAGGGTTCATAAAAATGGGGATAAAGTTTTAAAGCAAGGAGATAAGTGATAAAATCTCCTAGACATAATCAGGCACAATTTGAACATTTTTGGTTCAAGACAAAATGACTGGTTTGGTTAGGTCATCGATCTTTCGTACAAAAGAATATGATCTCCTTGGCGAGTAGCAACTATTGGTATGAATGTAGCTGCAAAGCTAGTTAATGGTATGAATGTAGCTTCAAGCTAATTAAAGCAAATCATTTATTAAAATGAATATCGAAATCATCTTATTCCTCCTACTTACTCCTCCTAGATACTGCTACTTAAGTTTTTTCTTTTTTGTAACACTTTTTTGTAACATTATGTATACGTGTAGTGTTCCTAGTCGTTAGTCTAGTTACATGTAATGGTTATTGGGTTGTCATTGTCCTTTGCCATCCATGGTATCGTACCTGTAGTATTGTAGAGTAATTGGAAAGTGTAACAGAATGTAGTTTGCATCGTTATATGTTACCTAGATAAATAAATAGTTTACATTTTTCACCAGCATTTTTCTACAGCATTTACAAAGAACTATAATACAAAAATATGATTAGCCATAAAAACCCTAAATTAATTACGAACCTCTTACACAATCTACAGTCGCAGTTACTAGATTGATGCTGTATTAGAAAATTTACTCAAGAAGTTCTTTGATTTCTACGAAAAACAGGACCAAGTATAACAAGAAACATAGTTATAGCAAGAAAAAGCATGCAGGCCAAGTAATACTTTCTTTTTCTAGAACTCATACCATGTCTATTATTTTCCTCTGTTTTCAAGTACCATGAGAATCTATGAGAATTTTCATTTCACCCAATTTATGGGACGAATGTTGTCAGAATGGTCACTTGCCCAGTTTTTGAGAACTTCAGCATAATCCTCTGTAACTTCCGTAGATTGAAATTTGTTTGAAATGATCAAATGTCATATTTCTTTGCTTTCTTCATTGACATGGAAGCTGTTGAAGTCATATAGCACCTTAATGTCGGGACTCGTTAAGGCGTATAGCTAACTTCACCTCTCTCAACTCTTTCACAATCCTTTATATGCTGTTGTCATTGTATTTGTCAAAGACAATCACATTTTGTGTGCACTGGTCTAGAATGGCAGCAGTCAGGGGCGGACTGGCTCTAAATTTAGGGCCTAGGCAAAGCTGTCGAGAAAGGGCTCCGAAAATTAATAATAAGTTTACGGGTATCTTCAAAGTTGTTTGTTGCATCACTTTTCTATACTGGCTTAAAACGTTATTAAAATATTGCTATTAATTCTAATTAATAACTACTAAAGATGTAAGCGTAAGTGTAAAAGATTACAAAGGGGATCAACAATCCTTAGTCAAGGTCATCATAATTTTCACCAGGCATTAATTTAAGGAATTTTCATCACCAGATAGGGTGTGGCTAGGGATGTGGCTAAGTTTTGACTGGACCTCTTTTTGATGGAACAAAAAGGTTTTATTTTAGTTTGGTTTCAGTGTAATTCAGCCTAACTACAGCTAATACTGATTATGTATACATCTTACCAGAAAAATCCTTTGCAACATAGTTTTTAGACACTTTTACTGACAGAAGGGACCACGTCCAAAAAATTGACCACGCCCATTTTTGGTGGCGATGTTAAGTAGCGTATTTTTTCCAATGAGCATGCCCCTTTTTGAGCAAAATTTTTCTAATCAGCAGCAACTCTCCAATGAGCGCCCCCCAAATATTTTGAAAACATATAGAGACCAGCAAATCTTTACAATATAAATCAGTTTAAATATATTGAATAAAACCTATGCTGTTTCAATTTGGAAAATCTTCTGCAACTACTGACAGAATTATATAAAAACACATTTGAAGGTATTGACAATTTAAATATTCAAGATGCCACACCAGTATTTATGCAAATCTATTTGGATTTCGACTCGGATGAAATTGAAATCTTGTAATTATTATGCCCAAAACAGGTGTGTTTGAGTTTTCTAAAAACAATAATTGCTGAAATTCCAAAGCTAAATTTTTTATTGGTGGATTTTTATCTTTTTCTCAATAAGCCCTACTCTCTAATGGGACCAAAAATATGATATAATACGGTAAACAAGAGTGGCTATGGAAGCTTTAGCCACTTTTTGCAAAATATGCCAAATATTAAGTATCAAACAACCAGAAAAGCCTCTTTTTATACGGTTTTAGCCCTTTACTTTTTTAGACCCCCACTCTTCTGAACGCTCCGTGGTGCCTGGTATTGTGTTCTTAAAAAATAAATTTTACTTCTCTTTCATTTCATATATTTTGTTAATGTTCCAAGAACTTTGACAGGCATTTAGACTCCTCTTTGAACTATTATTCCTTTAGAAAAATCACAAAGGGGCTGCGATGCCATTACCGCGTGAAAAAGCGAATATCTCAACACGTCAATTGACGCTTTGTCGTAGTATCACAATCACCTCAAAGCAAACAACATTGATTCACGTTTGCGAAACTCAAATCAACTAACAACATGGCTAATAATAATATAGTCTACTTGAAATATCGTTTCAAAAAGGGAGGCGCAAACTCATGCTGAGTTGGCTGAGTTTTGCCACGTTGTATAACTAGCATACAGATTTACAAATTCAAAGGCATTTGTGATTAACTGTATATTATTTTTATTATTAACATTTGTTTTAGTTGAGCTCCACTCGTAGCTTGATTCCATTATCTCATTTGACTCTCGATGAAAGTTTGTATTCATTTGTCTCAGTAGTGTAATCAGTAATATTTGGAGTATTTCAAACTGAAGGTGAAGAAATTCAATGCACTGCACATTTTTCAGTTCATCGCTGCACATTTTCGATTCATCACTGCACAAATTGGTCATCAGTGCATCTTAAATTAATCCTTGATTTTCACTGGAAATTCAATTCTGACGTAGAATAAGGGATGAGAGAAAATCATGACATAGCGAGGGAAAAAAGTTATTGTGTTCTAGCTGAAGGACTTTTAAAGGGGGGCCTCAGTGATAAAAATGGCGAATGGTATTTAGAGGGGTCACCTTTTTCGATCACTGTGGCTCTGGTACCTAGGGTAGGACTTAATAGAATATCGAAGTTATTCAAGAAATATCTAAGCTATTCAAAAAAAATCTTGATATGTAGTTTTCCAGTCAAAACTTAATAGGAGTTGATGGTTTTCCTATCAATGGTTGAGCTGCCATGTTAATTTATTTTTTGTGCAGCAACCAAGATGGTAACATCAATAGCATAGGCAGGGCAAGCGAAACGTTACTGAAAGTGGGGAAAAGGGTGATATGTTTAGATTGTTCAAGAGTTTCGAAATATGACATTATAGGGATGGCCAGAAATACATCTAGAATACTTGCCATATCAAGTTTGTCGAAAGGAAGATCCTAGGCAATACATGTAAGCTTTAATTTACAATAATTCCCCATCCCGTAATAGTTTCCAATTACCAAAAAGTCAAGATCTTATTCTCAAGTTTTAGCGACAAGCCCAGCATTTTCGACACACATAACTTTGAACAAATATCTAAATGCAATTATAGAAAACCCTGTCTTGTCTATTGAAGAAAGTAAATAAATGTTCTCAGTAAGAAACTTTCAAGAATAACGAGTCATTTCTTTCTATGTTCATATATCAATTCATGTCTACATTTCTATGACCATAAAGATTGTCATGCATCCAAGTCTTCCAGTTGTATCTCTTTTCTTTTTCTTGTTTACTTCACAATGGGAGACATTTAAAACTTATTCATTTTTATGCAGGCTCATAGACTGCGAAACAGGTTTGGGGGACATGGATAGAAATATAGATTTTCCTTTACCTGCCTTACAAAATACTGCGCTTATAGGATTCTCAAACACAATTTTCGCAAATTATTGAGAGGGGGCATTGCCCCCAGTGTTATTTTGCAAAGTTCGTCAGGGCTAATCTCGCATGGTTTTCGCCACGTCAGCAAATGTTCGGAAAAAAACTAGCACAGTCAGACCACGCCGATGGAATTATGCCAAAATTCTTCCGAAGAATTACACCAAGATTGGCTAAGTACCGATGTTCTATGCCTAAGATCTTTGGCGAATCATTCCTGTTCTTTGCTGGAGCAAAGTATGGATGTATTGGAGCAAAAATTTTGTCAGAGCTGAGGGGGTTGAGCCCTTCTGCTGTTTTGATCTATACTCCCAAATCTATTTGGTTAGCATTAAAATAATGTGCCTTCCTAGAAATTGAGTCACAAAAATTTCCATGCCCCAAAAATTACCACCTTAACCTATGATTTAACAACACCACAAATTTGAAATCACAACACGACAAATCAAATTTACAACACCACAAAACAGTAACAAAACCACGTTAACGTTAGAATAACCTCTGAATCAACTTTGCTTAGAATAGTATAACATTATGCTTAGAGTATAAAGTTGAAGTGCTGAAAATGGCTCTCTTGCTGATTCAGTTGGATGTTGCTGTCCTCCTTCCACTTCCAGGCGTTCGCGTGACCCTAGAATGACGTGACGGTTATAAAGCCAATGAAATTGCGAGTTGCCAAACAACGCTAATCCATTTTGTTTTGGTGTTTATCATAAAAACATCCAACTGCACCTATTGAACAACGATAATTGTTCTACCGTTGGACAAAGAGAACAATAACAACAAAAGACGAACAAGCAATCACATTCAAAATCTCACAACCGTTACTTGTTGGCTGTCCTTTTTAGCTTGCGGACACTTCTGGCACAAGACATCTTTTAAGACCTGTTTACAACACGATCATATCCAGGTAAAATATCCATTATATTCATTCTCATTTTTGCATAACCTTACAAGTTACTTAAATCTGTGCAAAGCAGCAAGAATCATTTCTTTTAAATTGCTTACTATTGTAAAGATTTTTCATTTAAACAGCGATTAAGTTGCAAAGTCCACGATGCAGTTTTTCAACTTTTCTTCCTTTCTTTTGACTATCATCATTTAACTTGTTAAGCAGAAGATATTGCAGAATAACCTCGTCTCCTAGTGTCCGCCACAGGTCCATGCCTTACGAGTGTTCTGGTTGGTTATTCTAATCTGATTGTTTTTGCGACTCATTTTATTGTAATTTTCGTTCAAATTCATTGCAAATTAATAAGTCTAATTTTCGAGTTTTATTACAACAATTTAACCAGATAAATCACTTAGCAAAGATAGACATAGATTATTTTTGAATATTTTTTCTGTTCATTTTGATGAATGTTCGTTTTCTGGATTTCAATTTCTTTCTCCCAAACTTGATCTATCAATTTCACTTAAATGTGGAACCCGGTCAGCCGCGAAACCTATTGAAGCTACGTGAAGCTTTGTGTTCAACCACGTAGCTGTAAATGTCGTCCAGGGTGGGCAAACTCGAGCAAGAACAATGCCTGAGAGGGGGGAGGGGGGCAGGCTTCAATACAAGAAGACAGATATATAACTTTAGTTTATAACTATGAGCTTGAGATTTTATAAAGATGAGATATTTTTCACCAAAGTATTTATTCACTTAAAATATTTTCCTGGGTTTTACAAAGTCACTTGTAAGGGGCCCACCGGGATTTACCGGTGTCCCTCCTAGCCACAACGCCCCTGATTTCAAAGCTACTTTTAGGGGCGCTGATTGGCTGCTCTGAAAGCAGGCTCGTGGACTGAAAGATAGCTTAATTGATTACAAAGAGAGGTATTGTTTGAAACATCAAGATGCCATCTTGTTGCCTGGTAAATAATCGAAAAGTGCAAACTTCGTGCTAGGGAGAGAAATGAGAGAAAGGAGAGAAAATTCTCCATTTTGATATTGGTGATTAAGATTTTACTTAATATCATATTGGTAAACATTTTCCTATTTAACTATTAACGACAACATCAAATAAGAAATTCCTAGAAATCTGACCAGTTTTCTGAAACCTGTAAACCCTGTCTAGTTCTGCGCATGTGTTGTGACAAAAATTTTTGTAGTTCTATCACGAATACATTGAAGGTCGTGATTTCAGATAATCCTAATTGTATAGATCTTTTCAAAAGTTTTACTGTGAGCCTAAAAATGTTAATTGCCGAAGTTTCATTTGATCTCATGATGGCAGGAGTCACGAAATCGATTCCATGCTTTGCTACGGCTGAAACAGTCTTATTTTGGCATTATATTTGAACTTTATTCCTTACATGACCATGTTTCCTGAGCTGGGGCGAATTTAAGCGGTAAAGTTGAGGAGTGGGAGGGGAGTTGTCAGATAGATGTTTCGATTTGACTGCACACCGTTCAAGTGACTGGAATATGCTGGAAACGCCCGTTTTAGAAATTTATCTTTTGACGAGATGAAGAAGATAAAATGATAATTAAACCAAATTTTTGCAGTACTTTCTTAGTACTCGCCACTAAATAATGCTCTTTACTGAATCAAGGCAAATATAACTGAATGACAAAAATACATTGCTTTGGGGATCTCGCACCCCTTCCACCACTGGTAAATCCGTCGCTGTCCCTGAGGCGCCGAGGAATAAACTATTCCTTGAATATTTCGGTTCTTTGTCTTGAAGATTTTGGAGCAGATCAGAGTTCATTGTCTCTAAGTTAGCGGAGCATTCCCACATGGCGTTTAACATGAACGCTCAGTCTATATATTGACGGCTTGATTGAGATATATAGTTTGCCTTTCGAAGAAGTTTGGTAGAAGCGTCAATCTATAAAGAAAATCTTTTTAGGGGCTTGTTATAAACAAGAACAAGAGTGTAGCTAAAATTGATCAATTTTTTCAAAACTGGCTTGAAATTGAAAGGATAGTAAAATTAACGTGGCCAGTTAGAACACTGCGATAAATGTCTTGTCACAGTAGCTTTGATTTCTCAATAACAATGGTAAACAATTTCTACCAATGAGAAATATTTCTCATAACATGGGAATCGCACTTGACATCAGACAAGGTTTTGGTCGCTTATTCGCCGCCTCTACTGGGAAAGAAACACTAAATTTTCCATTCGTCTCTGGGAAAACAGCTTGCGGAGAGGCTAGATTATCCATCTTCTCAGTACACAAATACCTTGAGGAAACGATTGATCCATATAGAAAGAATTTCCTTTTTGCTCTGGCACAGTGTACAGTTAATTGTATTCTTTTAAAAACACGACGAGCACCGAACCCTAACAAACATTTTTATTCTTCAAAAGAGCCAATTATTCGAATGAGAAGAGGCTGTCATACTTCAAAAATTTACGGACATGTCATTCTTTTTTGCATCCAACTAAACTTTCGTGACTTCAAAGTAACCCTCTAAACAGTCCCTTTTGTTGTTCAGCGCCTTAGCTGAGCAAACAATGCAAGCGCCTGAGCAATCAAACTATTGTTTTGTCGATTGGCATAAAACTCTCATTCTTGGGATTTGCAAAATGAGGTAAATCGATTAAGACGTAAAAGCAATTTTTGCCACATTGTGTGGTTTTACTTGGTAGATGCTGTATATTATTCATCAATTATTTCTATCATAATAAATTTTGTAATTTAATAATGATGGTAAATAAGATTGAAATGAAGTGACAAAAAGTGAAAATGCTTTACAAGAAGACGAAACAAATCGAGGGGCATATCACTCGATTAATAACTCACTCGCGCTGAACAGAACCACTTTGATTTCTAGCAGAAATGATCCACCCGAAATATCATCTATTGTAAAGTTAACACAAGTGGATAGAATAAAAATCTTTTGTGTAACTCTTTACTCATTCTGTCACTGGTTCAGAAGAGTTTCCCAAGAGAAAACAACAGGTGATTTTTCATAATCTACTTTCAAAATTTTATAATTTTGACCAAACTTTCCAAAAAAGCATTGTGCAATACATACAAATTTGCAAAATTGGTTGAATGTTTTATAAATTGCCTCAGATATGGATACATTAGCACAGGTTCATATCCCGTCAAATCACAAATCGAGATAACTTACCATCATAATATTGAAACGTCTCTGATCTTCATCAAACGCTCATTATTGTATTCAAATGTCTTTACTCTTTATCAAAGGCTCATCATCCTATTCCAATTTCTTTAATCTTCTTCAAACGCACATTATTGTATTCAAACGTATTTGATCTTCTTCAAAGGCTCATCATCCTATTCAAATTTCTTTGATCTTCTTCAGAGGCTCATAATCCTATTCAAATTTCTTTGATCTTCTTCAAACGCTCATTATTGTATTCAAATGTCTTCGATCTTCTTCAAAGGCTCATCATCCTATTCAAATTTCTTTAAACTTCTTCAAAGGCTCATCATCCTATTCAAATTTCTTTAAACTTCTTCAAAGACTCATCATCCTATCCAAATTCCTTTGATCTTCTTCAGAGGCTCATCATCCTATTCAAATTTCTTTGATCTTCTTCAAACGCTCATTGTTGTATTCAAATGTCTTCGATCTTCTTCAAAGGCTCATCATCCTATTCAAATTTCTTTGATCTTCTTCAAAGGCTCATCATCGTATTCAAATGTCTTCGATCTTTTTCAAACGCTCATTATTGTATCAAACGTCTTCGATCTTCTTTAAACGCTCATTATTGTATCAAACGTCTTCGATCTTCTTTAAACGCTCATTATTGTATTCAAACGTCTTCGACCTTCGTCAAAGGCTCATCATCCTATTCAAATTTCTTTGATCTTCTTCAGAGGCTCATAATCCTATTCAAATTTCTTTGTTCTTCTTCAAACGCTCATTATTGTATTCAAATGTCTTCGATCTTCTTCAAAGGCTCATCATCCTATTCAAATTTCTTTAAACTTCTTCAAAGGCTCATCATCCTATTCAAATTTCTTTAAACTTTTTCAAAGACTCATCATCCTATCCAAATTCCTTTGATCTTCTTCAGAGGCTCATCATCCTATTCAAATTTCTTTGATCTTCTTCAAACGCTCATTGTTGTATTCAAATGTCTTCGATCTTCTTCAAAGGCTCATCATCCTATTCAAATTTCTTTGATCTTCTTCGAAGGCTCATCATCCTATTCAAATTTCTTTGATCTTCTTCAAAGGCTCATCATCGTATTCAAATTTCTTCGATCTTTTTCAAACGCTCATTATTGTATCAAACGTCTTCGATCTTCTTTAAACGCTCATTATTGTATTCAAACGTCTTCGACCTTCGTCAAAGGCTCATCATCCTATTCAAATTTCTTTGATCTTCTTCAAAGGCTCATCATCGTATTCAAATGTCTTCGATCTTTTTCAAACGCTCATTATTGTATCAAACGTCTTCGATCTTCTTTAAACGCTCATTATTGTATTCAAACGTCTTCGACCTTCGTCAAAGGCTCATCATCCTATTCAAATTTCTTTGATCTTCTTCAAAGGCTCATCATCCTATTCAAATTTCTTTGTTCTTCTTCAAAGGCTCATCATCGTATTCAAATGTCTTCGATCTTTTTCAAAGGCTCATCATCGTATTCAAATGTCTTCGATCTTTTTCAAACGCTCATTATTGTATCAAACGTCTTTGATCTTCTTTAAACGCTCATTATTGTATTCAAACGTCTTCGACCTTCGTCAAAGGCTCATCATCCTATTCAAATTTCTTTGATCTTCTTCAAAGGCTCATCATCCTATTCAAATTTCTTTGATCTTCTTCAAAGGCTCATCATCGTATTTAAATGTCTTAGATCTTCTTCAAACGCTCATCATCCTATTCAAATTTTATTGCGGTTGGTTTTTCCTTGTTCATCCAACACAGAAACCTTAGTTTACCTTCTGTTTAGGTCAATTTTCAGAATCAAGCATACTTTTCAATTTTTCTATGTGAGAAATAGTGAGGAATACAAGTTTAGTCGATTCAAGTAGACATTTTCCTCTCAATGTTATTCAAAAGTAAGTTCTGCACTTGAAGCATGCTAGAGTTACCCGGATTTCTTCTTCAAGATAAAGAAGACGGGTTGGGGTGAGCTAGGGCTAGCGGTATATGATACTTGGTATTAGTGTACCCTAGGTATCAGGGTATTAGTACCTCAGTCGAAATAAAGCCTTCAGTGAAGTTTTCAACCTAGTTCTATGTTTCCTTTTATCTAGCAACTTGGATTACACCAGAAAACAAAGTTTCAGTCGTATAAATTGTATAGTTACAAAGTTATGGTGCAAGACCCAAAATAGAACTGAGTACAAGTACAATAGTCTAAAAATTGCTTTTGTGGAATTCTTAAAGCTGTTTTTGCATTGTATTGTATTCAGAACGTCAAATAACGCCAGAAAAATTGTTTCAGTTTTATAGCTTGCAAAGTTAAAACGTTGTAGTGCTATACCTACAGTAAAAGAGGACTGGGTACCAGTAACCCAGTCTAAAAATAGCTTTTGTGGGCATTTTTGAAGTTTGATATGTATTTCATTTTACTCAGCATATCAGATTTTGTACCAAACTTCATGCCATTATTATAACATGCACAATTTTACTGCTCTGCGTCTGTACTATAATAAAACTTCAGAAAGAAAGTTGTTTGACAAAATGACAAGTTTTGTAATAGAGCTAAAATAATGTCAGCCTAAGTGTTCGTAGCTATTTCGTTTATTATGTAAATTGTTAGGAAATCCCCCTTGTGTCTCGAATGTTCTGTCTTCGCGACACAGCACCACGCAGCATTACACTGCATTCCATTCTATTTCTATTGTTGTAGGATTACCCCTCATTAGGGTTACATCATATTGCTTATTCGTCTGTTTCTAGAATTATCTCGTAGTCTATTATAAGTAACATTTTATGCTTAGCCATGCTTTTCTGTTGTTTTCTTGTACAGATAAATATACGTAGTAAGTGAGATTTAGAGAGATTCGAAGGGAGCTTCAGAAGGAATTAGACATGCAAGGCTAAAAACCAGGAGGTAGCTAACCGTTTTGCCCAAGAGGCTTGCGAAAGCTCTTGCGGCCTAGCCTGTGCCCCAGTCCACAAATGCTACCGCATCTATGATGCGGCCCTGTTTGGATTTAGGACAGGTAGTGCTTGAGAAAGACTGCGCGTGTCGTTCATGTTAGCTGTGTATATTAAAGTTTAGCCTTGGAATCGAAAAGTATTGCCGCTCGCAGAAATCGTCTTTTATCAAAGTTTCAGTCTCCTCGGAGTATATCTTGAGAAGTACTGAGGTCTAGACCCTAGTCAGGACTTTAATCACGTGACCCCCACGTTGTAAATAGGCCTAAGTAATGCTTTCACGCTTTCGTTTCGTTTCACTCAGCAGTAATTTCATACGACATAAATACGTTATCTTGGGATTATTTTGTATATAGTTTCATGATGTTTTGTATATAGTTGGAACATGTTTGTTTCTTTCTGTATTTCGCATATCTCTCCAATTTAAACATTCATTTTACAGTTTCAACAGGCATAAATTTTTTCTTATATAGGTCAGATCACATTGGACTTTCTATACAATTTGCTCAGTTTTGCAAGCTCTTTCTGATGGTATCGTCAGATTTGAAAAATATGAAATTCGACATTTTGCTGACCGTGCATTTTTCATGCTTCCGGAAACAACGCAGCTTCCGATCATTCTCCAGAATGTTCCCAAGGCTTAAAACGATCATTGGCTTTTACTCTTATGATTTAAACTTTAAAAACTTAGGTTAGGCGGGTTGCTAGATGGTTATGCAAAAATTCCCTGTCTATTATATTGCATTGGTATTTGATTCCCGAATAAGTAAATGAAAAGACTAGGTTTCTTCCATTCAGTGGTTTCTCCACAAGAATCTCCATTTCAAATTCATACTTAAAGGCAGTACGTCACGCCGGTCATTGGTTTATCGAAACAAAGAACAAAATTTCTATTTCAGTGAGTTTTCATTTCGTAGTAAAGGACGCTTAAAGGCAGTCTGTCCCCTTCGTGATGCTCAGGGTAATTACGCTATTGTGGTTCTTCATCCTGATTGTTTATTTGTGCATTGACTCAACGATGCATGAATATCGTGGCCATGAAAAGAGGTTCTGAGAACAATGGGGGACATACTGCCTTTAATGATGCTAACGATGAGTTGTACTAATTTGTCACGCTTCTCTAATTTCGAGGACCCTTGAAATTCAACAAAATGAGCAGCGCGACACACTGCTTTGAAAGTTCAACTAAAAAGGAAACGTTTATAAATTACAGGGCGAGAAAAAACTATTTTTTTAAGCGATAAAAAACGTTAATGGACAAAGTGTGTGTGTCTGTGTAGAAGGGGGGGGGGGGGGGTTTATTGCCTCCTTATCCCATTTGGCGACGTCTATGATGCCATTGCATGGAAACAAAACACTGTGCATGAACCAGCTTTAGGTTGTAATGTATGTCTGCTTTTCTTTTTGCTGATGTCAAAAGCTCTTATTCATTAATTGAATGGTCACGCTAATTGGGTTATCATTTCTACTACTGACAAGCTCCAGTGACACAAGAGAAAAGAGATTACATGAGGTACCACGGAAGCAAAGCAGGAGGCCAACTGCATCAGAATACTATTCGACGGTTTTCATGGTGAGTTCGACAGATGAAAATTTCTGCCAGTAAAGGTCTTACATTCATAGACGATTTGAAATACCTGACAATTAACGGCCAGGGAAATATACCGCAAAAGGCAAGCAATGATTAAGGCCTACCTTGAAAGTACCACAACAATAAATATGTATGTCTGATTTTTATATTCACCCTTTACATAGTTTATCATTCGAAGCTTGTTTTTTTTATATTTACATACAAAAATTATTTAAAACTTCCAAGGGCTTGTCAAGCTCTCCAGCCCTAAAGGATGTGGATACCAACAACAAAACAAAAGGCCAGCCCTTAAAAGTTTGCGGAAATTTCGGGAATGAAAGGTAACTATGTCTCTGTAAAAGAGCCGTTCAAAACCGTTCAAGTTAGGAAGTTTTTGAAGCTCTACACTTCTGGACTGGAAGGGGCTGAGGACTTTCAGAATCATTTTCGACCAGTACCCGAAGACCAGAAATAAAGGGCGTGGGAGACCCACCAGAGCGGTATATTTCCCTTTTAGCGTTTGTTTAATTGAGCTAACAAAACGACAGCCTTTGTTTAATTCAGCCGGAGGAACTGTCCAGAGACAATCAAGATTCATGAATTCAATTGCATTAAAACATAATTTTAACAAGAAGGAGGAGGGGTGCCTCAGGAGTTCTGCCACCAACTATTTTTGTATTTAAATCATTAAGATGTTGAAAGACTTTGACGATGGTAATATTAAGAATACAAAATATATTGCGCAAAATATTCCAGTTCTTGCGTAAGGTAGCGTGGTAGCTTCATGTAACAAAATAATTAGTGACTTGACGTAACACAACATAGCATTACACAAAAAACATAACAAACACACGAATAACAGAGAAAGCGCTGTCAAACGTCGAAAATTTACAGATATATATGTCATACTTTTGCAAATTATCTGCTAAAACCCTGTTGACTTTGAAAAACCCTCTAAACAGTCCCTTTTGTTGCAGTGGTGGCGCCAGGGAGGGCTAGGGAGGCTATAGCCCCTCTGTCGGAAGCATCTAGCCCCCCCATCGGAGGAAATTTTGGGTTATTGTCGGAGCAAATTTGACAAAGTAACGTACAAAAATTGCATATTTTAGTCATTTTATCCCCCTTGTCGGAAGCTCAAACCCCTCTGTCGGAAGATTTCTGGCGCCACCTCTGTGTTGTTGCTCAACGACTTCTAACTCTGTGCTTCTATCACCGTCTTAGCTGAGAAAACAATCCAAACGCCTGGGCAATCAAACCATTGTTTAGCACATTGGTTGAAAACATTTCGTGGCGGAAAAAACTGAGGAAAACATGGCGACTCCGAGTGAGGAAGCATCAACTCACTTGGATTTGGATGTTGGAATCATAGAAGAAGAGGAATATAGGCAAAGAGAGGTAAATCCATCAGGGTGTAAATTGAGCTTTGCCACATTGTGCCGTTGTCTCCGGTAGTTGCTTTTTAAAATTGATCATTTTTGTAAGATAAAGATGCAATAGGTGACAAAAGTAAAAATCTTCGATAAAGAGACAAATTAAACCAATGGGCTATAAACCCAATCAAGATCTCGTACACCCTCAACGATCAGAGCTTATCGTCTGTATCAAATAATGTGAAAGCTGCATTTTATTCCCGACCCATGTACCAAATATTCATGATCATAATTTTTTCATAATTTTTCCTTCACGAACTTATATTTACATTCATATTTCAAGACTTTAGAAGAGCTCATCATCCAGCCAGAGTATCTACTCGCAGAGGAATCCTGCCGTTATGACGCTTATCCAATGGTGAGCTATCATATTTCAATTGTTTTTGGTTGTTCGTAGGCCAAAATATGATCCATGCCCTGTATTCTGTTCTATGGTAATTTTGCCATTTAGGGTGATAGCTTGAAATAAATCCATCTCAATCTGCAGAAATAAATTCATCTCAATCAATCAATAAATTCATCATCTTGTAGTGAGGTTAGCTATTGATAACCTCTAGATCTTTCAAAGCATTGTATTTAAAAGCAAAATCAACTGGCAACAACCGATTTGTTAGCGCATTAAAACTTCTGCTTTATCAAGTTTTTTAGCAATAGGATGCTTTCAGTGGTAGCAAATTCTGCTGAAAGATGCCTTGAGAACACTTGAATGAGAGGCAATGCACCAAAAAGGTATCAGAGAGTAGATAAAATAAAAACATTTTCAAAAATAATACTTCCCAGGAGATAATGTCTAGCCTGCGTGCAGACTTTACTTTCCATTGCGAAGGAGTGCCAGGACGGATCAAATTTTGTTGTGTAAATTAGAAACTTTGAAGAAAACAAAAAAGAAATTTTGCAAAGAAAATTTTCAACTCGGAGTGTCAACACCGATTTTTATTACTCAATGGATAATTATTTTATATATTGATAATCTTGTACTTTAAGCTAGAAGTTTTAAATGTTGACAATTGCTATGAAAGGAGACACTCATAATATCTAAAATATCTCAGTAGTTTGTACTAATAAGTTCTACCAAAAAGTGAATTTTCAATGTGACTAATCAACGAGAGATATTCATTTTTTGAAATATCTAAAGCAATATTCATTTATTGTTGATTTTTTATGCTTCTACGTTATTCAAGGATGTAAGCTTTAAATGCAACTCCAATTAAGTTTTATTCATGTTCTGTTCGGAATTTCGGTAGATGATGAATCAAATAAAACAATCTGTGATGAGTCAAAAATAACAGATAACTGAAGATACAAATTTCTTGCAAATAAAAATTGTAACTTTTTCGAATCCTCTTCATATTTTTTATTCCTTTCATTAGGCGCCGCTAGAGCTTAAGCTTGAAGATAGATTAATAGTGAGTACAAGCATCAATCCAGCTGGAGCTTTGGAAATATTGCGAACAGACGGTAACTTGAAGTTGCCCACAATAATTTTATCTATTTTCACGGATGAAGAAGATGCATTTTTTGATGATGACGTCAAACATGCATTGGAAGAAGGTCTTGCTAAGGTAGGTACTAAGCAAAAGCAACACAAAAAACAAATTCTGAAAAATGGCTAGCTAAAAGCAAAGAATTCTTTTGCACGATGCCATTAATCCTTTTTGAAACAGAAACCCAGATTTGTTAACTATTTTTCCATCAGCCTCTTATATAATTTTCAAACATTAAAGATTTCATTCAAGCCCTCTGCATTTGAATTAGAGCATGCACCTAAAACAGTCAAGTGTAAAATTAATAAATTTACTCGACTAGCTTTTTGTTGAACTTGATTTGTGACCTATAACTACATTAGCAAATATACAGCAACTATTGCTATTATTTCGTCTCTGCACCCGATTATTCTTTTCTAGATTTTTCATGTTAAATCTGTTCGGAAAAATACACCCATTTTTCATTAGAAACTCACTTTAATAACGATTGCTTGGTGGGCAATCGGAAAAAAGTTGAGAAATGTAAATACTCGAAGCCAAAGTCTTTCAATACTCGAAACAAGTTAATCTTGAAAAAGGCAAGATCTTAGTATTATCATGTAAATATATCACTGTGATTGGTTAGTTGGCAAACAAATCCAGACTCAGAGATCTAAAATATACTTTCCCGTCTAATTACAGCATCAAAACGGAAACAAATCTCTTAACAGAAATTTTACGAGCATTTGAAAACAGTAGAAAACCCAAAAATGTATTTGCTTGCAGCTGCGAAAAAGCCCCTCCAAACAAGATTCTGTTGAAAAAATTCCTAGCATGAGCGTTAAGGACCCGAGTGTGAAAATTAATAACATCATAACTAAAAAAACTTTCAAGAAAATAGGTATTGAAGTTGTGAGTATTGAAATTCTCTAAAGCATTGAAAACTAAAGTACTCAACGTCGACCTTTGTTATTTTATAGAAACATTAGTGTATACGTACAATGGGGTAACTGAAATCTGAAAAGGAATTGTGTCTGTGGAGTCCATTACAGTAACTTCTCTTTTCACAACTCGAATTTGCTAATTCATAACAAATGTTTTTCTGCATGTATTTAACATGAAATTTAAGCATAGTCTATCATTTGATTAAAAACTCTCGATTCGTGGCAAGCCAGTCAACATCCGTGTTTCCTTTAAATGAATCTATATTTACTTCAGGTGTGGAGTTTTAACCAATTATTTAGTTTTTTCTTTGTTTTTAACAAGACCTAATGACTGTGGGGTAGACATGGACCTTCTCTCCATTGTAAGTGAATTACATTTATGTTTCTTGTGGCTCATTAAATTTTACGTTTATTGAAAACAGGGGCGTGGTGGCCCACCGGGACTCTGAAAAAATATCGCAGTAGGACCCTTTTATGTAGGCCCCTTTTTCATCGTTTTAAGCTGTTTTCAATTGTAACATCAAACTTTAGAGAAAAATCAAGTGAGTACTTCGAAATAAATTTGCACAAAAACGGTGTTTCTGAGGTGTTTATAAAGTGGTAAAAATTTTCTTTAAGATAATTATTCAAGTACTTGTATGTCAACAGATTAATTATGCAACCGATATGTGGCTGCTGATCAGTCCAAAAGAAACAGCAGTATCAGAACTTGCAGTACGAACATTTGTCAAAACTTGTGACAGAGACAATCTGAGCAGAAGTGCTTGCATTGGAATTTTTTCTTCTCCAGAAGAGAAAGGCAGTTTTTCTGACGATGTACGTATTAATAGCTATATATGTACTCCCTTATAAATCGAGAAGAACTTGTCTTTGTTGTGCAGAGCCAATTCCTTTTTCTTTGCCGAAAACTTTTTCATTAATGATATAGAATCTTTAATATTTTGATTTGGTATTTTTTAATGAGCTAATCAATGATGAAACCAAATTTAGTAATGAAGTTCAGATTGGTCCTTTTTAAAGTGTAAGAATTAATTGTGAAAAAATTGTTTTTTTGCTGTATTATTTGAACAACTTCGTTTAAAGCTAATTTTCGAACATTCTAGATAATGATATTCGAGAAAAAAAACAAATCTTTGGAAGACAGATATACGCACATTCTGCGTCTTGGGGCTGATTGCAAATTCCATCCGGCTTTGGAAGAGCTACTAGCTTCCTTGGAGATAGCCAAAGGTACCTCGTGTATTCATCATCAATTATATCTTATCGTTTCTCAGTTATTGCAAATGAACATTGCATAAAGATCGATGAATAAGGATTAGTTTTTTTCGACCGTTAACTACGGCGGTTTACAAAGGTACAGGTGAATAAAGGTAAGTGGATTTTCTTTAACATATTATTTGTTATGTTTGATAAAAAAATGTACATCATGCTAAAAGGTACACAAGTTTTCTGCTTGTAATTTTACATGAGAAGTTGAAGCGTTTCTCTTTGTGCGGATGATTTACATGGTTGTAAACATAGAGCAACCCAAAAACTCTTTTTTGCAAGCGGAATCTGAAAAATATATCACTTTCTCCTTCCCCAAAAGTGGCTTATTTTCATATTAGAAACTGAAAAATAATCGATACCATTATCAAAAAAGCTGTAGGAGTGAGTGGATAGTTAAATTTTAACTCTCCTACGGCTTTTATTTCTGAAAACAGTGCATTGAGCAGATGAGATACCCACCCCACAGTACAAAGAAAAGATTTTGAGACAAAAAACTTCACAAATGTCGAGTAGCATTTGAAGTATAGGTTAACATCTACATTCTAACTCCTCCATACCATTTACAAACATCCAAAATTTTAGAGCTAAGCTATTAAACCACCATCGTTTAAGAAATAGAATTATTAATGAAAAAGGACCCCAGGTTATCAGATCAAACATTCTCAGTTAGATATTAAGATTGCCTTTTCCGTTGAATGTAGACGGACGGCGCTCTTCAACACCTGTTGTCAGTATACTTGTTCACGGTGGAGTCGAGGCATGTAAAAAGCTGAAAGAGGACATGGAAGGCTACCCTAGTATCCCTGTTGTCATTGTTAAAGGCAGTGGTGGACTTGCTGATGTCATTGTAGATGCATTAGCAGCACACAACAAACTGAAAAAGAAAGGGTAATTTATGCTAATCTTCGTTAACAATGATGCACGCAATTTGTGCATGTTAGTGCATATTTGATTTACAATTGATGGAGTGATTACCAATTAACTTTCGGTGGGTGAATATCATATTCCTAAAGGTGGCACTGATCCAGTTATAAATTGCTACCAATTCTCGCATGGTAGCCTGTAATAGACGTGTGACTATCTAAGTCTCTTTTTGAAAAGTTTACAGTTCTTCTCTTATACACGCGGTTCTTCTCTTAACAAGTCATTTCAAGCATGTATTTCATATTACTTCTCACGTGGAGAGTAAGCTTTCAAAGAGTAATGCACTTGTCGAAAGTAAACTAACAAATTGTTCAAAGATGAAAACATATCAAGCTTGGGGGATAGCAAGTAAAGCAATAGAATTTGAGTTTCTCTCCGTAAAATTTAATGCTTAAGCTTTTTTGCACTGAACTAGATTCATTTATCAAATCAAGAAAACTCTTTACGAAATCTAACTTGAAGCTGTCTCAGTATTTGAACATGTAACAGATTGAGAGCAACAGAAAAGGAGAGGATAATCTCTCTTCTCTGAACATTATTTATTTCCTAAAAGTCTTGATGCAAGTTATTAATGAAAATTACCTTTAAATTTTCTGTTTCATTCTTAGACGCCTATTACATTCTCATATCAAAAATTTCTTGGAGCAAAGTTCTCTTGCTGGCAACTCTCTCGTAGTTGATCATGTTAGAAATCTTGTGGATACATACAGTAACTCTGTAAGTCATGACTTTTTGAAAAAGTAATCTGCAATAGTTTGTAGAAAAATCGACACTTCACATCTACTGTAAATCTTTGAATAAGCTCCTTAGTGACTTTTGATTGAAAGGCTTATTCTAGTAGGAATGAGTGAATTTTTAATCATGGTTATTTGGCAATGTTGAAAAAGGCACCTAGTTTCCAGTTGTAACTTTCATCAATTAAGCCAGATTTTCAGAAAATATTTTCTATGGAAAAACTTTTCTAATAGTCTGAGTTATTCATTTTTTCTGGACTTACATTACCTAACTGGAAAGAAGCCTCATTTGGATCACTAAAAAAACTTCCTTTTGGTTAAAATTAATATCTTCACCAGGTAAAAGATACTTGATTGTGCTCTCAAAGAGTCCATTTGTATAAGATTTCTACACAGGGTCTTACTTGCGAGGTTTTAATCAAGTGCTGGGGATACTTTGAAGATTTATAGTACGATAAGGCACGTATAGCTATGTGTCCTGGTCAGTTGCCTTAATGTAGTTAAGTAGCCTATTTTAATGGTATTGCCACTAAACCTATTCTGAAAGATTTTCGAGAGACTTGCGGTGTAAACTCTATGATTTTTTCTTAGATGATAGTTTACGATCACAAAAGAGATCCCTATGGGCTGCATCGTGCAGTGTTTGAGTGCTGTAAAGGTAAGCGTAAATTCATGTTTGAATAAGAGCTCAGAGTAAAATACCTTTTTTAAATAACAAGACAAGATTTGTTTGCTTTTGGTATCTGAAATACACACGAACGTAATTGTTCTTGGTATGGAAAATAAATTGATCAAATGTTTAATTCGCTGAATGCTTTACAGCTATAACATGATAATGCATGGAGAATATTTACCAGTCGTTTTCAAATTTCCTGAACCTTTTGAATGGCAAAAATCATTGTACTGTGTTTTGTTTTTTTTTACTTTTTATATATTTGTTGGTAAATGCTGTTGTAAATAAACTATGGACATTATTCACCTTAAGGATTTGTCATCTTTTTTCTCTTTTTTTTTTTTTCAGTTCTCTCTGGCCAAACTCCTTCGATCGTCAAAGCAATGAAATTGGCCATTTGCATCGGAGATATTACGAAGTTTAAAAATGACATTATCAGGAGTGACCCTTGGGTAAATGCTTATGACCCTTTGCAGTAAAAGTTTGAAAAAAATTTAGCTGCAAAAATTTTAAAATAATTGATTTTACCCAGGTTAGATTTCAAAATTGTTTTTTTCAATCTGCTATCATTTGCCAGAGTTTCAGTTTTTCCTTCTGGAATTTACCTATTTCAATCAGTTATTTTTGCACAATAAGAAAAACTTACGTTTCAATATATTCAAGCAAAAGCCGAATCACAGAAAGTGAAGAAAAAGTTAATGCAGCGAAGGTAAAAGTGTTTCAAAAACGGAAACAGATGCAAGAAGAATTAAAAATTGATAAGGAAAGGTTTAACCTTATAACGCCGATAAAAAGAAAAAGTTGTTGCATATTGTAATTTTTGTGCAATAGAAAAACAGTTATACAAAGCGAGTTGTAAAAACAAATTATTTTACAAAGCAAGACAGCTTAAGTTTGCAGAGAAAGGAACCAGAGATGTAGTCAAATAGAGAGTCTTTGGAAAAAAGAATCTATAGGTTGGAAGTTTATCATCCATTCCTTTAATGTTTTAATTTTTTCCCCTAGGAGCAAAATGAAACCCTAAATATAGGTGCATTCTTTTTCCATATACATTAAAGCTATTTTTTTTACTTGTTACTTTTTTTCGCTTTCTAGGTGCGGAGATCACTCTTTTACTTTGCAATCAAGAATGAAAAGGCAGATTTCGTTAGGTTCTTGCTGAGCAAAAATGAAAAATTAGAGGATTTTGTGGAATCAAAGTTTCATACATTGTGTCAAAAGGTAAACGTTAGCTTGTTAATTTTTGTTAAGTTGAGGCTAACAAAATAAAATAGTTTGATTTTCAACATTAAGATACCACCAATTATGTGACAAGTTTAAACAAAGTCATTAACATTTTGTACCCATCAATGTAAAAATGCTTGATTAGAACAAATATATCTATATAGAAGTAAGTAATAAAATGGAATAAACACTAATTTTTGGATTTTCTTTATTTGCAAGACATCATTTACTTCCTTGAGTCAATACTACAAACCTTTCTCTACATTTCATTTTTTACCACTGTAGTTGTCAATAAAACTAAAACTCAATGAATTATTTTTTTCTACTAGAAATTTGAAGATGAAACGTTTTTTCGAAAATTGATGAAAAAGGTATTGTTGAACTAAGATTGAGTTTTAAAAAACACAATTTTATTACAAAGGTGCTTTAAGACCAAAGCATCTTTATACAGTCATTAGACAGATTATTATGAAAATACAACTATTTGCTTTACTGGATATCTTAGTGAAATACTTATATCTTAGTGAATATCAAGGTTAGAAAATACTTTTTTTTATATTAACACAATCATCAGAAGTTCCATCAGGTACAGTTATTACAAAGAAGAATAGGACCGACAGTTACAGATTTTTGACAATGGACTTAAGCTAGCTACTTAGGTGTTCTGGAAAATGTTCAAAAAACGCATAGCCATATCCATTAGTATCTTCAGCATATATTTAACAGCAAACTTAGACTTTGTTTCATTCTTCACAGGAGCGAGACAAAGAAGATAAGAATAAAAATAAAAAGGAGAATGAGCAAGACAAAGAAAAAGAGTGTGCAGAGAAAAATGAAAATACCTCAAATGAAACGGTAAATTAATCCTTAAATGGTCAACCATTAGCAATGCAAAGGTTGTACGTTTCGTCGCTTCTAAAAATGTATTATACATTATGTTAATCCAAAAACGGAATTTTTCGAAGAAAAGTAATTGATGTTTTCCTAGCTGCTGCTTCATTTGACTGGTTAGTTGATTTAACATGAATCAATTAAAGGCAAAATCTTTCTGACTACTCAAGGAAAACAGGGAACCCATTTGCACTAACTGACTCGCAGGGGAGATCAGGTCTTTGCCTTTCTTCGAGTATATCAAACAATGATTAAATCGTAAGTATTGCTGGTTCAATAAATTATCTAATTAACTCTTTCAAAACTCTTTAGCCAAAGCTGTATCTGGAAGCTTGTGCAGAGCATGTTAAACAATCAGTTGTCTAAAACGCGAGTTTGAATTAAGTCAAAGAAAGAATTACTGTTATTAATTTTTATGATGGAAATCGCTCGAAGAACTGGCTAATGAATTCATACCAACACTGATTTTCAAAGTGTTCTAGTGAACTACTTTTCTTCGTAGTATCCTCTATCATCTTATTAATTTTTTATTTATAATCACTATCGTTGGATGATGTCGTTTTTCAAATATTTCTATTTTTCTTTTGAAGTTGGCAGATATAATTAAGCTGCAGGCGATTGGAGATGAAGATGCAAAAGAGGTGCAATATTACTATATCATCACATTATACTATCAAATGCTACGTAACAGTGTTTAATGTTATTTAATGATGTAAAATTACAAATTGTGCTAGATTCAGTTCTACTTCTCTGTTTGAATAATTTTTTTTACGATATATATCGAAAAAATCAAATCTTTTTCATTTAGTAATCTATGTCCTTTTTGAACTTTTAATATCATTATTATGTTTGTTGAAACGTTGAAACGAAACAGATCTTGTTTATCCATTTCTATACATACAATTTGTTAATTAATAGCTAGTTGAGCGACCAACCTCTCCATATTCAAAGAATGGAACAAAAAAGGTAACAAAACTTTTTATTCTGAATTCAATCCTCAATGGTAATTTTACTCTAATTGTGTTTCTATAAAGCAAAGATAACTACGAAATTTCCATGATCACTTTTGCACGTTTTGAACACCATATTTCAAGAATTTGATATATGATCGTATTTCATCGTATTTTTTAGAATCTATGTTGCTTTTAGTCCTAGCTTTGAGCCAGACATTTTTGATTTCCTTTTAATATTCTTGAAGCTTTTTTGCAAGTTGACTTTGTTTTTTTCAGTCTGAGGAGAAAACCGGATTCAAAATGGAGTATTTTGATACGTTGCTAGAAAATTTACTGGATAGAGATTTTGTTAGGTGCTTTGGAGAAGAAAGTTCGCACGTGAGACTTTACTTTTATACAAATGAAAAAACTTAATTATTCTCCTCTTGGAATTATATTATCTTTCAAAAGAAACTATGCAAATCATTTTTTTTGTCATTATTCATATACTTGCACTAAAAGCTATCAGATTATGCTATTGAGCATAGTTTATGGAAGGATACAATCGACTATTATTCAAGTGTAACTTAAAAATTTTCAACTATGAAGGCAACGTGCAGGCATTGTTATACATATGAATTTATTATAATTCTTTTTAAGCGTATTTCTTTTTCTTTGACAGCAGAGCTATCAAATAACCTAGATGCTTCTAAATTCAAAGAAACTTAATTAATATTAACATGGATATTGAAACGATAACCTATATGCAAAGTACCAACGATTTTGATGAATGTCTTTAATCTCTTTCTACTTTCAAATTTAACTTGATATTCCAGGGTGAATTGTTGACAGCGACGCAAAAGATGATATTCTGGTCAATATTCAACAACATGCCAAAACTTGTTAACTGCTTCTGGGAACACGAAAGCGACAAAGCAGTTGAAAATGCTGTTATCATATTCCGGGTAGCAAAATCTCTCAGTCATTACACTGTCTTGAGTGAAACTGCAAGGAAAGGTTTCGGGACCATTGCAGAGTAAGTGATGATACATCTGGCATCAGCGTAAAATCGAAGGCTTTTCTTTTCAAGAAAATGCAGGTTCCGGTGGAACCAGTGCAATCAAATTTTTATCAACGTTTGCCTTGTTTGATGATATTTGAAATATTTCAATTCTTGTGCTCTTGTGCACAAAATGTGCTCTTGCTATTCTTGTTGAAAATGATAAGTATCCTATCAGGACCTAACAAAGCTCAAAAGACATATATAACCATCGTATCGTAGAGCAAACCTTTGGCTTTTGAATAAGGTTTTATTTTCAAATTATAAAAATCAACTTTATCTCCGATTTTCTAGGGAATATGAAAAGCGAGCGGTCGATGTTTTGACATGCTATTACCAGACCGACACTGAAGCTGCCATTGACATCGTTAAAAGACGCATGCCTTTATGGGGTAATAAGAGCATCCTAACCATTGCTGCTAACAGTGGTTCTCGAGAAATTGTGTCACACCCGTCTTGTCAGGAATTTCTTACCAATGTATGGAATGGAAAGGTAAGTCCAAATCACATCTGCATCGAATAGAGAAAAAACTGTATTGGATATACACTGTACTGCTTGTTGGTGAATACACTATTCGACCATGGTGAATTGCAAGTTTTTTTCGAAGATTCATTCAAATTGTATTGATGTAAATTTCATCAATCGTTGCCATGTCCAATTATTCAAGGTTGCCATGTCGAGTGTTTTTATATGTTTTCTGCTAGGATTTTAAATTCTTGTATTAATATTATATGATATCGATTGAAGTCTTAATCCTACAATAGATATATGAAAAAAAGATTAAGAAAGACGACAAAAAGGAAAAGAATGACCAAGAAGGAAAGGAAGAAGAAGAAGAAGAAGAAGAAGAAGAAGAAGAAGAAGAAGAAGAAGATAAAAAACAGAGATGGTTTAATTTATTAGGATTCCTGTTTCGTGTGCCTAAGGGGAAGCTTTACCTGTATGAGGTATTTAGGCCTGTGTGATAAAATTTATTGGCTATTGAAAATTTTCTAATAAATGTCCTGTTAATTTATTATAATTTAGGATATTTTTGTTGCTAACTTTATTATAAGAGTAATGATTGTTTTCGAACGTTTCCTTTTTAAATCCTTTAGAGTATACTGCAATGGATTTTTTTATGTAATTTTGTTAACAGCCTCATTGGTATGCAGCACGGGTTGTAAATCAGACACTACGCTATATAGCAAACAAACACTTTTGTCACATATGTCACATTGAAACAAAATTCTTAACATTAAGTGAATAATTGTCGTGGATTTAAACGATTTTGTTTTATATTTCTGTTACAGTTCATGTTCACAATATTCTTGGGATGTTTTTCCTTTATCGTCCTCGTGAAGAAAGGCAAATACCATGATCCGTTGAGGTACACTGTATTTACAATTGTTACAGCCTTGGCTATCGATGAAATCCGGGAGGTAAGATTGCTGCTCAAACAGTTAATTTTCAATATTTTCTCTGCTGACTAGTTTTACTCATATTGGTCTGGTACTATCGTATTATTCTTACTTTCTTACTTTTTTTGGTTTTGCTCAGGTTGTATTGACTCGTAGCATATAAATTCTCACACAAAATATCTGAATATTCAGGAACAAAAATATTCTTAAGCTTATATTGATAGGAATGCACCCAAAAACTGGGATGATGCTCTACTTTTGAATTTTTTATCCTTTAGCCACATTTGAAGACATTCAGCCATCTTCTAGACAATTGAATGTAGTTCATTGATCTAAATCTTATATTTTCATGTACGAAGAATGAGTTCATATAGGAGTGGGAGGACCCTGTAAGTAAGTAAGTAAGTAAGTAAGTAAGTAAGTAAGTAAGTAAGTAAGTAAGTAAGTAAGTAAGTAAGTAAGTAAGTAAGTAAGTTAGTAAGTAAGTAAGTAAGTAAGTAAGTAAGTAAGTAAGTAAGTAAGTAAGTAAGTAAGAAAGTAAGTAAGTAAGTAAGTAAGTAAGTAAGTAAGTAAGTAAGTAAGTAAGTAAGTAAGTAAGTAAGTAAGTAACTAACTAACGAAGTGACACCGTTTCCGTAACAGAATGCTACGCAAAGAATTCCCATTTTCCTCTAATTAGTGTCCCGCTTGCGGCTACGAAATGATGTTGAATCATCGTCATCAGCAAGTCAATTTTGCAAATTTTTATTTTGGCCGTGCCAAAAGAGAAGTTGACACAGTTTCAAAGGAAGCTGCAGCACATAATCCAGCAATTGTGCACCCGTACAATGGTAGAAATGGCTACTGCTGACAATCTCCATGAAACTTTTCTCACATCATTGGTTGAATTGCAATTATCTGTTTTGTCAATGGAACTGTGCTTGGATGGACGTATGTCATAAAGTAACTTCCAGAATATGTGACGCAGTTAGAATGTTCACCTTCAGAATCTTACTACAGTGATCATAAGCCACTTTTTCTAACTATAAAACTTCAAATGAAACAATAAAATCTTCAAGTTTGCGATATCTCTACATAATCGTGAACTATTGTGAATGGATGCAAATGGTTGTGAACCAGCATTAATCACCACGAAGCAGTGTTAATAATCGTGAATCATTGTAAGTGATCGAGAATCATCATGAATCATGACAAATCTGCGAAAGTCATCGTGAATCATCTCCAATGATCATCCTTGTTCTGATAAACCATCGGGCATATCGATTTCGATTTTCGCACTGGCATAAAAGCCACCGTTACAAAAAAATGCTGCTTGAGAAAGTTGCTTGGTCAAAAAACCCCAAAAAGATAAAAAATACGAAAAAAGGATTTTCCAAGAGTCTGAAGTGCGTGGACGAGGAATATTTTTATTGAGTTTTTTTGAGCTGGTGACGCCACTGGCCATGTGACCCCTTGGCTCCGAGCCTGATGCGCATTGAGTGGTTCTCTTGATGGGTGTGATGATGATAAGATGATGTGCATTAAATATGGCCCATGTAAAGATTTACTCGTGCGGTCAAGAGGATACTGATGTTGATTCTTTCGAAGAAATCCCAGAGCATTGTAGCATTTTTATGATACCTTTTTTTTTGAATAATTATGTAGCCCTCTCGAATAAGCCCGCTCTAGGACTAAAAAATAAATAGAGCTTTTACAGTAAATTGAAACGAATCAGCCCGAGAGATGCTACACCACCGTCAATGACAATGCCAACGAGAATTACTTCTCGCTGAGACGCAATATTCTGATATTTTTTCTTTATAAACATCTTTATAGAAAAGCCTAATCCTTCTTGCTACCGCTCTTTACTGAGCTCATATTACATACCAGACATCCTCATTGTACATAGCCATTGAGCCCCTATCTTTCCTCTTACGATTATGAATTTTGCGTTACCTTTTGCAGTGATGAAAACGAAAAAACAGTCGTATATGTTGTTTACATCTGGAGTTGTTTTATTTATATTTATCTTCATTCACGACATTTATAATTCTGTTACAGTTGTACATGATAATTTCTAAAAGATAAATTTAAAGTTGAGAATATCCACAATAAAATAACCAAATATTTATAAATTTGAATAAGATATACAAGAAAATATAGCAGAAAAATGGCATGCATAACTACAGTTTTTTCAGCCTATTTTTTATAAACAAACAGGGCGCAAGCACGTAAATGTTGATATGGAGACAATGTTCCTTTTCAGGTTTTTGAGATAAAAAAGGATACATTGTGGTTAAAGGTAAAAGAATGGTGGAAGAGTATTTGGAACAGGCTGGATGTGATTGCCCTTATTCTTTTTTACATTGCTTTTGCATTTGGGTTCTTTGATCACAGAACAGCAGAAAGATCCATGATGGCTGTCGATCTTGTGCTATGGGTTATCAAATTTGCACAATTTTACAGAATGTTCTACTCTCTTGGACCATATCTTATCATGATTTATAAAATGGTAAGGTGATTTCAAACTTATATTTATAAAAATTTAACAAAGAAATACAACTAATAAGTTATGATTTAAGTCCATTACAAGGTTTATGGTACGAATGCATAGTAAGTAGATATTCCCGAGCCAAAAATATAATGAATTAATTAATGTCATATCGAAAGAAACAAATACATTATCTTGATTAAAGGGCCACTCCAGCCCAAAAATTTTTTCTGAGATTTTTGCATAAATTGGTAGTTAGTCGAGAAAAAGAAGCTATCGTCAAATTTTTTTTCGAAAAGCTTAACTCGTTTTTCAGATATAGACGCTCAAAGTTGAGAATCACCGTAAAAATACGACAAAATTTTTTTCGGAAAAAGTACCTTGTGACGTATGAAGGGACCATTGTTTCAACATTCGGCGCTATTGTTATACGTTCGCACTGAAATTCGCACGACTCGGTAGAGGCTCGGAAGAGGCGATTCATGTCGGAATCTCGGTTGTCGTTTTATTTATTTTCCTTCATTGCGATTGATGTTCAGCAGAGGCTTCCAGCCAACATGGACTAGTAATTCGACAAATCAAAGATGGAAGCTTCAACCTGAACGCATACCCTCATCTTGGCAACGCAGCAAGCTTTTTAATATGAAATGCTTCACGAATTTTCAGATGTGAATGGATTTCTGACCGAAGGCATTTCTTATCGTCGTGTCATCTCAGGAATTTCCAGGGAGCTGAATAATAATTGATGTCTCACCGCATTAGAAGAAGAACCCCATTCACAAAATGGAAACTTTCCCGTAAGTCACAATTCATCCTTATTATCATTTTACTATGTTGAATGTTAGGCGAAACTGCAGGGTGTAGAGGTTTGGAGGGGGTTTGGGGATGGTGTGACACGCACCCCCTAAGCAACGCAATTTGCCGGGCTTTGAGAAAAACTTCGTAGGTACTCTAAATACAAGTTTTCTAACAGTTTTGTGAACTGTCCCCCAAATAGTCAGAAATGTGGTAATATGAAAAGTACAACAGGGGCTCTCAAGCAAAATGTCACATAAAATAGTACCAAAAGTAGAAGTTTGCTACTTTTTTGTACCAATAAGGGGGCCTGAGCCTCCTAGCACTACATCCCTGCCAATGATCTGTGCACTACACCTTTGCCCGAGGTATAGATGTGTAAAATTTCTCAGGGTTTGTCTGATGTTTCCCTGAACCCTTTTTCTTCATGTTCTACCATGTTCTGCCTTCAATTTTGGAGTTCTGCCTATTTCATCATAGAATTGATGCACAATTTCAAAATTTTGCCAGATCAATATTCAGGGCAAAAGATCTACTACCCCAAAGAAAAAACATGGAATTTACACCCTTGGTTTTGGAAAAAAGATGTGTCATATCCTCATTCTAATGTTTTAAAGGCAGAATTGTTTATATTTGTTAAAATTACCTTTGCTATTCTAGCATTGATTCATATAAGTATGGCCTATATCATTTAAATTCATCTTTGTGTTACTTCAAGTTAATATCCTTAGATGCTATTTGCTATAGTAACAGTGGTTGCCCTTTCACCCCTAAATTTCTCTTTGATCCTTTTAAATATCTATACTCTGAATGCCCCTGAGTGTCCAAGTTTCTTTGATCATTTTATGTTTTAATATGACTCAAAAGTAAATTTCACTGGTATGTTAGTATTTATCCCTGTCAACCTTATTATTCTAGGCTTAAAAAAGGTAACAAACTCTTTTATGGATCAGCAGAAAGGATCTTGCAAAAAAATGCTAGATGAAGGTTGGAGATTACATGCATTCTGTTATCTGGCTACTGGCTTTGTGGGAGTGATAACTTGCCCCTATCTTCCATGCAAGAGTTACCACAAAGACCTCAACACATTATTCTGTTTTTGTATTAACATTTTTACAAAGGAGACTATTTTTAAAATTATCAAAATTTTATATATAATTTGGTCATATCTATATAATGTTTGCAAATCCACTGCTATTATTCAAAACTAGTAACAACATATAGGTATTTTCTAGAAATTTTGCAATAGATTATTGTTTCATGATACTTTTATAAGAACATTTCTCATGTGCAATAGAAATTACAAATTTCTAGATAGTTCACTGGCCTGATTGTTTAGATATTTGAATATATAATTCAATGTAGCCAAGTATTTAAATACATCAAACATGTATTTATTATTCATAAATATAGCAAATTGAAATTATGACAGCTTAAAGGAGCTGACAAGGCCCCTGTAATAGCTTAAAGGTTAAATACAAAAATTATATTTACACAAGTATATTGAAAAAGTTGAATTATTAAAATATAATCTCAAATCCCTTTTTTGTTTGTATAAAAACAAATTTATAATTTTTGAAAAAGTTGTTTGACTCATGACTAATGGTAGGTTTTTAGTCTTGTCTTGAAAGTTTGTATACTTTCTTGTCCATGCCCTCGATTGTCCTGGTTTATTTCTAATAAGTCATAGTCATGTTGATATGAAGCTCTTCATCCTAATGAATATGTTGTATCAATTCATACAGCTTTCATTCCCGGTATACTGGTTTTGTTTTGGTCTTTCCTCTCGAATTAATTGCGCGATGGTTTTTTAGCTGTTGCACTAAAGGAAGAGCTGATGAAAAAGCGCGAATCTTCTTTTTAAAATCAGGGAACTGGCCTGCCAATATAAATTGCTTCAAAAGCAACATTCCACGAAAGTCTGTCAACATCCTCATGTCTCTTTCTCGCTGGCCTACTTTGACAATTTGACTTCTCTGTCAGAAAGATTCGTGCGATAAAAAACTTCTATATTCGATCAGAATATCAAGACTGATGAGCGATACTTCTCTCTTTATATCGATTCCAGATAAAAGTCTGGCCTACTAACAAACATGCCGCTGCTAGGCCCTGTCTGCCATTTCGCTAGGTTCTCGTTGACCCTTTGGACAGCCGATGATACTTGCCGCGAATTTACCGAGGCCGAAAATGCCTGTGACGTCAATCCGAAGATCTCCGATAACACGGTTGAAAAACAATTCAACTCAATGACCATTTTATAAACGCTAATAACTACAAAACGGTTAGAGATATGAAAAAAATAATAACAGATTCGTTTTCAGGAGGTCTGATTACATCGTGTTCTGAAATAAAAATTTTGGGCTGGAGTGGCCCTTTAACTTTATTTGCATTCAACATTAATTCATTATTTCACCTTTATGTAGTGTCACAAAGTGTTTGATGCAATATTGACAAACCTGTAAATGATTTTGGCTCGTAAATTCTTTAGTTACCATTGTTGATCTAACCTCTTTTCTATCAAGATATTCCATATGGCTGGATTCTTCTTGGTACTTGTCATTGCTGTCATTGCATATGGAATCTTTATGCACACACTCTTGTTCCCGGATGTAACAGTTTCCTGGAAAATTTTGTTCAAAGTCCTTTTCAGACCTTACTTACTTGCATTTGGAGAGCTTGGAGTGGAAAAACACGATCGTATGTTTAATGCTTACTCTGTTCAATGTTTAGAAGCAAGGTTTAAAAAAAGTAACCTAGAAGCAGTAGTAAAGCCTGGACTGCCTCAGTAATGAGCAAGCGCAATAAATTTCCTATTTTTTCATTTCTTTTATAATTTCTGTGACTGAGAAACGGCTTATTTGCATATTTGCACTCTTCTAAACACATTCAGACTACCTTACTTTCTTAATCAAACACATTTATTAAGAAATGTTTGTTAAAATCAAAAATACAGGTTCTAATTCATTGTATCCAACCAAAGATTTCAAAATGAAACAAATTTTAACGATACTTCTTTGCTATTTTAATTTGCTTTTGAAATTAATTTTTAGTCTCCAAGGGAACAACAATTTATGGGACGCCAAAAGTCAGCGAATCAACGGAAATAATCGTTGTCATTGGAATGTGCCTATATCTTTTGTTGGCAAATGTTCTCTTGATAAACATGCTGATCGCAGTCTTTAAGTAAGTGACCACATTTCAAAACTATCGACGCTTCACAGGCAAACGCGCATAATACAAAATGGTTCATCTTTGCGGATGATCAATTAGCTATTTTTAGATTTTTGCAATTTTTTGCTTTATTCAGAATTTGCTTTGGCAGGCTGCCTAGCTTTAAAATGTGCACATTATCGTAATTCTCCTGATTTTTTTTATAGTAACATATTGTTAAAAAAAACTAAGTGAAAATCGAATGCTTCATTTGCCTCCTTCTAAAGAGTTGATTATATTGATATGACATGGTAGTTTTAGGTACAAACGATTTTATAGCTTTTTGTATTTGTTCTTTCACTGAAAAAATACATTAATTACAAATTCAGGTTACATTGTAATATCTAATATCGATCGTGATATAATTGAAGGTTTTCTTTTCTGTCAGTAACATATACGAGGACATCAAAGAAAATTCGGACAAGATATGGCGATTCGATAAATACGACTTAATTATGGAGTTCGAGAGGAAGCCAACGGCACCAATTCCCTTCTCGATATTTCCAAACATCATACGGATTTGTTGGGCAATTCGGGCTCTAACAAAGTCAAACACGTCTAAAGGTACAGTAGCAAGTCTATTCTTTCTTATATTTTCAACAAGATATTTTGGAGTAATTTCCAGCTAGTATTTAACTAAAATTCAATTAGAAATAGGGTGGAAAATTAATCATGAGATTGAATGATGTTGGTTCATGGAGCAACTTGTAATATAATAATGTTCAAAGTAGCAATCATGTGACCCACAATGCCTTGGGATCGTATTGCCAACAATGCTAGTTAGCATTGATTTTACGTGGGTTGGAAGCAACAGCTAATCAACAGAATTTCTTTTCTTAGGAGGAGAACATGAATTAACTAAATGTCAAAAATGCTTGCGCTTTTGCATTTGTTGCAAGCCCATGTGTAAGTTGAGTTTCAATATTACTCATTATGATGTCTACCCCTATACATGTTCATTGAAACATTTTTGTTGGAAGCTATAGTGTTGAAAATAAAGCTTTTTGAATATGATTATTTTTTATGATAAGATTAGTTGTTTGAATTTATATATCTTTAAAAAAAGTAGTTAGTTACAAAAAATATATTGAAAGCTTTGACATTAAACTAAGTGAAAAATTGATCAAGTTGAATGAGCTACCCCCAAAGAATATTGGCATTGTGTTGAAGTGCTGATACCAAGCATTTCTAACTGATTTTATTAGTTTTTTTGTTTTATTTGTTTGCCTCCCTAACAAAACCCTAATGCGTTTCCTAGGCAAGAAAATGTTGCCAGGTCAATCAAAAGCAGAGGTGCCTTCAAGTAAGTTGCTAAAATATTTTCTTGCTGAGACTTATAACGACTAATTATGCAAGAATATTGCTTGTTCTAAAATTATTTCTAGAATCATGTTTTTGTTTTTATAGCATTTCTTTAATCTTGACTGCCTGAAAGACCACCAATTTTTCATGATAAACTTTGATTGTTGATGTAATTTTGTTTTGAAAATACCAATATTCTAAGATTATTTAGGGATGATGACATGCAATTGGCTAGAAAACAATTCTTTTCCGCACTCTTCAATTAGACAAGATGCTGACGGTCACCAAATTGTAAAATTACAAGAAACTGATAAAATGCATTTTTTATCCTGACACAATACTTTCAATCTGCATCTAGAAAAAATAGTTGATACTTTTATTATCAGACGTTTATACTTTGAGGATTGTCGGAAGAAAGCCAAATTTATTGTACAATGAAATCAATTTATTTTCAAGGCCTTTTGGTCATTCAGAATTTTTTTTCATTTAAGACACTGATGAAGATCTGACAGATTTTCAGTCGAAATGTATGTGGGATTACCTCAGAGAAAGTAGTCAAAAAGCATCGCTTAGTGAAGATGTAGGCTCCATTGTCAAAAGGTAGGAAAAATGTAGAAAGTAAACTTTAGATAAAGAAAGACTCAAATAAACGCACGCGAAACAGTTGGGAGTATTTTCTGTGAGAACATTCAAGGTTTAAGTAAGCCTGCGTGAGGGCTGTTTTCATATGGTCTGTGATGCAGGCTAGGTATAAATACCATTATGAAATGGCAGGATTAAAATAAATGGATTTACTTAGCTTATGGGGCGGAGCATGCTGACAAGGGCAGCGCAGGAAATATTCAAAACAGCTTTCTTATCTCAATTACACATAATGTTTTTTCCCTATTAGATTATGACTACATCAGCTGTAGAGCCAGTATTTTCTAAAATAGCCAAAATGTCGAAACTAGGCGTCTATTCTTTCTGCCAACATTGTACGTAATATTCTAAGAATGTTCCCTACAACTGCTAAAGATTCTAAAAACCCTGGTGTGTGAATAGAGATAGCTTGAGCGCTTCTTGTGCATATCAGTGGAAAGTTAGACTTGTTTGCACACTCTCATATATCTATGATTGCAAAATTCAAAGATTCAAGGCATTGATATTGGCGAATGTATTGTATTCTATTCCATTTCCTAAGACGGGAAGTTAGATTCATATATTCCACTAAGCTTCTTTTGAATGAATTTTCGATAGTTGTGTCTTTGTATCAGCACTCGCAAGTTATTCTGCTAGCGGAAAAAATTCAGTTCTAAGCAGTGATCGGTTTTTACTGTTTATTTGAGAATCATTTTGGAAATTTTTGATAACACTGTCTTCTCAATGACTATTCGGCAAACTACATAACATAACCAGACTTCTTTTGATGCTGTTCTTCTTTGTATTGGCTGTTTCTTCTTTTACCATTGGAAATTTTAAACTTTTTAGATCTGACCAGCTCACAAATGATATGGTCGAGTTCAATGAAAGACTGGACAATTGCTTCGAGATTTTGATGAGACTTGATCAAGGAAATGGTGGTGGTGAATATAACTGAATGGCCACGTACATTGTTTTCTTGAGTGAAGAAACTGTTTCCATTATATGTAGTTCTTTACTTTGTTGCTTATTCTTCATAAATTTTGCAATAATTTACTTAAGCAAAATTTTTTTTTCAATACTGCTGTGGCTTGAATTAAATTTGTAATCGTAACTTGAATAATTAAGTTTAATGTTTTATTTCATATTTGTACCTTGCTCATACAAAGGCAAGGTGATCTTGATAAAAAACTTTTGATTAAAGCTGCTTTTTAGTACACGTATTCGCTTTTTTTATGTTATGTTTTACGATTTTGATGCTTAGAATTTATTCTAATACCCATCGTGTGTTATTTCCTTGTCAATTGATATTGATTCCTTCGGATCAAATGTAAATGGCAGTAGAAGAAATTGAAATAAAGATGGAATTGAAGCATTCTTATATTTTTCGAAAGTCCACTAGAAGCTGTATTTTCTTAGTGAAATTCTGTATGTTGAATGGGGTTTGATGTGAAGACCTAATTGTTGCCTCAATTCGTATGATTTATATTTTGATAGAAAAACTTGCCTCAGAACTCGCCTCAAAAACATTAGATGCACAACAGAGATATCTAAAAATTTATCTGTGTCTTTGCAATCGTTAAAATGGTTGAAAAAAGCTGAAATTTTAACTCAATAAAAGGTTGTCACGGGAATGCGAGACTGCAAATCTAGTTCTCATGATGCAGTTGTGTGATATAATTAAGTTGTATGACATATAAACTCTTGTTTGAAAAAGTTTAAATGAATCACTGTTAAGTACCACGATAAAGTAACTTTTTTCAATATACCTTCACCTAAGTGTACTGGTGTATACGATGCATTCTTCATTTGTGCAGACAAATGGGTAGAATAATAGCCAAGATAATAGAAAAACTAATGCTGTTACGAAACATAACAATGTATAAAGATAACATGAAATTACACAACACAAATCAGCACGATATGTTTATTTGGAGTCTGTTTTGTGAATAACTCGCTCTTCAGGAGATAAACATTTCACTGTATTTCGCTGATTTGTGTTTTGGTCTAAGAAATGAAGTTTTTACGCAAAGACCTTGGTAAATTGGCTTATTGGTTTCGATATTCCCTCTTTCCCTGATTCCTCATTTTCCCATTTTCTGTTTTGGTAATAGCCCCTAATAGCCCTCAAGCTTTTCGGGCCCGGAAGCGGCCTTCTAAAGGTTTTCCCAACACAAGTTCGTTTTCATTAAGCTGAGAAACAAATATTCCCCATTGTGTATCACAAGACTCAGTCTTGGGACCTTATTTGATGAATGACACGGAGAGCTGCAACTACGTTGATGATACGACTATATTTGCATACATCTCTCATATAGACCACATTCAACAGAAAAGTGAACATCAAATCAATCAAACCTACCAAAGAGCATGTAGAAATTACTTTCAAGGATACATCGCTCATATTTGACTCATATTGAATTGAGCCAAACAAGTTGAAATGAATCCTTAATATGTATAGGTGATTTTTGCTTTTACCTATTTGCTTTAAAAACGTTATTCCAATTTTCATAAGCTCTTTATAGAGAATGATATCAAGCAGTCCGCTTTTCTGATCCAAGTATTCAAAATTCTGTAAAATATTTTCCGTTTCAATACTTATAAAAATCCAAGCTTCTGTTTCTTGTGAACAACGTTTTTCCGCGAAAAAAAAACAATAATGAAAAGACGTATATTTTGTGCCTTTTACTTGCTCTTTTTTAGTTTAACAGACGGTGTTCACTTTTTGTGAATTCAAATAAATTTTAAGAACTTAATTTTAAAACATTGAATATAATGGTGATTGACAAAATGTGAACGATTAAACGATATAGTGATAAATAACATGAACCTAACTGCTGGAATATCCTCTAAAAACTTCACAGAGTATCCAAACATTAATCGAATGAACATCGTTAAAAAGTTGACGAAGCTTGTGCTTGAAAATGGTCAACCTGCAATTTTCTTCAGGGCTTTCGTAATGAAAGCAAAAGACTTCTCTGTTCTTTCGTCAAGCTCTGCGAGAGTTTTTGAAAGATTATCCATCCTGAAATAAATTGAGCAGCAAGCATGAAACTAAGTTAGAAATCAATAAATAAGTCTGTGGATGACAAAACAGAAAAGTTTAAATCATCGTTTTCGTTCTAACATTGGCCAAAGCATTAGTGTTTGCTGATGACTGAATGCCTCAAAGGTGCAATACGTCAATTGAATGGGACATATTTGTTTTGGTTTGACCAATGAGTAGCCCTGAGTGGCTGAACAAAGCTTTTACATTGCAACAAAAGCCGGTTTATTGTTAAGTAATATTTCAAAAATAAGATATTTTTAATAACAAGTATTTCATAAAAAGGTAATCGGAACGAGCTTACATTATTCCAGCAAAGCATTATTAAATTACCATGTTTGCTATTCAACCAAAAAGCATTTCTTAATAATTAATTTTCATTTTTCCTTACCATCAAATTTGTCAAAATCCGTTTGAAAATATCAATGCTAATTTCTATTGAACAATATTTGAACAATTTCTATTGAATCGATACTGGACAGTAATATCATAAAGAGAACCATGGAAATAATTCTATTTAAAAATCATAAAAATAGTTATATCTTTAACAGTAGGGCATTGAAATAACACTTGCTGATGCGGCCTTTTCCCTTGGGGGCTCTCTAATATTTTGCCTTAGAACAGACAACGAGAAAGAAACAATGTCTCAAAATTGCCAAAAGATAGCTAATCTTTAACAACATTAACAAAAAGTGTAGAAATCTGTCAAAAGGGACTCAACAAATTGATAAGAAAACGAAAATTTGATATAAGTACCTTTCAACTAACAAAGTTATATTCTCCTCAAAATCTGAAACCTTTCCCTGCTCTCTAAGAAAACCCCTAGAGCAACGATTTTGAAAGTCTTTCATATCCAAAATTTGATCTAAATAAATTAAAAATGAATAAATAATTAGTGTAATGAAATGGAGAACAATCTGTATCTCACCCAAAATGAAAAATGAGCCATGCAAAAATTAAACAACATTAATTTGAAAAACATGTTAAAGAAAAAGATGATGGGTCTAATAAAACTCTAAAAATAATTCTTTACTTCGCAACTGTGAAGACACATAAGAAGAGTATAATAGACAAGAAAACCTTTCTGTTTGTAAAAGTTATAACTACATAAAATGTAATAGGAGTAGATATATATTTGCTAATAAAGTAATGTTCTGAAAACCTTTGCCTTCCTGTACGTAAGATCTGTTAGCCTCATTTTTGCACAAATGAAAGAGAATCCTTGGAATGTTTGTAAATATCGATAATGGCATGGGTAGTGCTGGCTTGTTCTTGAACTCCATAATCATGTCGTATTTGTCATACTTCCATATTTTGTCAGAGTTCTCTTTAATATCTTCATAGATATTGCTGTAATAAACAAATACAAAAAACTTTCATGCACAGCAGAATAGAGATAGCCTTTAATAGTAAAAAGGGTTGAGAGAATACAAATAAGAAATAACTTTCAACAATGAACGAGGCTCAAAGAATACCAACATAAAGACAATATTATATTTAAAAATGACCTGTAACATAGCTATTATATGCAATCTCCACTAAACAATCAGATTAAACAATGCAAGTTTAAAAACATTTCTTACTTGAAAACAGCTATAAGCATGTTTAATAATAGCACATTGGCCATTAGCAAGTAAACACACATTCCAATAACAACGATGATTTCAGTTGATTTGCTGATCTTCTTTGTCCCATACACTGTTGAATTGTTTGATACTTATGGGTACAAAGAAAGCAATTAAAATTAGAAATTAACACAATATAAATATTCGCTAAACAAAAATTGCTCGAATGAAGGTATCGATAAATAACTAAGATACATAAGATGAAAAAATACACATTGAAAGATGATTGAATCATTGATTGAGCTATAGTAACATAGGCAATAAAACATATTAAAAGTTGCTTCCCTAGGTATCACATAAAGATCAATGTTACCCACGTGAATAACTATTGATCCCGAGTTCTCCAAACACCAGTAGATATGGCCGAAACAAGAGCTGAAATAGGATCTCCCAGGAAATGTCAACCTCAGGAAACAGTAGTGTGTGCATGAAGATCCCGTATGCAATGACAGCAATCACGAGCACCAGTACAAAGCCAATCATGTGAAACATCTATAATCATAAGAGAGCGATGATCGTATGTCTTGTGGAATTATAAAATACTTGTGAAAGAGCGATGATAGTAAGCTAAGATATCTGGTGCTGACACAGGTCACTTTTATTTCGTCTAATGCTTATATGAGTAGTTTGGATTCATTAAACAGCTGTATTAGTTTGAATTTACATCTGGCAGGGTCATACCATTTTGTAAATCATGATGAGATATGGTCCAAGAGTGTAGAACATCCGATAAAACTGAGCGAATTTGACGACCCAAAGAACGAGATCAATTGCCATGATGGTCATTTCTGTAGTTTTGAAATCATAAAAGCCGAACGCAAATCCCACGTAGAACAGTGTTATTGCCAAAGCATCGAGTTTATTCCAAACGCTTTTAAACCAATCTCGTAATTTCAGCCAAACGTTTCTTTTCCTTATCTCCGCAATCTGAAAAGAGCAATCAGACGATTTAATTGAAGCCACAATGATTAACTTTTTGAAACATTCACCAGAACGGTCACAGGCTGGGATTGATGAAAAGCAAGGAGTCATTATACTGTCGCTTCAAACAAAATTTAACATAACAAGTTTGAATATATGCTGTGTTAAACAGACTTACCTCACGAATTTCGTCGATTGCTAATGACGTGACTATCGTGAAGACAATATACCGAAATGGGTTGTGATATTGGCCTTTCTTCACAAGAACATTGTAGGCAAACAGTACAAGGAAGAGTGTAAAAATGAACTAGAAGAAGAAGACGTCAAAAGAGGTAATCAAGAAGAAAATGTTATTAAGAATACGATATGGTATAAGATACACGAACAAGAGCCATAATATTTGACAAATAAGGAAGAATAAGTTTAAAAAATGAATAATAAAACAATACAGAACATTGGGCGTTTCAATAATTATCGCAACAAAATAATTGGACTAGCAAATTTCTATGACAACTTTCTTCTGCTAAGAAATATTTTGATTGGTATATTTTAGCGAAAATGCACTGTTAACCTGTGCGCAATACGAATCAGTTAGCCTGTACCAAGCACTACAAATGCAATCTTGTGAATTTATTTTCACATGAGAAATGATATGCGGAGCAGCGAGTTTCCATATTCCATTTCCTATACCCTATTACAGACATGTCTAGAGCCCATAGTGCGATAAACTGCAACATCATTCGAATTGTTAATAAACATCTCTTTTAAAAGGCACGTACCTCGTGAAGGAAAAGCTTGCCTTTGGGAACGAAGACAAAGAAACGAAAGAAATTAACTGTCTTTTGTCTCCAACGTTTGTGCCTTGGAATCTTCATAGCATCAGTTTCGTCTTTGTTATCTGCTGGGCGATACTTCTCCTCTCGAACTGCAGCCGCTCCAGCATGTGACTGGGCCCGTCTACGCCTGATTCGATTTTTCAGCTGAACCAATGTGGCTTCAACAGATTTTCTTTCAATCTGTATTGATTCAGATTATGTTGATAAGAAAAGCACTAGGCCAAAATGTTTTCAATTTAGACACAACATTAATAGGAGATGATGTCACATACGATTTACTTCTGTTTACATCGAAGAGCCTTGTCTTTTTAAACCCCAAGCAAAATCTCAGCTACCTAAGGTTCTCATGGTGAAATCAAAGAGAATGGGCAACCGCCCAATGCAAAAGAAAACGATTACGTTATAACTTAAAAAATAATTGCCGTAGTAATGTTGGATTAGAGAAAATTTCGCTTTTAACAATTCCTATTTTTAATCATTTTAAATATTTCTCTGAAATCAGCCACAAAATAATTAACAAAAGACAACAGAGAAAGAAACAGTAGGTGCAGCATTTTGAATACTATTTGAAAAACAATCTGTTGAACGTGAGTAGCAGCCCAAGTTAATAAAAAAAGCAAATTTCTACGCTTAATCCAATCAGGTCCATGCCGAGTAAATACACAAACTAACCCTTCCATGCCAAACATCTTTTAAATAGCTTTGGCAGCACGAATGGGCAACAAAATCACGCGAATCACCATTTGCAGCAAGCGTGACCATATTATTAAAACCCCAAAGAGGAATGCGAGATTTCACAACATCTGAAGATGATTTGCTGTTTTGTTTGTAATAAAATGATAGCAAGTCAACTGCTTTCTTTTCGTAGGTCCTGTAAAGACAAAATTGTATTCAAAACTGTTATCATAACTCTATGCTAGGAAGCGATATCATAAATTCTCGCTTTAAGCTTAAATAATGTGAGCTCTCTAAAAAATGGAAGCAGAACTCAGACAAAAATACCACAAAGGCTATTCTAGACAAAGGGTTCTGAACTCAGGTTCAATTTTCATACGTTATTTTGCTTTAATTCATACATTAGTTTCTATATCAAGCTTTATTACAACAGCAAGCAAATGGCCTACTCACTCTGACATTTTTTTTAGCTCCTCGCAGTCAATCTCGTCCAAAGAATCTTCTGTTGCCAATCTCTTGTAAATGCGAAACAGCACAAGTGCATTTTCGAGTGCCTTATCGGTTTCGAACTTCCAGAAGCATTCAACCATCCCATGCATTTTGTTCAATGCTGCCCAAATCATTAACTGTTGAGAGGGTGACATTCCCACCTCGTCTCCGCTTTTAAGCATGAACTAAAAATTAAGAAACGACTACGGATAAATGAATTCAGCTGAGCGCTTTTAAACTATTTGCTTTTTTGAGCTATAAATAAGGTAATTATTGCAACATAAATAGTTTTTACGCTAAATTTAAATAATGCGTAAATATGTGAAAAAATTTCAACTAACTTTCTCGATATAGCAATAAGTATAATCCCCTTGCATCAGTTTGCTTATCAGTGGATCAAGAACGTTCATATCAAATTTTCTTGTCTCTTCCACCTAAAAAGTCAAATAATATAAAGTGACATTGTCATAGTATATTGTCAACTGGGTTGTAGTCTGGTCAAAACACATGAAACTCTAAAAGAAAGAACAAATTCTATTGTGATACCTGTCTTGGTTGACAGCTAGGGGTATGGCACTAATATCAACCGTGCTATAATAGAATGAGCTATAAAACTATCAAGTTTCCACAAAGAGGTAGAGGATGAGATTGTTACAGATTGCAGATGTTCATATAGAAATACTAAAGAAATATAAAATAGGACTAATAAATCCAGCCTTGCTAATTTATTTGTAGTTTAGTCCATAACTCATCAAGTTTGGATTTCTTTAAAATGCATAAACATATTGCTGTGTGCATAAAATATTGTTTAGTTCACATTAGAAGTAAATTCCCAGGAATTGAAGCACGCAATTTTTCTTTCCAAGATTCACCAGTAGTAGAGCAATTTTTTCTAAAATGAATTCATTTTGGCATTTGGTCCTTACTGTTTGATGTAATAAAAACCTAAATACCTGTTTGATTTCATTATTGCTCAGCAATGTTCTCAATAAGCCCTCGCGTAAACATTTCTAGAGTCAAAAAAGCCAAAATTTAACAAGAGGTAGATATATAAATGTATATATATAGATTAATACTTAAATTAGGTAAACCAAGGAAGAAATTGATAAACCTGAAATGAGTGAAAGATATTCTAGAGTTAAACATGGAATCGTACAACATACATAACAATTAGGTCTAAGCTGTACACTAAAGGAATTAACCGTTTAAAGACAGTCTAAACTGCGTTATGTGTTCGAAATTAACACGCAACTATTGAGTAAGAAATGCGAACAGGCTCTATGAAATATCTTTTATCAAAATTATCAAAATTTGAAGTATATATACCTTTTTGTACAGTTTCTGAAGATAGTTTTTTACATTGCTGAGGAATGTTTCAAGGCTCACTCCATAATTTAGCATAAATTCCACGAACTTTTCCTTCCCCGTCTTTATGGACTTGTAGAGCAATTTCTCCAAATAATCTGCCTAATGGTTAAAATTTTCCATCACTTATCAAAAATGAAGAATACAAGGAAATTATAGTAATGAAAGTAATTAAGCGTTGTGACATAATAATAAAGTGACATAATACTGATATAATTTGCAATCTGGCTGTTAACTAACGCAGAAAAATTTGGCATCTTGAAATTAAATCTGAAAATTGACTGGTTAATTTGCAAACAGTAAAAGAAATTTCCAATCAGTTAAAGTAAAAAACTTTCAATCTCATTATAACGCATCATCAAGAAGAGGAGCCACTGCATTTTCCTAATGTTTACACTGTTCTTGTTTAGGCTTGTCAAAGACATTTTACTTTTGTTGTGCACTGATTCCGGCCTACTCATTCTATGAAAAAAAACAGGTCTGAATACGCACGATACAACATGAAACAAACTCTAGACGTGTCTACCGTGACTTTGGCCTTGAGACATACATAATTTAACTTAACTTTTGAAATTAGCTATTGTAACTTAGGGTCTTGGTTGCCTTGAATTTGGCTTTTGAACTTGGCTATTGTGACCTTTGCCTTTTGACCTAGCTACCTCATCTTGTTGACTTGGCCAAAGCTTTAAAGGTAAAAGTTGTAACTGACTTACATCTTTTCCATTTGTTTGTATATTGAGTACTGCCGTCTCAATTTCTCCAAGATGAATGGCCAACTGAAGATTTTGGAATCCATTTTCTCTAGCCGGTGATGAGCCTAGAAAGATATTTATACAAAAATATTACCTGTTCCAAAACAAACCATTTTAAATTTAGTATTTAGTTTGGAAACGAATAACACGCTTACAAATAAATCTATTCTTCCTTTGGAACGATGAAAGAATGAAAAAATCAGAAAAGAGGAAACCTGATTTGAGAAAATAAGACAAAATAGCCAGAATATCTTCTAACAAAAGAATATGAAAGGAAATCTACGACAAGGGCAAACTCTGAAGACGACATAAAATCTAAGTTTTCAATCTATGGACAAAATAACCCTTGCATACATACCAGGTTTATTAGACATATATTTTTAAAAATGAAACAAAATTGAACCTACTTTGACAAGCTTCGACTATGGCGTGATGAAGCCCGTATGGATCTCCTTTTGGATCATATATGATAACCTAAAAGAAAATTAACATAAGGTGAACAGGACAGGAAGACCATTAAGACAGATCGTGTTCTGGAGAAAAATCATGCCCATCTTTCAAACCATGATCTATTCCCCCGTTTCGGGGTCATTGAATAAGCTGTGACACTCTTTGTGATTAAGATGGTATTGTTTCGAAACAAAGGACTAAAAGTTTCTTCCTACCAGGTTCCAGGTATTAAGTAAGAGAGAATTCCGTCAAGTTAAGGATAAAATAATTAAAGTCTGGTTGAGTTTAGTATTCTCAAAATAATATTAAGGTCTATTTCTCAAACAAAACTGAAAAATTAATTTAGTCAAGCACTACCTAAACTTTAAATGTTTGTGTAATGATTTGAAGTAAAAATCTTCCAAACCCATACTTGAGCGTTGTGCTCCTCGACAATTTCTTTTATCACTCCCCTGAGCGTTGGAAGGTTCTCAGAATTGACATGCGTAAACGATTTTGCAAATGATGCAGTAATGTGGTTTAAGAGCCTGAGGCTGATAAAAAAGGAAAAAATCAAATTGTATTTTAATCATCGAATGAATTTTAAACCTATCGCAACAAAGCTTTAATTCTATCAAATTAATTAAAATTATTACTTCGTTTAAAACATTACCCGGTTTTTCCTTCTTCTTTGTGAGCATCTAAGGCATCAACAAGAACATCTGCTAAGCCTCCACTATACTTTAAAATAACGGTCGGTATCACTGGGTGGCGGGCAAGATTCTCTTTCATCTGCATACAGGCATTGTATCCACCATGGACGAGTAAGTTTACACTTGGTATCGATTTTGAATCAGCTTAAAAGCAAACAAGCGAAATACATCAAACATGTTCAATACTAGTCTCCTTTTTTACATAATTATTTAGATACAGATATTTGGATGATGCTCTTTTATTCTTTATTCAAGCTTTGACACCCTATAAACAGTTAAATCTCTTTTGACATCTCCTGTTCAGGTCCATTTCAGTTCGCTGCTTAAATAGACTGCCAATCACGTATTTAATTCAATTCAGGTGCTTAATTCAATTCAGGGATCATAAATTCTTCTGTCATTGCATTTTTGCTGAAATTAAGTTCCAAGAAGGTCATAAGACAACAGCCACTGCTTCGCCAAAAAATACATTTCTCAATACAAAAGCTTGAACTATACAGACAAACCGAAAATAATAAACTTTTAGGAATTAGTAAGATTGTGATAACTTTTCTTTCTGCCTGCGTCAAAAAGCTTTTTTATTATAATTACAGTAGGACAAAAGAATGCCAAGAGGTGCTAGAGTCTATGGCATTCAAAATCATTCATACTTATTCCATGAGCTAGGGTTGCAGAAAATTGACTGCAGATTCGTCGAAGACAGAAACGTTTACAGGAAGAACCTCTTCCATGCAAAACAGTCAGGGGTTTGAAAAGCCGATAAAAAAAAGGAAATTGACTGCCTGAGGCTTCAATCAAGTATCCATTCAGATAAATAGTCAATTAAGGAGTAAGATATGTTAGAAAATAAAAAACAGTTACACAGCTGAAGGTGCAATCATTTGTTATTCTTCGCTTCAGATGACGGTGATGGGTATATATGAGAAGAAACAATATAAAAATAACGCATAAACAAGTTTTTAGTGTTAAGGCTAACACAATTCATCTGGTGTTACCAGGGCTGTTGAGGTACTGTTCTAGTTTTGATCTTAGCTTCCTTTCTGTTCCAAACTGATTAACCGTTCCATTGTCAACCAGCAAGAACTGTGTATGATGCTTTTCCAGAACTGTTTTCTCCTCCAACATGTTACTCGAAGGAACATAAAGAACATCTTGCTAAAAACAAACATGCACATAATAAAACGTTTTGTCTTGGAGAAAGTACGAAAATTACTCAACTTTAGTTTGATACAAAAAGCATGGAAACAAAATATCATTTCAAAATAGATTTCTGTTTAGCAAGAATAACTTAAAGCACTTTTCGAACTTAGAATCAATACAAGGTTGCCAACATAAATAGGCAGCTAACAAAGCGAGGCAGCAACAAAGTGAGGCAGCTAACAAAACGAGGCAGCTAACAAAACGAGGCAGCTAACAAAGTGAGGCAGCTAACAAAGCAAATCTAAAATAACAGAGCAATAAATGTCACGTCCTACTGAATTGCCCGAAAACTTACAAGAGAACCGTCAGACGTCAGCTGCTCTCTTTCTGCAATGCATCCCCACGGAGCTATTCCTATGCAGGCATTTTTTGTCGATCTGTCTCTGCGATAGTTTTCTTGAAAAACTTTGCCTGCCAGCTTAGTAACATCTGTTTTGGTTGCAGAAGTAAATAACCAAATGTCTGTCATCGCAATTATCTGTTTGAAAATTTCGAAAATATTGAATAAATCTTAAACCTATTTAGGCCTGCTACAGGACCAAAATATAAAAACAAGCAAAAAGTTACTTCGCCTGCAGAACTAGATTCTTCCAAGGAGAGCGTTACCGCAGCTTTTCTGGCAATGAAACCGAATTAGATTCATGTGACACAGGAGCCTAAGAAAATTACAACACTTATAACGTAAATTGTCTAAAAGGCAAGCGTCTTCTAAAAATGCCCTGCTCAAATTAACGCCCTCCAAAAAATCTACAAAGTTGAAATAAAAACTAATGAAAACAAAATTCAATTTGATAGGGAGCTGACGACAGTGAATTTTCTTTTTAGCCCCCTCTCTAATTAGGCCCCCTCTCAATTCAGCCCCCACCCAAATTTTCACTGATGCTGAAATAAGTAAACTTGACAAAAAACAGAGATTTTTTTATTCATTGGTGGTTCAGTACTTCACATCAAATCAAAATTCCCACCATGTTTCTTCCAGTCACGACAGATCCGAAGACAAAGATTTAATGTGCATTAAGCACGGGCTATCAGAGGGCCTTTTACCAAAATTACCGGCCGTTGGTACTTCGAGGGATGAACCTTCTCGAATGCTAAAAATTAGAAGGCGACATGACCCAAGAAGATATTTTAGAGTTAATAATCGATGACGATGACAATATTATTGATATAGCAGGCTAATTTGATGTTTTTTATTTCGCAAATAACAAAAAATTAGTTTACCACTATAAATGTTTCTTTAAAACAAAATATTTATTAAGCCCCCTCTCTCAATTTAGCCCTCCTCTCTTATAAGCCTCCCTTTAAAGTGCTGAAAGCAATAAGCCCCCCCCCCCCCCGGGGCTAAAAAGAAAATTTACGGTAAAAAACAAGGTTAGAAAATTCGTGTCAAAAGAGGCGGTACTTTTGCTACCCTGGGTACTAGGCGTATGAGGTGACTTGCAATTTTTGCTCTGTCTTGCAAACTCTGTTTGAGATGGGGAAGCTACAAGATTTTAGGAAAGGCTTTTCTGGTCTTGTCGGAAATGGTCAGAAAGTGAAAAAATGCGATTTAGTTGTTTGTGTAATGAAGAACTTTCCATACCGGCGTTGCATATTGGATGAAAATACTTATATGTCAGGGCAATCGTTAACGATACTAGTATTCTCAGGAAAGTCATCTGGTCGTCACCTCCAGTCACTTCCTACTTCATGGTAACAATTGATGATTTATCAAAACGAAGGAATCATTGTGATCAGACTAAATGCTGGCAGTACCAGAAGGTCATAGGTCCAGCATAAGGGTATCGTTAAACAAACAATGTAATGAAGAAACCCTTCTTTTGGCACTAAGATATTCCCACTACTTGCCCTACGGTTACCAGCCAGAAATCACAGAATAATTTTAAAAATCAATTTTGATAACAACTATTGAATGCTCGATGTGTATTTTGCTGGTGTATCTTATAACTTACTTGCTGCAAAATCTTTTAAAACACCACCAATCATAATCAATGGTGCATCAGACCGTTTATAAGTTTTCGATATGGTTCGTGATCGCGTCGCATTGAGAAGAAACCTTTGATGGTTGCATAGCCGCTGTTTGGCAGGCATAAACTATGGCAAAAATCATCGGTCTAATATGGTGTAAGAACAAATCATTTTATTTTGTTACCTTATTACCACAAAAGATGAGTTAGAATCCTCTGGCTATTCTTGAAATTAGCTCCTGACAACTTGAGATGAAATGTTCTCAAAGAATTTTTCCGTGGTACAGAATTTAAAAATTGATTTGGAAAAGCAAATATTCAAAACATATTAAAGCTTTTGGTCTGACACTTTCAGATAACGACAGAGCATAGACCGATTGACATTACGCTAGGAAGTATATATACCCAGTTGTTGTGTTGTTGTTGTAGATGGAAATATTTTTAATACATCAATCTTATTCAGAAATTCATCACCTTTCCAAGACCATTTTCCAATGACTGCTTGATGTCTAAATCAATGATAGTATTTGCATTTCCCCCAATAATTGACAGAATCAAGTTAGGCTCCTTCAATGACCAGAAATTCTTCATCATATTCCATATAGCTTCAACATTTGTTGAATCGGACAATCGAACAAACTGCAAACAAATATAAACGATTCAGAAAAATATATCATCGTGATAAAAATCATCATATATGATCATTTCTTTGATTTTTTAATTGCGTCTTCTTGAAACAGTTTAAACACATAATATGTTTTTTAGCAAATTGAAAGAAAAGGTTAACAGCTTACTAATAACAACTCACTTAGAAGCAAAAGGAACAAAATATAGGTCATCTAAAAATAACTCAGAAAAAGTTCAAAAAAAATATTTAAAACTGACATAAAAAATGAGCTGCAAGGAGGTGCGAAATGTGAATATCGTTTGTTCAAGATTGAATCCTACCTCTGCTCCAAGCGAAGCATCTTGCTGCTCTTCACTAAAGCTGACCTGACCAAAAGCATTAGTTGGGCTTTCCTTCACATGTCTTACGGCTGACCATTCATTTCCAAAAGCGTCAATTATCAATCCACTGTGTTCCTTGCGTAGCCGTCCGCAACAACACCTGATAAAGATATAATCATACAACTAGGAAGCGTAAGGTGGGGGAGGGGGCATCATCAAGTACATAAACCCGAACAAACCAAACACAGGTATTTACGCTTTTGAGACTGGATGCCCCACAACGAACAATATCCCCAGAGAGTAGGTCTATTGCCCTATTGTTCCCACAATGTGGGACATGTTCTCACAAACAAACAAACAAGCATTTATATCTGGTTCATTATGTCTAATGGTTGAAAAAGGTGTGTTGTGGCTTCATGTAAGAGGTAAAGCAACTAGAATAAGGCTGGATAGGGTAAGCTACCGCCTACCATAGAGTAAATTGGTAATAGGGTAATAGTTGTACCCCTCGGTAAACTTGCAGAGGTTTTATATAACAGGAAAAAGATAATACCTTTGCTTCTGCGAATCGTCTATGGTAATAAAAAATGCACATTCCTTCATAGAGAATGTCCTTTGGTACCATTTCTCCAATTCTTCATTCTAAAGGAGGCGTTTCATATTTATGATTATAAGTGTTTTCTGACAAATGATAGGTATTGTAAGCAAGTATCTTGATACAGTTGAAAAGGCGTTGGAAGTGGCGTAATGAACAGAAACGCATTAGATCAATACTGATGGCATCATGGCGAAAAAGTGTACCCAGAAATATTCCTTTAGATTTCTTCTGGACAAAACAAAAAGGGAGCTAAATGAAATGCTTAATGGGGGAGTGATTTCTCAAGCCGAAGGTCATACTTCATGGTGTGCTCTTTTATGATAAAAGCTAGTTTATAGGAAACTAGTACTAGCATGGCTGAAATTTAAGAAACTTTAGTTACAGGTTCAAGAAAAATTAAGAAACTCTGAAACTTTCATTCTTTTAAAAAAGATAAGTATGATGAGTACAATGATGAGTACCAACTTCTATTTATTGACAGCTGCAAGGATCTCTTGATGATGTGGAGATTATTTTACCAAAGATCGTTTTAACGAAATTTTTAGACTATAAGTTCTCCTTTTGTTGATTTTTCTTCGAAAAATACAGCATTCTTTAGATTTTGATCTGCATAGGCTTTTTCGTGACGATCTGTTCTATTCATCAAAGATATTAATCAACGAAATTCTATTCATCAAAGAATTATCTCGAGAAAATAGAGGTGGTTGGGAGTAGAAAAATATTGGTATTCACCAGCTGAGTTTGAGACATTATAATTCAGGTCGTAAAATTATATAACAGGGTAAGGGTTTACATGTTCCGATTGAGGAAGTGGGCAAAAAGAAATTTTTAACCAAAACTATCTGAAGGCACTGCCCCAGAGTCCCCAGAGACGATGACGTCACTTTTCAAAATTTTCTTCTTGAATTTGAAATTTAGTCGTAATTTTCCAGTTACTTTTGGGTGGATGATGTTTCCTACAAAGAACACATGGATGATGGCTACGGCGAAATACGCGAGCAACTTCGTCTTTTGATATAGGGGTTATATTCCTAGTACTTGAGCCCCTAGGTATTGATACCCCTTTTATTGAAAATACCCCTACTTTAGTGGTGTAGTGCTATCAAAACAACAAAGGGGAGGGAGGCTTTTGCACAAAATGTTGCAAAAACAATAGCACAAGTAGACATTTGCCAATTTTTGGCATTAAAAAGGATGGCTCAGCCCTCCTGAGCCCCCTTAGCTCTACGCCCCTGCCTTACGCTGTAATAGTTAATGCTGTGCTAGCCTACTATGCAAAAACAACTACGCTAAGTTTGCATGGTTAATAAGAGTATGTCACGCTGAAAGGCGTTGCTTTGGTTTAAACTCTTTTTTAATAAGAACCAGTGAATTGAGGCTAACTGTTCTTAATTTTTTTCAAAAATCTGAGGCTGGATTGTTCTTAATTTTTTTTCAAATGAATAGTGTGTAAGCAGTGCAGTTGCTAGCTTTTTCGCTCTAGGGAGGTGTTCAGTTAGTGTTCTTATAAAATTATTTCATATAAAAAAGAGTGTCATTGTACAATCGCATATAACAGAAGTTTGATTGTTTGTCCATTTCTAAACATTTTTGGTTTTGAAATGCATCATCAAGCAACCCGAGTTCTCATTTTTCGCGCAGGGGCGAGAGAAAATCGAATTTATTTCGATATTCCTCCCTTACTATCATGTGCAGTGTTCTATGTTTAAAACTTTTTGGATTCCACAGACACATTGTTCATAGCATGTTATTACTTGGTGTTCTTATAAGATAACGGGTGCATCATCGAAAACACAACGGTCCAAGTTTCTGGATCCTGAGTCCTGAGTCCTGAGTCCTGAATCCTGGTTCCTGGTCCCGCCTTTAAGGTCCCGAGTCCTTGTTATAAACCATTCCCGGGTAACGTCCGCCATTAAGTCTGGGTAGCAAACTGACCTTTGGACTCTATGGCCGTCAACCGTAGCAATGGTGATTTCTGATACATCAAAGCCGTAATTTCACAATCGCGCTATTCTAACGTCATGTCATTCACTTATCGATACTTAATAACACTGTCTATTATCTTTTACATAATTATCCTTTGAATTTGGCCTATTATTTTCCATTGTCTAGCCCCGTTGTCTATTTCTTAATTATTAGTTATTGTGAAATGTTCGAAGAGCTCGCTCCTGTTGTTTTATAGAGAAAAACTTTGTCCGTTAGTTATAATATATTGCATCGTTTTAAGTTTTATCATACAGAAACAAGCTGTTTTATATTCCTAGTGTAGCTCTAATTTACAGTAGCATGGGAAGACACCGAGGGGTAATTCACTCTTGCTGGACCCCCCAAAAAATCGGAAGCAAAACGATTATTTTTGGGAAATTATCATCATTTTCCTTGAAAGAAAGAAATTACTGGTAGCTGGGCTAGAACCAAACTACGTTTTTCTGTGTTATTTCTGCAAAAATTCCTTTGAAAAAAGATCAAAATTTTTAAGCGACCCCACAAGCATTTTAGATTAACAGCTAATAATTTTGTAGCTTAGTAGCTTTTGCTGAAAATTTAGCTTTGTATTCGCCGTAGTTGTTTTGTTATTAATGCGTAGTTAAAAATGTAATTGTAAAATTGTAATTCGCTGTAGTACTGTAAGCAGTTAAGGGCCATCTCGGCCTAGATACTTGAATTGCAAAAAAAAAAATTGCAACAAACCTCAGCCACTAAGTCATGGTGTCAAGTGCAAGCTGACTTTTGCTGATGGACGTTATTTTTGAAAGCAGAGTGGTTTTTATCTTTTTTGCAAGATAAAAAGTTTTTGCTGTTTTTTATCGTTTTTTACCATTTTAGTTTTGAAAACTATTAAAACTATTATTTCGAAACCTATTAAAACTATTATTCTTGAAAACTTTATTTTACGTACTAGCAGGGGATTTAGCCCTTCCGCTTTTTTTGCAATAATAGGTTAGAGAACTTTTTGGAAAGTTTTCTCTTAACTATGCTCTACAGTAGAAGCCTGCATAAAAGAACCTATTTTTATAAGAACCTTGAGGCTTAAATTTAATCTTTTCAACCCCATTATTAAGAACCCCCAAAAGGCTGAAATTTGAAAAGGTTCTTATATATAAGATAAAGGGTTTTTACACCCTTTTCACACTGGCAAATTAAACCAGCTTAGAATAAATCAGGTTATGGTAGCTATGTTACATTCTTATTGGACAACCTAACAACACAAATTCATTTTATTGGTTGAAGTTTAACATGAAAAACAAAGCTGGTTTAAGTATGTCCATTACAATTCTTGCGGAGGAAAACATTGTTAATGTGTGCAAGGCCTGTACGTATATAAGAACCTTGTTAAGAACCTTTTAGACTGGAATTTAGAATAGCAGCCTGTTAATTAAGAACCTATTTAGGCTGCCAGAAAAAACCTAGGTTCTTTTACTGGACTGTACCGCAACATTGGATAGTATACTCCTAAATAGTAGCAGTTCTTCTTCACTGGGAACCTTTTTTGTTCATTTTCTAGGTGTTTTCTTGATGTTTAATTATCCCAAACTAATATTGTCTATTTTTTAGCTATTGAAATCTTCTCTGAACCAGACTGTTTATAAAACTTCAGTAGAAATAAGCAATTTTTTTCTAAAAGGGGCGTTTTCCGGCTTTCTAGTGCGTGTGACTTAAAAATCTTTTCGGTAACGCCCTTTTCAGCCCTCCCACATTTAATCTGGTGCGCGGTCTCTGAAGCTGCCCTACCTATCGTTGTTTGAAATGCCCTTTTCCTTGGTGAAGATCTTTGAACAACACTCTGGTTTTGTTGATTATCCTTTGCAGTTAGCCAAAGAGTAGGGTTTGGGTTTCTAGCCATAGGCTTTCCATCAGAAGACATGTCCACCCCAGCTTTTCCAGAAGTCAATTTTCTAATTTCTCAAAATCCGTTGAAAAATCTTTGGGGGGGGGGGGAGGAGGGAGTCTGACTGATCAGATCGATTTCAATTTTTGCACTGGCAAAAAAAGCCACCGTTACGAAAAATGCTGCTTGAAAATGTTACTTTTCCAAATATTTAAAAATAGGTGAAAAAATACAAAAAAGGACTTTCCAAGAGTCTGAAGGTCGTGGCCGGGAAAATTTGTTTTTGTCCACCCCAGTTTTTTCGAGCTGGCGACGCCACTGACAGCATTGAGCATGTCTTCCGAGGGGCAAATCACTCCAGGAAAATCTCGTACACTTTTTGGGAAGATCCTATTGTTTTATCTGAAAATCCCAGGAGATCCTTTTGTTTTAGAGAAAATCTCGTACGCTATTTGCAAGAGTGAATTACCCCTCGGCGTTTTCCCATGCTACTGTAAATTAGAGCTACACTAGGATTGTATAACAGCTTATATCTGTATGATAAAACTTAAAACCATGCAATATATTATAACTAACGAACAAAGTTTGTTTCTATAAAACAACAGGAGCGCACTCTTCGAACATTTCATAACAACTGATCATTAATGAATAGCTATCATATGGCTAGACAATGGAAAATAATAGGCCAAATTCAAAGGATAATTATGTAAAAGATAATAGACAGTATAATTAAGTATCGATCAGTGAATGGCGTGACTTTAGAATAGCATAATTGTGAAATTACGGCTTTGATGTATCAGAAATCACCATTGCTACGGTTGACGGCCATAGAGTCCAAAGGTCAGTTTGCTACCCAGATTAATGGCGGACGTTACCCGGGAATGGTTTATTCGGTATGCCCTTTGCAGATGGTTTCAAATACCGAGATACAAATATTTGTTTGAGAGGGGGGGGGGGCAAATTTTTCAAAAAATACTTAGTATTTTAAATGAGGCCCCTCTCTGTGAAAGGCCACGGGTAGGCAGTGAGCCAGTCCACCACAGTCAGCGATCATCGTGCAAAACTTTCACATCTTTTAGATGTTTAGGAAAGAAAACAAAGAACAAAGGCTTTTTCTTCAGTCTTATCAAAATATTTCTTTGAACAAAGGATGGGTGCCAACAAACAAAGGCAGCAATTTGTAATAAGGAGATAAAAGCAATGGGCCGAAGACAAACATTATTTTGGTCTTTGACTGAAGGAAGCTTCATTCCCCTGCAAGAACAACTGCTATACACATTTTTAAACAATAGTCGGTACAAATCGTTCCATGTTCGGTAATCACAGTCAGAAATACAATTTATCGATTTTATTTAAGCACCGGAGGAACTGTCTCAATGTCTGGTTTGTTTTCAAAACCGTGATAAATGCCAACAAACCAACCAACCAACCAACCAACTTTGATACTTGCCAGTTGCCATTAATAAATACTTACCGTTTGACTGATAGTATACTTTGGTCTTTGTATAGGCCGAACTTCGTGTTCAGTATATCAAACCTGATAGTTGCTTTGAATTATTGAGGCTTGACTGATGATGAACTTGAGTTTTTGACAAAATTTTTTGCAAAGGCAAAATTACGTGCTCACTTTAGACGTAGAGTTCAGTTTACGCATATGGCACCCTGAAGAGAAATGCTGTTATTGATTTATATCATAACAAGGCTGCATAACAAGGTTGGTGAATTAGATGATATGGTTAATGGATACCTCGAGCAGTCCACCGGTGTCCTTCCCCTTCAGCACATCTAGTAGCACACTTTCGTTTGATGCGACGCTTTCTGACTTCGCCATAGCGATGACATGCTTTAAAGACTATCCTGTGACTCAACCAACGCCATTTTACATTTGCTTTTGAAAATGACAATTGATTGAGCCGAGAATGTGTAGCCTGCGTGCAGACAGCAGATCTGTCAACCCTCCCGGTTGAGCCGGTAGACTCCCGGTTTTGACTGCTTTCTCCCGGTCTCCCGGTTTTGACTGCTTTCTCCCGGTCTCCCGGTTTTCAAAACTTTTCTCCCGGCTGCAAAGATGTCTAGCAGAATGTCTAGGAAAATTCTTCACCGAATGTTAGATTGCACTGCGCACCTTATGCTTCAAAGACAGGTTTATTGCGTATGTTTTCTTAATACAGAGGTATAATTAAGATATAATGGTCACATTGACTTTCCACATGACAACAGTTTTTTGTTAGTGCTTACTGATTAACAAAAAAGTACTAAAAGTTATTATGAAGATACTTCTCTTGATCACTTTTGTCATAAACTGTTTGCCGAGCACAACATTTTATCAGGTATATTTATTCCCATAAGGACTCAGTATAAGGAAATTCCGAAGCTGGCAAACGGAACCCAAAGTTTTAGAAAATCTATTTAATTTAGGGAGGTAATTCATATTTTGTCAGCTTACCGTATGCATTTAGAAGGTTTTAAGCCATAATTTTTGTTTGTACACGGGTTTTGAAATTTTTAGAATATTCTTTACCGTGGCATTGATAAGGGCACTCTGGTTTAAAAAAAATTTATAGTTCTAGGAAGATTGTTTTCGGGCTCATTTACAAAATTGTCGCACTTATGAGAACATCTTGTGTTAATTTTTTATCGTAACATTAGGGTACCGTGGTAAAAGAGGTCATCTTCAATTCTGATTCAGCCACGCCCCCTTCCTACAACATCCTGATGTCCGTTAATAAAAGTCTGATTTGCTGATGAATGTTAGAGGGAAGGTCTTGTTATAGAAAAAACTTGAAATGGATATTTATAATAAACATTTTCACTTCTTACATCTGAAATTTTTACTAGAAGTCATATGCAGGGGGTTGCCGAAGTAAGGAAGAAAGGGGAAATGGTGGAAAAGGAGGCTGCTTGGCAAAGTTCAGGAAGAGGCTATCAACATTCACCATTGAAATTTTGGAAAAGCCACTGAAACTTTAGAGTGATTGAAATTTTAGAAAATGTTGAGCGGGGGCTCAAACTTTAGAAATGGTTGTAATATTAGAACTAACCTAGCATGACTGAAATTTTAGAAATCTCGCAGAGCAAGCGATTGGAATTTTAGAAACGTTGCTCAAGTAATTGAAATTTTAGAAAATGATGAAATGACTGAAATTTTAAGACTAGACAGAGCAACTGAACTTTTAGAAGATCACTAAACTTTTAGAAAGTTGCTGAAATTTTAGAAAGAGCTATTTTTGGCGGTATATGCACGCCATATGTTAGGATTACATAATTTTTTCCATTCATAATCGAATTTTTAGTGAAAACTTATTCATGAAATTTTAAATTCAAGTTGCAAAAAGTGATTTCTCTTCTAGAAACACGTCCTTTTATATAACCACGATATATAGATAGGGAGTATAAATCGACTTGGTCACCCAAGAGAAAACATAGCCATGCCGCCCACACCGGAAATTGTGTGGGTATGGGGGAGGGGGGGCTCGGGCCCCCTCAATCAGCGATGTCGTTAAAAATTTCGGGCGTTCGTCAGATATTTGACAACCGTTTACGTGTCGAAATTAATTTTAGAAAACGTCCTGAAAAGTATTTTAAGCTAAACTAGGAGCCATTATTGTCAAATTTTCTGCTTCCTTGTGCCCTTCTTTGCAAAATTTGAACATAGCAAAGCTGATAAAATATTAGCCAGTGCTAAACAATCAAACAAACAATATATGTCCAAAATCAAAACTGCCGAATTTTCCATCAAATTAATTCAAACAAAAGTTATTTTCAAACGTATTTCTCACTGAAAAAACAAAATAAAATGCATAAAATGAACATCACAATTACAATCATGTTGTTATCATGAACGTCTTGTCAAAAGTGTAATCGGTTGACCTCTTGTATCATCAATTATCTTAGATGAGATATCGATTTAGATATCAAAATTCATTTTTATTTTTATTTTTAATCATTTATACACGGTAATACATTCAGTAATGAAAATATAATAACTGATTTACAATGTACCCTGTCTAAAAACCTAAGCTAATTAACATACAGTTAAATAACAAAGATAAATGAAAATTAATATACAAGATATTCTGGTAAGAAAAAAAAGAAAACAAAGTTTGATGCTTTGCAAGAACTCTCAAACCCTTTGTTTTTTCAAAGATTGTTTCAGCAAATTTTTGAAAGTAGCCAGTGAGGGGCTACTTAATAAATGGATTGTTCTTCTTGCTACTTAATTATGACGTGGTCAGCAAAGATTTCTCAAGGGTACCGCCAAAAATCACCTATTTCACCAAAATGTGCAGTTTCCTTAAAATTAGACATGACATAAGATCCGACGAGATTTTATTTTGTCGGAAAATCGTAAGCCTGGGCCCTTCTAAATGGAAGCTTGAATTTCCGCCACTGCGTAAAGACACCAACCATTATATGGAGGATTACCAAGAAAATAAAGAGCAAAGCTAGAAGTAACTTTTTTAAATTATGCCTGACAGAAAAGTTTTATATGATTCAAACTGTAGGGGATAGTAATATACTTAACAAAAGCCAATTTAGACACTAGAACAAATTTTTGATTAGCAATTCTCAATCTTAAAATAGTTTTTACGATTATATCACTCTAGACAACTAATCTCTTTTGATTATGTTCGATTATTCCTTTTTACCGTTATATCTTGATTGCCGTTAGTTTGCGTTCTTTTTTACACCTTATAATCTTTCACACATGAAACTCAGAGTTGTGTTGCAATATTCTATTTATCTCATTTAAGTCTATATAATCACTCCGATAAGCTGGGCTTATTAGATAGCCAAATGAAAATAATAATAAAATATATCATCGCTTGGTATTGACAGGTCAAAAAAATTCCAAATAGAGCATAAGGTGTTGATTGCTTCCCTTTTCTGTAAATATATTCTTGTATGTTAGAAGTTTGTTAGCGTTTTAGGGTATTTTTATTCAAATTTTATTGAGATGTAAAAAATATGGTTCTCATGAAAGCGTTGCATTGTTTGGAGCAAAAGGTTCCCATATCGCTTCACCTGGTATTTTTTGATAATATTCAACATTCGAAGAGACGAAATTATGTTTTAGAACAATTACCTTTATTTTATTGAAGTTTTTTTGCATACAGGGAGTTGTTTTGAAGTATATTTTGTTGTTATTATATCGTATATTCACTGATTAGTAATAGGTTCTAACAATAATCAATTGTTGCTAGAAATAAGAAAGGGAAGTGTTTAGGTCTTGATTTCTTATTTTCTTCTATTTTGGCAAGCAGGTTATATTTGAATGACGTATAAAAAAGGTGGAACAGTTATTGAGTAAGACAACAAACAATAATACAGGATAATCTCAAGTATTCGACTAATTTTGAGCTAATCAACTGTGTTTAGAATAGTATAACATTATGCTTAGAGTATAAAGTTGAAGTGCTGAAAATGGCTCTCTTGCTGATTCAGTTGGATGTTGCTGTCCTCCTTCCACTTCCAGGCGTTCGCATGACCCTAGAATGACGTGACGGTTATAAAGCCAATGAAATTGCGAGTTGCCAAACAACGCTAATCCACTTATTTTTGTGATTATCATAAAAACATCCAACTGCACCTATTGTTCAACGATAATTGTTCTACCGTTTGACAAAGAGAACAACAACAACAAAAGACGAACAAGCAATCACATTCAAAATCTCACAACCGTTACTTGTTGGCTGTCCTTTTTAGCTTGCGGACACTTCTGGCATTAGACATCTTTTAAGGCCTGTTTACAACACGATCATATCCAGGTAAAATATTCATAATATTCATTATAATTTTTGTATAACCTTACAAGTGATTTAAATTTGTGCTAAGCAGCAAGAATCATTTCCTTTAAATTGTTTACTAATTGGCCTTAAAAGATTTTTTCATTAAAGCAGCGATCAAGTTGAAAAGTCATTGATTCAGTTTTCAACTTTTCTTCCATTCTTTTAACAATCATCATTCAACTTGTAATGCTGAAGATAGTGACCTCGCCCCCTAGTGTCCGCCACAGGGCCATTGCCTTATGGGCTTTCTGGCTGGTTGTTCTAATCTAATTGTTTTTTGGGATTAATTTGCTTGTAATTTTCGTTCAAATTCATTTCCAATTCCCGAATCTAATTTTCGATATTTATTACAACCATTAATACAGGTAAAACACACAGCAAAGATAGACACTTTGGATAAGATTTTCTGTTCATTTTTCAGGATGTTTATTTTTTGTGCTTTTATTCTTCAACAATCTCGTTTTGATTCAATCGTCTGTCGCTTCATTCACAGTTTTGTTAAAGATTTATATTTTTGTTTTTCCCTAACTCTATCTCTCAATTTCACTTAAAGCCTATAGAAGCTACGTGAAGCTCTGTGTTTCGCAATTTTGAGCGGGTTTCGACCAGGTATAAGGCTCAAAAAAAGCTTTAAACTAGTGAGTGACTTGGTTCAAATTTTTGCGTAGGGCTATTGCTAGCTTTTGTACATATAGAGTGGGGAAAGGGTGCCCCGATCTCGTTTGCCAACAAAGAGGGTAAGTCATCATTTATCTATTATCAAAAACTCAAAACTGCCCTTAGGGGCTCTGATTGGCTGCTCTGAAAGCAAGCACGTGGACTGAAATTAGCTAAATCGATTCACAAAGAGAAATTTTGTTTGAAAGATGAAGATGCCATCTTGTTGCCTGGTGAATCGAATCGAAAAGTGCAGACTTCGTGCCAGAGAGAGAAATGAAATCTCCATGATGATAATGATTATTAAAGATTAAACTTAATCGAATATTGGTAGACATTTTCTTTTGTAACTATGAACGACAACATCAAATAAGAAATTCCTTACCAGTTTTTTGAAACCTGCAAACCCGGTCTAGTTCTACGCATGCGTTGTGACAAAAATTTTGCAGTTCTATTACGTGTACACTGAAGAGATATAAGATAATCCTAATTGTATGGATCTTTCCAAAAGTTTTACTGTTAGCCGATCTGTGAGTTTTACTGTCAGTCGTGTGGGTTATCAGATAGATGTTTCGATTTGATGGCACACCCTTCCGGTGACTGGAATATGCTGGAAAAGCCCATTTCAAAAATTAACCTTTTGACTTCTAGATCAAAAAGATAAAATGATAATTAAACTAAATGTTTGCATTATTTTCTTGATACTCGCTCTTTACCGAATCAAGTCAAATATTACTGAATGACAGAAATACATTGCTTCTGGGGATCTCGCACCCCAAAGGTTTAGTTGAGAAAAATAGTTTGCCTTTCGAAGAAGTTTGGTAGAAGTGTTAATCTATAAAGAAAATTTTTTAAGGGACTCTTTATAAACAAGTGTGTAGCCAAAATTGATCATTTGATCAATGTAGCTTAAACTGGCTTGAAATTGAGAGAATAGTAAAATCAAAGTGGCTAGTTGGAACACTCCGGTAAATGTCTTGTCACAGCAACTTTGATTTCTCAATAAAAATGGGAAAAAATTTCTACCAGAATGGTTCTCACAATATGGGAATCGCACTTGACATTGGACAACGTTTTGGTCGCTTATTCGCCGCCTCTTTCCTCTACTGGTAGAGAAACCCTAAATTTTCCATTCGCCTCTGGGTAAACCAATCGAGTTTGCGGAGAGGCTAGATTATCCATCTTCTCAGTACACAAATACCTTGAGTAAACGATTGATCCATGTAGAAAGAACTTCCTTTTTGCTCTGGCACAGAGTACAGTTAATTGTATTCATTCAAAAACACGATGAGTACCGAACTCTAACATTTTTATACTTGAAAAAAGGCAATTATTGGAATGAGAAGGAGCAGTCATACGAACGAAAACGAGGATTTACGGACGTGTCATTCTTTTTTGCGTCCAATTAAAACTCTTGTGACTTCAAAACAACCGTCAAAGCAATCTATTTTGTTGTTCAGCGACTTCTAATTCTGTGTTTCTATCACCGTCTTAGCTGAGCAAACAATGCAAGCGCCTGAGCAATCAAACTATTGTTTTGCAGATTGGCATCAAACTCTCATTCTTGGCGTAAGAGTGAAGAAACCATGGAGGCTCCTTACGAGGACTTGTCAACTCGCTTGGAAATAGATGCGGAAATTATTGAAAGAGAAAAAAATATGGAATTTCAGGTAAATCGATTGAGACGTTAATAACTTTCTGCCATATTGTGTCATTTTATTTCCTAAATGCTGTATATCATTTAACTATTGTTTTAAATATAATCAATTTTTTATTTTATTAATAGCTGTAAATAAGTTTGAAGGTTATAAATTGAAGGGCATATCACTTGGTTAAAAAAAACTCATACGCCCTAAACCATTTTGATTTATAGCAGAAAATATCCACCCAAAATATAATCTATTGTAAAGTTAGCCCAAGTGAAAAAACAAAAAACTTTTGTGTAACTCTCTACTCATTCTGTCACTGGTTCAGAAGAGTTTCCATAGAAAAGACAACTGATGATGTCTCAAAAATGTACTCTTAGAATTTTACAATTTTGACCATACTTTCGAAAAAAGCATTATGAAATACTTAGAAATTTGCATAATTAGTTGATTGTGTTATAAATTGCCGGAGATATGAATACATTAGCACAGGTTTGACTCCCGTAAAATCGCCGTTATTCAGTGTTATGGTTTTTAACTTTATATGAACCAGGCCCGAATAAAAGCAATCCATTAGCAGATTTGAATCTTTTAATGACCATATCATGCTCAAATTCAAACATCTTTAACTGATTTTTCATATCATGAGATATTTTTTGTTATTCTTTCAGAATATGTGGTCAATGGTCAACCCAACCAATAAGTTAAAAAAGACATCATATTAAACGTTAAGAGTTTTTCCAAGCCAATCGAATAATCTTCTTCAAAGGGTCATCATGTGATCTAAACATGTTTGATCCTCTTTAAACGCTCAAAATCTTCTCCAAACGTCTTTGATCTTCTTCGGTGATCATCATTGTATTCAAATGTTTTTTCAACTTCTTCAAACGCACATTATCTTTGTCAAATGTCTTTGACCTTCTTCAAATGCTTATCGTTGCATTCAAATATCTATAATCTTCTTCAAAGGCTCATCATGTAATCTAAACAAGTCTGATCCACTTTAAACGCTCAAAATCTTCTCCAAACGTCTTTGATCTTCTTCGATGCTCATCATTGTATTCAAATGTTTTTTCAACTTCTTCAAACGCACATTATCCTAATCAAATGTCCTTTATTTTCTTCAAACGCTCATCATCGTATTCAAAGTTCTTTGATCATCTTCCAAAGTTTGTTTTTTAATTCAAATACTTTATTCGTTGTCAGTTTGTTCTTCTTCATCCAACACCGATTCATTGTTACCTTTTATTCCTGTCAATTTTACATACATAACATACACGCAGCCATGCTATTTCATGTGTACATGATAATGAGGATTGAGGTTTAATCTCTTCAAGTAGACGAATTTTGGCACCTGTGAGCTGAAACTTAAAAATTTGCAAAAAACAAAAAACAAAACCTTTTTTTTGGTCGGGAATGGCTCAATCAAGAGGTTTCCATAAATGATATTTCTAATGAACACACAGTTGAAGCCAAACAGTGTCAACAATAGACACTTTAATGCTTCAAAATTGTCAGTTTATAAAATGTCAGATTTATAATTTTGTAAAATGTCAAAAATTGTCTGTATGCTTCAATTTGTTTGGTTTTATTTTCTTGAATGGTGATAATTATTTTGCTTTTTTCAAAGTAGGTTCTGAATTTAAGAAATTAAAGAATTGCCCGAATTCCCGCTTAAAGATAAACGAAGGGGGTTAAGCTGGGCAGAGTTTTGAAATTTTTTCCAGTAACTGAAATATGAAATTCTCACTGCTCTCTACACTTTTATTCTAAGCCATTTGACGACTTCATCGTCCCGCAAGGTGAGCCGGCAGAAAGTTGCCCTGATTTTCCAATGGTGAGCTATTATAATTCAAAATTTAATTTTTCTTGCATTGTGAAGGAGAAACATCCGGATAATCCTTTAACTAGTGCCCAGATCTCGAAGTCAGATTATTCAATTATAAATTAGTTGTTCACGCTTGATGTTGAATATGGATGGACAAGTTAAAGGCATTGAGTCATGGTAAATGAGAAGCGTATACCCAAATTGCAAAAATTGCTGAGTCATTATGATAGCTTCGCTAATCTGATTGGCTGTCAAGCAAACTGCACACATGATGTTGTTAGTGCTTTTTGTTCCCCCGTTTCTAAAGGTTCTTTCTTTCTCTCTCTTTTCTTTTGCTCTCTACAAAAGATTTCAAAACTTCTTCCCCCATTTGTACCTTTCAAATGCCACAAAGGCTTTCAAATGCCTTTCGCTTTCGATAAAGAATGTCTGATCACATGAAAACAAACTTATCACATGGAAACAGACAAACCCCCCGCGGAGAACCAGTATTTGCCACGACTCAATGCTTTTAAATAAAGCTCTCGATAGTACATAATCTTATCATACTCTATAGGTGCCTAATTGCCGTGTGGGGGGGGGGGATGGAAAATTTTTTAAAAATGAATTAGCAAGGGGGACGGCAATTTGGCCCCTAAAAGTACGCTAATTTTATTCACTGTAAATAATTTGATTCTGTTCTTATTAATATAAAATTGTGGAAAAAAACCCAAGATGGTATCTTCTTCCAATGTCCTGATCAAAACAGCTTGTTTGTCTTTCAAAATCTTCATTAATGTCCTTTGCCATTTTCAGTTTAGGGTGATGGCTAGAAAAAAATGTATAGGGATTTGTAGATTTGCTGGATGCATTCTCCCTAAGCGAGATTAGTAAACTTTTACTTTAGGTCCAGTCAAACGCTGTATTTGTCCACAAAACAATATGACACGGATCATTCATTAGTGTCGTAGAATTGGGCCAAGCTTCTCAGCGATAGGATGTTAACAGTGGTAGCGAATTTGGCAAAAAAATACCTTGTTGATGACCGAGTTAGAAAAGGTGCACTAAAAAGGTACCATGGAGTAGATGAAATGTTAACCAATAGCAGAAGTAACTGCCATGAAGTAAAAGTAATTTGGGAGCTAGGAAGTAAAAATAAAATTAGGCAAGAAATATCAATCAAATAACTTTAAAACTCTGAATATCAGTATCGACATCTCATATCGAACTACGATCCACATTATTAGTTGGGTATTCAATTATTGATAATCTCGCCTCTCTTTAGTAATTTAAAGTATTAGTTGTTAAAATATTTTAGAGAAGAAGATACATCATGTTTAAAGAAATTTATATTTCTTATCGATTGGGGCTCTCAGGTAGTTGATAAAATTTGAATTATGCAAGATATACACAGAATATTATCATTGTTGACTTTTTTCTCCCATATCATATAAGGCTGTGCGCTCTAAATAGAACTCTAATAAAATTTTAATTTTGCTCTGTTCGGAATGGCGGTGGATAATGCTTAATCTGGGAAGGTATCAGATTTCTTGCGAATAAAAATTGTCGAACAACTTTATCGAATCTTTTTCATATGTTAGATTCCTTTCATTAGGAGCCGCTAGAGCTTCAGCTTGAAGAAGAAGTACCAGTGAGTAAAAGCATCAATCCAGCTGGAGCTTTGGAAGAATTAAGAACAAAGGGTAACCTGAAGTTGCCCACAATCATTTTATCCATTTTCACCGATGTTGAAGATGCATTTTTCGATGATGACGTCAAGCATGCATTAGACGAAGGTCTTGCAAAGGTAGGTACTGAGAAACGCAAGAAAATTAGTGAAAAGAAATGGCTAGTGAAAAGAACACATCAGTAGCTCGCTGGGACACTCAGCTTTTAGATCATACTCGGCAAGGGTGAATGACAATGGCGGTAAAAATATTCACTCTTATTCACTTTGAAGTAGTATTCCAGATTCTTTACCTATTGGTCCTTTTCTCTCTTGTTTGATTATTTTTTTTGAAAAAATTAAAGCTTTCACTCAGACCCCCAGCATTTATTTAAAATATTCGATTTCAAGCTACTTTCAATCCATTAAAATTTTGCCTGCCTTCAATGTTTGCCCTCTTTAATTTTCGCCTCTTTGATTATCACATCCGCCCCCTGTAGGGAGAATTTCACTCTCTACAATTTTGTCTCGTTCCTTTCAAATTTCACTCCCTCCAAATTTCATAGCTTTGACTTAATCAGTGGAATTGCAGAGCCTGATTATAGCTAACAATTTCAATGTGACATGGAAGTAAGGCTCTGAGAAATCAGGTCACTACATTTGACTATAAGCAGTTCAGGGAAGACTGGGCTTTTGAACGGACAGCTCAATAGAACACAGCAAAAAGATATCCATAAAACCTAATAGAATATTGTTTCCAACTTGCTCTATATATCTACATGAAGGGGTCAACTTTACAAAAAAGGTCTGGTTTTGATCGAATGTGATCGACTGTGTAATCATAAAAAACTGTGTTCCAACTTTTATTTTGTGGGGTAGTTTTCTCGTCTTCGTTCGCTCAGTTGTTTTACCAGAGCCCTCTTTCAAATCAAAACTAAATTATAGGGAATAGACTGGCAGAAATTAAAGGCAAGCAAATTTGAAGGAATAAAGTATCAAATATATATTAAGTTATCCTATAAAAATGTCCAGATACAAGCATCTACACGTTTTCAGATTTGTAGCGTTTTTAGACATTTCCACTCTGGGGGGAGAGATTTTCAAAGTTTACGATAGCGTATTTGTCAAATACCTACGGTTGAGAACCTTATATATAAAACTGACACTAATAAAATGAAGATTCAAAAAATTTAGTATACAGTGGGACAGCGAACTTGAAAAAAATAAGCAAATTTTCCGACAAAGGTGCTTGAAACTGTGCTTAGCGCATCCCTTCCCCCCACAATTTTCATTTCTGATTCTATTATACATTTATATTTTAATCCTTTCCGGACTCCGCAGTAACATATCTTTCCTTAATTACAGCCAGCATTTAAAGTTTCTAGTGCAGTGCAAATTTCACTCAATTAAGCAACTTTGTCGCTTCGTTTCAACCCAATCAAACCACGTGTCACTTGAAAAATAATATACATATTTTAAATCGGTTATAATTCGACCAATTAGCAGTACCAATTAGAAGCTAAGAAATATACCCATACCACGTTTTATTGAATAGTGCTAACAAGATGTACTTTAGATTTACTTATATTTATTCATCTCTACAGATAAACGATGCAACCAGTATGTGGCTGCTAATCAGTCCAAAAGAGACAGCAGTATCAAAACTTACAGTACGAGCCTTTGTTAAAACATGTGACAGAGAGAAACTGGACAAAAGTGCTTGCATTGGTATTTTTACTTCCCCAGAAAAGCAAAACTGTCCTTCTGCCACTGTAAGTGTCTTTTCGAAATGTTTCTTCCATATAGATCGGAAAAAGCTTACCCTTCTTTGGCAGGACGAATCCTTCTTTTTCAAAAGGTTGCGACGATATCGTTGGGGTGGGTTCGTTAAGAATCTTCATTTGGGATTAGGAAGTTGGCGATGCAGCAATCAAAGGATGTTTAGTAATTGAGCTCGAAAGTTTTAAATAAACTTTAGATTGAGAAACTATGAACGAAGTTAATATTTTGATGGTATTGTCGAAATGAATCTTGTTAAAATTTATTTTCAAATCTTCTAGAATTTCACAGTAGAGAAAAAGAAAAATTGCTTGGAAAACAGATATACACACATTCTACGTCTAGGGCCCGATTGCAAATTTCATCCGACATTGGAGGAGCTACTGGCTACTTTTAAGACAGGCAAATGTACCAAAGGTGAACAAATGAGTATTTAGCACCAACAATATTTTATCGTTTTTCCGTAATTAAGCATGAACATTGCATAACGATCGATAAGAACATATTTATCTTCTTTGGCTGCTAACTTCGGCAGTTTGCAAAAATGACAGGTGATAGAAATAGTTTCATTTTTCCCCTACAGTTTGATCAAGCTTGCTAAAAAATAACTTACTTTTGAACGTAATACTGAAACTCCTTCTTTTGCCAATAAAGAGGAGTTATTTGAAGATAATGAAATCAAAATTATCCCTTTTGTCACATCTTTACTTGTGTAGCTTAGCCTGAAAAGAGGAAACAACAGATGACTACAGTGACATGCATCCAACTTTTCAAGAAGCACAATAAAATTATTCTTCGATTAAAACATTTCTTGTTAACAAAAGACAAAATTTGTAAACAAGATTTGAATGTGAATCATGTTGTTTGTATGTAAATCTTCAATGAATTTTATATCATCAGCTGCAAGAATAGTTTTAGCACAACCGGTTGACATGGTTTGACAAAGATACAACAACTTGCTACAGAAAGCCGAACCTGATAAATGTATTGCTCGCTATCCTTTAAGTGCATCAATTTCATGTTTAAAGCTAAAACTTATAGATATAATTTTAAACAAATATTGCAATGAATAGTAAAAATAATAATTCAACATCCCCATGGCCTATTTTCCTGACTTAATTCATATTTTGAACATAGTCTAGAGACAACTGAACGTATGTCAAAAAGTTTTGCAAACAGTTAAACATCTACGCTCTACATACTCTAGCAATTGTCAAACATCTCGATTTTATAACAGTGACATAAAATTACCATCTGTTCAATATTGCAACTATTATCAACACCGTACCTTAGATTATCAGGTCAAATATCTAGAATTTGATATTAAGATTGCCTTGTCCATTACCTGTAGTAGGACGACGCTCTTCGACACCGGTTGTCAGTATACTTGTTCATGGTGGAGTTGAGGCATGTAAGAAGATGAAAGAGAGCATGGAAGGCTACCCTTGTATCCCTGTTGTCATTGTTAAGGGCAGTGGTGGACTGGCTGATGTCATTGTAGATGCATTAGCAGCATACAACAAACTGAAAAAGAAAGGGTGATTTATGCTACTCTAATTCCTATATGTTTTCAATTCTATTATACGCCTAACTTTTAAACAGATGAGATAGATTCTTTAAGATGGTATTGTTTCAAGTACAATTATGACATAGTTGCCTACTGCAAACGTATGACTATCTAAATCTTTTTTTGAGGAATTGATAGTTCTCCTCTTTTTTGGTTATAGTTTTTCTCATGTTTTTTACGTTTTTCGCCTTCTGAGAAAATCCATTGGTCAAAATGGAAGCAGCAACATGCTCGAGGATGAAGAATAAAACAAGCTTTGGGATACAAAATTAATGATAGTCATTAGATAAATTCTTCAAGAATGTCATATTATACCCTGTTATGATAAATTAAATCCATAATATCATATGAGTAAATTCTTTCATCAATCTGTATTTATACTGAGGCATCCCTTTTAAATATAAAAGGTTGCTAGCTACTTAACAGAAAAGGCACATCTCGACATTCAATTCCTGTTCCCTAAACATAATTGATTTTCTAACTCTCTTGAAACATTAGATTAACAAAATAACATATATATTTATTTGAATTATTTGTAGCCGCCTACTACGTTCCCATATAGAATACTTCTTGTTGCAAAGTTCTCTTGCTGAACACTCCATCATTGTTCATCTTGTTAAAGACCTTGTGGAGACATACAGTCACTTTGTAAGTCATGACCTTTAAAAACCCTATATACCGACGCATTTCACTGGTTCAATTCCATTGGTTCGACTACACAATAGATAACGCTGATTGGATTCCATTGGTTTGACTACACAATAGACTTATTGATACGTATCCAATCGACAGCGCAAGGCTCAATGTCTTTTTTATTTATACGCGCTGTAGAGCCTATTGTTAACTTGGAACAGTTGACTGACGGGACATAGTGCCTTTAAACAATCCAGCGTAAATTCTCTAATAGTCAACTTAACGGTGTTTACAAAGAAGATTATTCTACCTAGGGAAAAAAGAAATTTTTAGGGTTTTTAGGTTATGGCCAATATGGTTTTGATTTTAAGTTTTTATCATGAAGTAAGATTTCATACGACAGATACTAGAAGAAAATAATTTCAAGTGTGTTGTTGTACCAGTATTTTTGAATATTTTAGCTCATCTAATTGCACTGCAATTGCTTATCAGATGAAGAAAACTGGCGTTTAAACCACGGGATCTAAAGATATTTGGTAGTATTCGTGAGGCGATTATTTGAAAGTGGGGGAGAGGGGGGTGATCTGCTGCATAAGTTTGGGAATAGGGTCTTATTTGAGAGGTTTCATTTGATATTAGGCCTTTTTTATGTGGTCTTTTTTGTGTGGATAATGTGGCCTTTTTAACTATTTTTAGATCATAGTTTACGATCACAAACGAGACCCTTATGGACTGCATCGCGCAGTGATTGAGAGTTGCAAAGGTAAGCTTTGGAAATTTGAAGATATTACAATTTAAGAGTGAGGATCCTGTCACATATAAAAAAATTGTTTGCTGCTTGTCTAACGGATGCCAAATAATTTCTTTATTCTTGGAATAAACATTTCGTCTATCTAAAGTTTAAATCGATTAGCCCTCTTTAAGTTATAATATGAAAGACTCTGCCATAGATTAGCTAAAAGGCATGGATACAAGTTTTCACCCCTTTTTTAGACTCTGGACCATTTTGTTTAGGATATAACCACTGTGCCGTGCTTTTATTAATTATTATTTTCTACTTCGTTGCTGGTACATATT